CACAGATCTTCAGTATCAGCTCTTGATACTGGTAATGGCTCAAAAGGGTCTCCACTTACGGGCTATTCATGCCCGTGCCACCTTTTGAGTGGCTTAATCTTCATCAATCAATGAACAAAGGCCAGGGAGATGATGAGGGACCAGCCTAAGTTGCTGCATATTCATATAAGGAAGAAACTGGCGGTCAGTCACCAAATGATAGCCACAAGAACAAGGGAGAAGCAACTTGCAGAAAATAATAAATAAAACAGGTAACAAAACTTACAGTAAATGAAATGAAATGTTATATTAATTTGCCGCAAGGTTGCTTCCAGAAGCGGCAGAACCACGTTATCATTGCAGCCAAATATAATTAAATTTGTAACTTGAAAAATGTAACCAGCGGAGACATGATTACCACACACAAGGTTTTAACATTGACAGCCTCTTTCAGCATTCAGGAAATAAAGCGAGAGATCATACTCTAGATGTAAAGAAGAAAGGAAGGTGAGTTAGCGCACCGAAATGAAATTTTTCCTTTAGTGTACGGAGAAGTTGCATTAGCTATGGCTTGTTTTGGGGGATAGGATCAACAGGCTTGTAATCTCTCCGTACACATTATTAAGAGAGCTCATATCCACGTTCACTGAAATATCGTGGCATAAAAATATCTGACGTGGCAGCACACAAGAAGCCCTGTTAAACATCCATACTGGACAAATTTCCGTAGCTTCCAAACAGCTGTTTGTCGACTTAACGTGAATAAGAGAGGGATAGAGGGGAAGTAGTAGGCGGGTAAAGAGTCAAATCAATACCACCACTCTTATCCTCTTTATGATCGTTTGTCTCACCCTTATCCTCGGTATACGCTTGTTTGGTTCACTCTTAAGCCTTTATATACACTTGTCTGTCATACCTTGTGTTTGTTCCGGGATAAATGTCTTCGTGGCCCTGTCTCTGACCAGGCGTCCTTGTTAGTTGTCTAGTCCATCAGGCTGTTAGACGCAGCTGTTCGCAGTCCGACGTAGGAATCACAGCCCAGTTGATCAGTTATCCTTTGGAGTTGTTCATCAAGTGTTCTCTCTTGAACATCGTGAGTGGTCTGTTAGTTATGCACATTATAGGCAGTATTGAAAAGGATCAGCCCCTTAATGTTAATATTATTGCTTCTTTTCGTATCTATTGTTCCTTTGAATATCAGTGCCACAAATTTGTACTTAATGCCATGCCTCCTGGACTCATGGGAAGTTTCCCACGAGTCCAAGACTTTCGCTTGCACTCTAAAGAATTCAGATTGAAATATTTTAAGTGTTAGCAATAATTTAATGTTTTATCGAGTGGATTCGAGCAGTAAACAGTCTGCATGTTCTCCAGAACAGCAATTTCCCCTAGCGTTAAATGGGGACTGTTAGTGTGGAATAATACTCCACCCTATACCATGCACCTGTTGCAACCAGGAGGCCTGGTCGACGACCGGGCCGCGGGGACGCTGAGCCCCGGAAGCACCTCAAGGTAAGGTACAGAGTACACTATCTTAAGTAGCAACATTGGTTTGGCATCTCTCGTTTGAAAGGTTCCTGTTATCCAACCTGTCATTTTTCTTGCAGTCCTGACAGTTACTTTTCTTAGCACAGGAGTTGGAACTTGTCTTTATTAAACCTCATGTTATTTTCTGTGGCCCTTTGAAAGAACTAATTTATGCCTGTTTTGAGGTTTGGTGCGTCCTCTATATTGTCTGTTTTCATGAAAATCTTTGTGTCGTGTATAAATGATATACAGTACTATAGTTTGTTTCATCTACAATATGTCAGATATGAAGATAAATTGAAGGTTTAATTAAGGAAATGTACACCGTAAGACAATGGAAGGTACATGTGGTCGAGTATATAGGAATGAGGCAGCAAGTGCCGGTGAGAGCCAAGGTAATCTGTGAGGAGCACGAGGGCACCTCAACTTCCCTGCTCGACCCCCGGGCAAACACGGGAAACATCTGTCACGCAGGGTGCAGTCGCACCTCCACAGATCTCCAGTATCATCTCTTGAGACTGGTAATGGCTCAAAAGGGCCACCACTTACGGGCTAGTCATGCCCGTGCCACCTTTTGGGTGGCTTAATCTTGATCAATCAATCAATCCCGGGCAAACCAAAGCCTTTCCACCCAACACTTAAATATCCGTATCACACACGCTATACCATGCGCCCAGGCCGCACAAGGATATGATACCTTCCTTGATCTTGCCTGCGACCGAGAAATGCCTAATTTTAGTGAGATAGAGCATTGTAAGGTGAGTCAAGTGGTATGCGCAGTGTAGGGGTGCGGGGGTGTTGGCGGTGACAGCGACCTGGTCTACCATAACCAGCATCAGCAAGTTTTTGTGTACGAGTGAGCAGGTTAGGTACATGACGGCGGCGCCAAGGTTATCTTCCGCCCTTCGTCGCCCCCCGCAGCTCTCTCCCGCCAGCGCAAGTACTCCTCGCGCGCTCCCCCTCCCACCGCTCTCACTCGCGGGGGGGGGGGGGGCTTGTCAGGCAGGGCACCTGGGAGGCACCTCGACAGTGTGTCAGTCCCACTGTACACTAGCACCAGCCCCCAGCGGCTTCGTGCCCGCCTCCCCTCCCACCTTCTCTCTAAAAGGACAGCAACTCAAGAAGTGGTCGAGCAACTTGCTGGCTGTAATTTTCTTGTCTGCACGATTTATGACCGGATGTCGTAATTAGCATGAGTTCTATTTACTGGCATAAATATTGGCTACCATAAAAGGAATAGGACCACAGGCCGCTGAGAGGAGGCCAGCTTGTTGGTTATTGTTATTCGTCGTAAAAATTGCGTCGTGAAGAGAGAGGCAAGCTGGGAAGCTTTCCCCGTGTGTGTAATTGGTAGCCTGCGGGGCCACCTGACACGTTGAGCCAGCTTGCCTTCATCCAAGAGCGCCTCTGAGACACACACACACAATGTGTACAAAGGAGGTGTCTTTCTGTGCCACTAAGGCATGTTGTTGTTGTCATAGATTCAGCTATGGGCTATGGTGAGCCCGTAACTTACCTGGCACAGGGGCGGGGCAAGAAGCGCGGGCTATGGTGAGCCCGTAAGTTACCTGGCACAGGGGCGGGGCAAGAAGCGCGGGCTATGGTGAGCCCGTAACTTACCTGGCACAGGGGCGGGGCAAGAAGCGCGGGCTATGGTGAGCCCGTAACTTACCTGGCACAGGGGCGGGGCAAGAAGCGCGGGCTATGGTGAGCCCGTAACTTACCTGGCACAGGGGCGGGGCAAGAAGCGCGGGCTATGGTGAGCCCGTAACTTACCTGGCACAGGGGCGGGGCAAGAAGCGCGGGCTATGGTGAGCCTGGTGACTAAGGCATGTATGTGTCGCCCTTTGTCTGGTATATGAAAAATTGTGTGGGTGGGGGTGGTCAGGGGAGATGATCCACAAGCCCAGCGACAGGTGGAAGTTGGGAGCCGGTCGACCGAGCGGACAACACACTGGACTTGTGATCCTGTGGTCCCGGGTTCGATCCCGGGCGCCGGCGAGAAACAATGGGCAGAGTTTCTTTCACCCTATGCCCCTATTACCTAGCAGTAAAATAGGTACCTGGGTGTTAGTTGTCACGGGCTGCTTCCTGGGGGTAGAAGCCTGGTCGAGGACCGGGCCGCGGGGACACTAAAAAGCCCCGAAATCATCTCAAGATAACCTCAAGATTACATATATTATTTCTCTCACTCATACGCACACATCAGGATACAGCCCGTAGCGGCCGTCTAACTCCCAGGTACCTGTTGGCAAACAGATGCATCACGTTAAAGAAACTATTTGTTTCTGCCTAGGTAGAGAAGCGAGCCCCGGGTCCTATGGGCTACAACTCCTAGGCGCTGTGTATGATGACGGGCATAGTTGGGGTGATGGAGCTCCGCTCTATGACCCACTTTAGAGAACTTGGACTGGGAAGGTCATCTGGTACTCTCATATGGTGGCGTTGACCTGCTCTTACCACATCAACGTCCCTCCCTTTCCTGCCGTGCCACACCATCTGTGCCTCACCATCTCCACCCTATCATGCCACACCTTCTGTGCCTCACCATCTGTGCCACACCATCTGTGCCACACCATCTGTGCCTCACCATCTCCACCCTACCATGCCACACCTTCTGTGCCTCACCATCTGTGCCTCGCCATCTGTGCCTCACCATCTGTGCCACACCTGTGCCTCACCATCTGTGCCTCACCATCTGTGCCACACCATCTGTGCCACATCTTCTCCACCCTACCATGCCACTCCACACTACAGTCCGTACAAACTATTCTACACACGAATACCACCCCCAGAAATTCAGTGATATGACATTTACGCCTCGGTTTCCCTGCAAGCAAATCGCCTTACAAATCATGTCATCGCCAAACTAACCTAGCATCCGGCCAGGCTTGGGGAATAGAACAACTCTAGAATCTGCATAGATTATACGTAAATAATACTGAAAGGTCAGCGTCCAGCCTCTTAATACAATTAAAACATACTAGAGTGGAGATATTACCCTCCCAGCGAGCATAAGAAATATTGCCGGAACAACAGTGGACATCTTCAAGAGGAACCTAGATTGTTTCCTCCAAGAATGCCGGACCAACCGGGCTGTGGTGGGTATGTGGGCCTGCGGGCCGCTCCAAGTGGACCAAACTCTCACAAATCAAGTCTGGCCTCGGGCCGGGCTTGGGGAGTAGAAGAACTCCCAGAACCCCATCAACCAGGTATCAACCAGTATATGATAGCGTTTAAGGTAAGGGAAGACGGCATAGAGTTGACAAATAGCACATATAGAGAAATATAGAAGAACGGTTACAAGAAGACATAAATGAGCTGAAGGGATTAAGATCAGCAAGATCTATTTCAGCGTAAGAGGAACAAATGCAATAAATCTGAGTACACGTCTCTCTCCCTTTCACTCACTCGTATCTGTTCAGTTTCATTATTTATCGAATATTATTTATGTAAAACCTCATAAATGATAATAAATGTTTCCCTTCTTTCAGTCTCTGTCGCTGGCAAAGAAGAAGATCGTTCACTACACGAACCTTGACCCGCAGAAGAGAGCCAATGCTGCCTTCCTCATCGCCTCTTATTCTGTGAGTACATCTTATCTGCTCTCTTGTTGACCTCTTACGCGTGCCTGTGCACTTAGCAACCTGTACTGGGTCTATCTTGTAAAGTCTAGCTCCATCTCTTGGCTCCCTTCTTTCTAACGGTCGGAGAGGGGAGGAGATGAGAGCAGAGGGGGGAAGGGGGGGCACCCCATCTAGTTATATGTTAATAATTTTTGTTTGGAATACATATAATAATTTGTTTTGACTGGGGGCAGGCCCGTTGAGTTCTATCCCCTCCACACTTGCCTCACCCCAGCTAATTTCATCCAACTTAAATTAATTCAACTCATCCTAAAGCAATCAAAGTACCTAAATAAAACAGTTACTATAGATATGATAAACATAGTACTCTACAAGTACGACTTGAGAATGGTCCAGGACGGACCGAAACGTCGTCGTCCCTTCACCTTCTAGTGTGTGGTCTGGTCAACCAGATAGATTATACAGATGAAATGGTAGGTATCTCTCATTGTCTACGGTAAGAGAGAGAAAAATAATAAAGTGAAACCCGGGGTTACTGCACTAGGGTCTTGAGTGGGTCAGGGTTAGCGCTCTTGGCAGAGTCCACACTACATTCCGGCAAGTTCTTTTGCCGTGCCTAACATCCCAGGTGGAGGTGCGGCTTCCTTACTCCCCAGCCTCATACACTCTACTAAACAGTTTGCCTCACATTGTTGCTCGGGTAAAGATAGCCTCTTGCTTATCTTTGATGTTTTAAACTCTGAATGGTGGTGATAATAGTCTTATTGTAGGAATGCACCATCATGCTGAATGGCCCTATGGTTGGTCCGTTGAGAAAACTAAAAGAACAAAAGGTGGTGGTGATAATGCAGGTATGCCAAAAACAATTGTGGTGCCGTGCCAGTGCCAGTCAGCGGGTTCACAATCTTTCATAATAGTAATCATGGGCTGTTGCGGGAATGGTCGGGGGGTTATTGTTCATTGCTGACTTTGTCTACTGTTTTGCTACAATACCATTGTTAGGGTGGTAGTTACTGGTAGTACCAGTTTTGTGTGTGTGGTGAGCAGATTGTAATGTGGGGGGTGACGGGTACTGGTTCTTCGGCGGCCCTACTTGCACGTAGTAAAACTTGCACGTAGCAAGTTACGTGTAAACTTGAACGTAGTAAAATCACCCTTCACTCTCACGACACCTTCAATGTGTCGGTACCAAGAAATGGTCATGTTTCCGTACTGGGTGCTGGTAATATTATGATTGTTATTGCCGGAACAACCGTGGACATCTTCAAGAGGAAACTAGATTTATTCCTTCAAGGAGTGATAAGGGAGCCGGTCGGCCGAGCGGACAGCACGCGGGACTTGTGATCCTGTGGTCCTGGGTTCGATCCCAGGTGCCGGCGAGAAACAATGGGCAAAGTTTCTTTCACCCTATGCCCCTGTTACCTAGCAGTAAAATAGGTACCTGGGTGTTAGTCAGCTGTCACGGGCTGCTTCCTGGGGGTGGAGGCCTGGTCGAGGACCGGGCCGCGGGGACACTAAAGCCCCGAAATCATCTCAAGATAACCTCAAGATAACCTCAAGAGTGCCGGACCAACCGGGCTGTGGTGGGTATGTGGGCCTGCGGGCCGCTCCAAGCAACAGCCTGGTGGACCAAACTCTCACAAGTCAAGCCTGGCCTCGGGCCGGGCTTGGGGAATAGAAGAACTCCCAGAACCCCATCAACCAGGTATTATTGTTACCGTGTCCTGGTGTGTTGCTCAGTTGACACGCACATTGCAGCTTTTTTTTTATTTATCCTTTTAAGATGTGCACCAGGGCGTATTGTTCATTTTATGGTTTGTAATACGGATATTATATATTATTAGTTTATAATTCTCAAATCTTGGATTCATTATTATGTTTCCTAGAATATGTGATTTGTCTGGGAACCTTCCCACAACCTCCACGACCACCAATCATTCCAATCCAATCACGCCACATTATAAACTTTCCCACAGCCACACCCTTACACTACACTACACTACACAATAATACACTACACACACACACACACACAGACAGAGCACTGTACAGCACTTGTACTCACCTAGGTGAGTACACACACACTCACAGAGCCACCCACACACCCAGATGAGCCACAGAGACGTTAGAAAGAATTTTTTCGTGTCAGGGTAATCTACCCTCGCAAACACAACTAGGCGAGTACACAGAGCCACCCACACACACTCATACCTAAGAAAACTATACTACCACTATGTGTCTACACCCCCCCCCCCCCCTTTCCTACTCCAATCACACCTACCAACCATACGTCCACCAACCTATATCAAGGTAGGTAGACCAACAACCACACTCACTCTTTCTGTTTGTCCACATCTTGCAATGTGTTTAGAGCAGGGAAAAGGAAGTGTCTCTTTTTTCAGGGAGGTGGGGCGGGGGGAGGAGGCGGATATTCATGAGGGTTGTATTGCGTGATGTACTTGGAGACCTTTGATCGTCTGTGATAGTCTTGTCTAATTACAATTTATTTTTATCAGGTTACATTCTTCTCCTAGCATCTAATTATTTAATAAAGATCCAGCCTTTTGTCGCGATTTGCCATTGCGTAAAGAATACAACTTTCTACCTAAGCAGAAAACGTACTAATCGAATCGACTTCAATTGATAGATTAACAATTTATCAGAGACCGTAAGAATGAGGTCATTGGCATCTAATAAATATAATATTCATCTAACTTTAGTTAGGTACACATATCTCTTCTTAACATGAACAAGGGCCCCGTGGTGAAACAGGGTAGCAGGCCTCATCCTACTCTTAGGCTGCTCAGATTCTATGATTAAAAAATAAGTCACAAACCACACTCGGCTGCCCTCTGGGTCGACAGAGCACGATGTATACAAAGTTTTAAGTGGTAGGGATAATGCGATTTAATATAATGCAAAATTATAGGGATAACCTTTGCGGATGAATGGAGGTTGTTGTGGTAATATTGTGTGTTGTGATGGGGCGCACTACAGGTGCTCAGTCTCGCTGTATTTACTGTCACTATTGTTATGCAGGAACTTGATCTGAGGTACGAGAGAAGCAGCGGAAGGTGGGCACTCTGTCCAGCCTAGTTAAGTGTGCTGTTGGATCGTAGCTGGGCGAGTGATACGCCAGTGTGAACCTTCCAGTTATGGTTCAAGGTCTCATGCCTTCACCTGCATCCCATTGCAATTTCCGCCACTCACAGCTGGAATAAAAAGTCGTCATTGTGTAAAAAGTGTCCCGGAATTGCGCAGCTAGGAAGTGGCGAGCCCGTGTACAGTCATCACTTGCTTTTACGTGGGCGTTTGTGATTGTTTTCGTTTGATGTTGACTTGTAAGATGCTGGGGGTAGGAGGTGAGAAAGGGTATTCGATTAAGGTAGCTTGATGGACGGGATGAAGACGACGAAGGAAGTTGTCTGATGTCCGTTACCCCCTTCATTATTTCGTCTGCTCCTTCCTTGTTAACGACCACCACTATACATTTGTCTTCACCCTCATCAGTGTCATAAACTTGATTCTTATCTTGACTCACCATACACGCGATATATATATACATATCGCGTGTATAGTTTTATATATATATATATATATATATATATATATATATATATATATATATATATATATTATATATAATAAAATCACACACACATCACCCTCAAAATACCCTTCACCATCGCATCAAAGAACAGCAGCGATCAGCTGTCGCCGTCAACATAACATTACAGCCAAGTGTATCAAGTCTAAAAAAAAAAATCAGGTCTTGCCAAATCAACAACATTGACACTGGCGCGTCTCTCTCAGCATTACCATCTTGCATCATTCATGTGAAGGACAGACCCTTCAGGCAACCAGAACGTCATAACGAATAAGAGATTCACTCACTCACTCACTCTCAAAGGAAGAATTCCTCTGACCTGGAACTTCAAGAATAAGAGGTCATAAATTTAAGCTAATTAAGGAAAACTGCCAAAGAAATATAAGAAAATTTACTCACGCAAAGTGGTGGAGGTCAATACGGTCAGCAGTTTTAAAGAGTTGCGTGATAGTGTTGGGAAGACGGGACACCTCGAGCTTAGCTTGAGGGGACACCCAGCTAAGTGGGCAGCTCTTCAGATTCGTAGTCCTGAGGTTCCGGGTTCGATCCCCGGTGGAGGCGGAAACAAATGGGCAGAGTTTCTTTCGCCCTGATGCCCCTGTTACCTAGCAGTAAATGGTACCTGGGAGTTAAACAGCTGCTACGGACTGCTTCCTGGGGGTGTGTAACAAAAAGGAGGCCTGGTCGAGGACCGGGCCGCGGGAACGCTAAGCCCCGAAATCATCTCAAGGCAGTATTTGATCAAATTATCTAATTTTTTGAGGCCACGTGAGCAACACAAATGCGAACAAGCCTGAATGGTCCCCGGGCATATATAATATATAACATATATAACTGAAAATTTCACACCCCAGAAGTGACTCTGGGGTGCGGAGTTCCTTTGTACGGTCGTGATGGTCGAGCTGTTAAGGTCTCCTGTACACCAGTTGCATAGTGCTCCTGGCAGTATGGGTTCGAGTCACTTGTGGGGTGTTTAATTTGAGTCGGTCTGAAGAATTTGCTTTTCTGTAAATGAAATTCTAGGGGTTTACTTAAATAGTGTTTTAATTTCATGGTTGACGTTTGAGAATAATGAACTGTATTAACGGAGTACCAACTGCTTAGGGGCTTCGAAGTGATTACCACCAGGGTAAGGTCGCCGACTGGGCAGCGGGGACACTAAGCCCCGAAACCGTCTCAAGGTAACCAGGACAGTTTGACTATCAGCCCTCTTTATAACCTTTTATTTATATATGTGCATTAAACTAAATTAATTTTCTCCTATTCCAAGATTATGCACTGTTCAGTGCATTTTTATTCACAGCATTAGGCTTTTTCATTGATCTATCCTAAAAAGTAAATAATTACAATGTAAATAACAGAGGAAAGGGGTTCATAACTTATAATATTTTAATGAGCATCAAGAGATCGTGTAAGCAGGGATTGGATAGACTCCAATAGAGGTTAGTAAGTCAGGCGAGTCACGGTGATGCGAGTGAAAATGTCATAAATGTAATACTAGTGAACTAAAAGAGCTAGTATTTAAGGCTTACTACATACTCCCTCAGTCTGGGCTCGGGGAGTAGAACTCTTGAGAAAACTCTCAAGAGAGAAGAGCTAAAGTTCTATACAGCAAACACAGCCAGGTGAATACATTACATACATACATGGGCGTTTATGCGCTTATGCACGCGTGTGCAAACAAACTAATAAGATAACCAAATAAAAGAATAGCGAGTGAAAAGGTTTGTATAGCTACGTTAATTTTTGTTGTGGGTGGCGTCACGCTATTGTGTTGGGCAGTAAAGTATGTTTTTTCCTTTTATTTCTTTTCTCCGTCGGTGGAGCTAACTTCAAACAGAGAAAATAGTATTCCACCTCACTAAAGATGACTTACACAAGTATGGTGGCCTTGTATTAGATATTTGTCGTGGCACGATAAACTGTTTCATACTTTGACAGCTTTGTTGAAAGCTAGTATGAAATTTTATGATTTTTGTCCACAATTTCCTGTTTGAAAAGTTCTTTATTGCTAGATGGAAGATACCTAGTTTTTGACTACTGGCTTTAAATTAAGGAACTTGTTTTTAAATTTCATTCGCATCACGTGGATGGGCTTTCCGTGCAGGACACCATTCTGAAGCTTAGTTATCATGGATCTGCAATAGATTGCATGGCAGCTGTAGATGTTGCGTGTATTTTGCATGTTGAAGGTTGCTTCATCGATGCTAATTCTCTCAAATCCTCATTCAAACCGGAATCGGCAAAAATCTTGTAAAATACAATGTCAATTTTGGTCTGCCACAATCCTGATCCAAATTAGGGTCTTCTAATATCATGCAAAATTTTAATAGAAACTACTATGTAATCGATTCTCATAATATCCTAAATTGTGACTTTCGTCTCATTTTTATAATTTTGTGTGTGCTGTTTAGCCGTTGTGTGCAGTATAAACAATTCTGAATGGTTGTCGGGTGTAAATATGGTTATTACTCCAGTAAGGTTTTGTTGCCGAATCAGAGAGTAACTTAACCGAGAGTCTGGAAACGTGAGGCATTTTTAACATCACTAGCTTGTCTTCCTGTATAAAGAGTAGTGTATACAGTATGGTTTTACTTCATGTCGGGGACATGAAGCTTGTTGGAGATCCTCCAAGGTACTTTCTTCAGGTACACGATACATTCTTTAGAATGAACCCAACAGTGGTTGACTAACTCCCAGGTACCTATTTACTGCTAGATGAACAGATGCATCAGGTTTAAGGAAATGCCCAAAGTCACGCCCTGTCTGAAAACTGTAACTCTAATCCTGTCAGTCATGAACCAATTATGTGATCCCTATATGGTTGTTACTTTTTTCATCAATTCTGAACCGATTGATAAAGATTAAGCCACCCAAGAGGTGGCACGGGCATGAATAGCCCGTAAATTTCTGAACCATTTCTGTGCCTTATTTGTATTATTTGTACAGGTTACGCTGCCTTTTCATCGTCTGAACAGATTATGCGCCTTTTTTGTCATATATGAACGGGTTATGTTACTTTTCATCACGTTTAAACTGGTTCTGTTCCTTCTTATATTAAGTACTGTAAATGTTAATACATTCAAACGTGATGAAAAATAACATAACCTATTCAAGTGTGATGAAAAAGGCATACAACCTGTTCAGACTTGATGAAAAAGTAACATAACCCATTCATATGTGACAAAAAAGCCACAGAACCTGTTCATACTTGATGAAAAAGTAACAGAACTCCTTCAAATATGACAAAAAACGCAGAGCCCATTCGGACTTGATGAAAAGATGCAACCCGTTCTCGCAAATTCGTAAAGTCAATATTGACTTATTAACTACGTGCATAGGTGATATACTAAACATAATAGATACCCTTAAAAAGATTCATAGAAAACACCGACCTTACCTAACCTTGTTAGTATCTTAAGATAAGCATCTTATTCCTTCGTAATTGAAATTATTACTTAACCTATACCTATTATAGGTTAGGTAATAATTGTAATTACGAAGCAATAAGATGCTTATCTTAAGATACTAACAAGGTTAGGTAAGGTCGGTGTTTTCTATGAATCTTTTTAAGGGTATCTATTATGTTAAGTATGTCACCTATGCACATATTTAATAAGTCAATATTGATTTATTAAATTTGCGAGAACGGGTTGCAAGATGACATAGCCCATAGGGAGCCAGTCGGCCGAGCGGACAGCACGCTGGACTTGTGATCCTGTGGTCCCGGGTTCGATCCTGGGCGCCGGTGAGAAACAATGGGGAAAGTTTCTTTCACCCTATGCCCCTGTTACCTAGCAGTAAAATAGGTACCTGGGTGTTAGTCAGCTGTCATGGGCTGCTTCCTGGGGGTGGAGGCCTGGTCGAGGACCGGGCCGCGGGGACACTAAAAAAAAAAAAAAGCCCCAAAATCATCTCAAGATAGCCTATTCAAATGTGACGAAAAAGGCACAGAACCCCTTCAGATGTGATAAAAAGTACTTTTCTCATCAAAGTAAATCCCTCCATTTCAGCAATTTCTTGTGCTCTGGAAGTTGAAGTGAGTATCAAGCAATTAATAGGATATCTAGATTTGTAGGTTCTCATAATCCATCGTAGCATTTTCCTGCCTGACATTATACAGTACTGTATTTGTTATTTGCTTGGTATATATGTACAGTAGGTGTGATGGAGGGAGCTGGTGGGAAGAGGGAGGGTGTTCTCCATCTTGGGTATACAGTATGCAGGTATGGTGGAGGATTTTATGCCCCTGCTGGGGCATAAAAAGTTAGGAAGAAGGGCATAAAATTTCACTTTCCCGTAGTCATTGATCACTAAATACTAACACAGAATTTTGCCACCTCCAGCTTATCATTATCCTGCCTTCGGGTATGGCTTTTTCGCACAAATTACTTTGGTATCACTCCATGATCTGTGGAGAATATATAATGTTAATTGTAAATGTTTGTTTTGGTGCCCATCTGTTTGGTCATCTTTAAATAAATTAGACACCACTAAAGAAATTAAGTCAAGCTACACCTCTCTTGATAAGCTATGATGAAAACATACTTAGTTATAATTAAAAAAAGAATCATCTAAACACAACTAGAAGACATAAGGGGAAAATCAGTATCATCCATCTCTGAAAAAATATATATATATTAAAGCTCTTTTTTTTTTTTATTTTAGATTGTCTACTTAAAGAAGACTCCTGAGGAGGCTTATAAACCCCTGATTGGTGGCAACAGTCCACCATTTTGTCCATTTCGCGATGCAGCTTACGGGATGTCAACATATCATCTAACATTGCTTGACTGCCTACAAGCTATTGACAAAGCCTTCAAGCTTGGTTTCTTCAATTTTGAAGACTTCGATGTAGACGAGTATGAATATTATGAGGTGAGATTGATAATTACTGCACTGTATCTGTAAATTTCCTCCATTTGTTTTATTAGAGTTCATTGTTTATATGGAATGTCATGGAAATAGTATGTTCATTTGGAATATACTGTATTATAAAAAAAACTATTCTATGTATTTATTGCTAATTTTTTTTATTAAATAGAAAGTGCAAAATGGAGATTTCAACTGGATCATGCCTGGAAAATTCTTGGCCTTCTGTGGACCCCATGCAGAAAGTAAAATCAAGAATGGTTATACTCTGCACTCGCCTGAAACATACTTCAGTTACTTTCGCAAGCACAATGTCACCAGCATTGTCAGACTCAATAAGAAGATTTACGATGCTGCTCGGTTTAAGAATGCTGGCTTTGAGCATTATGACATGTACTTTATTGATGGTTCCTGCCCATCAGATGACATTATGAGAGAGTTTCTGCGAGTTTGTGAAAATACGGAAGGCGGTATTGCAGTCCATTGCAAAGGTATTGTCTGAAATTCCTTTTGCACTGTATACAGTATTTATCATTTCATGTTTTCTAAATAAGATTTTGGCTTACAACATACAATATAATAGTTTAATTTTGTCGCTTACTCAGATTTTAAAATTGTTTTTTGATGAACCTAAAATCGTCAAGTGTATTCCCTTGGGGGTAAATACTATATAAAGCTACTTTTATACTTTTAATACATTTTCAGAGGGTGGAAAATTTTGTATATATGTGTAGAGAGTATTATGTGCATCACTACAATTTGAAAAGGTTTCTTGCTTTCCTTTTGTCTGGTGTTCTTATAGTTTTCTTAGACATGTATTATAAGCTTGGAAATTTTCTTAACTTTACAGTATTGTTTAAAATATCTCTAGGCTCCAGTTTCTTTACCAGGGCAAATTTTTTTTTGGGGAGATGAGGTTGCTACACCAACAGATATGATCTCCTAAGTGATCACATCTGTTGGTCCCTGTATGATCTCTTAAGAGAGTACAGTATGTATTATAAGAGTACAGTGACTTTCATTGTGATAATGTAATTCTACTTTCGTCTTTCAGCTGGATTAGGTCGAACTGGTTCCCTCATTGGATGTTATATAATGAAACATTTCCGATTTACTGCTGCTGAAATTATTGCTTGGTTGCGCATATGTCGACCGGGCTCTATCATTGGTGGTCAGCAACAATGGCTTACCTCGTAAGTTATGAAGACATTTTACAATTTTATATAATAGATCTTAGAATTCAATACTTTAAGGAAAAGTTTGTGTACTGTTACTCTTGGTACTGATTTAGCATTGAGGGGAAAATATGAATATAATGAACAAATATTTGTATAAAATACTTTTCAGTTATAAATAATTATCCTCAATATCATGTCTGATAAAAAAAAATATACAGAATATATATATTTCTTCCGATACAGCAAGCAGTCATCATTATGGCTTGAAGGCGATATATTTCGGGGACGTAATAAAAACCAGAACCTAAACAAGAAATGCCAGTTTGGTATATACAGCATTGCTTATCGTGAGCATGTTGCTAACATGCGAAATAACCAAAACAAAAATAACTGCAAGAATCATATTCAGAAGCAGCAGGTAAGTTCAAATTTTTAGTATTAAATTAAATTTTGCCCCGAGGGGCGAGTTTATTGGGCAGCGCCACTCATCTTTAGTATGTGAATTCTCTAAACTTAAATTGCCATTTTATGCAGTCGAAGATTAAAGGGGGCGTTATCTGTGTTGACAAATGTGCAGAATGACATTATTAATAGATGAAATTAAATATTTAAGATCTTAACAGGTTCAGATGTCAAGAAAAGGCAGTAACATGTTTTGGAATGAGTGTAGGGCATTTAAAAAGACCAGTGGAGCAGAGGAGGATAAATAAGGAAATTGTAGCATCTATGAATTTGTTATTGCAGGGATTGGTATAGAAGGAATGAAAGGAGGATATGTATGAGAGATATTGTACGGGTGAAAGGGGTGAAAAAAGTAGTTAACGAGATGGATGTACATTGGTGAAGTAAGAGGACCAAATGGTAGATTACTAATATCTTGAGATGGGATAGTGGAACTATATATATGAAAGAAATGGTGGGAAAGGGGTTTAAGAGGGCTTAAGAAAATGAAAGGTTAGCATGGTCATAGAGCCTTGTGGAGAAACTTGTGCTGTGGCCTAAACCTGTTTTTCATTAAAAATAAAAAATAGGCAGTGTATTGTCCACATAAAATTTGACTTGAACTTGCACTGTGTAACCTGCATAAAATGAACCTTAGTATCTTAACAGGGAATCATATCTTTATGGCTGTTTTAAATGTTATGTCATCACCCATTTTTAATACACACATATCAGGACCCTTTTCACACTGATGATTTTTAATGTGTTTTTGCAGACTTTCATTTTTTCAATTGCTGACAAGTACAATTCACATTCATTCCAGCTTAACGGCAACTCATCTGATGAGGCAGCTGACCGTGAAGAGAATGTCCAGGTGGTGCTGAGTGGAGTAGATACCCTGAAGCTAGATGATCATACCTCTCACACCGACAACCATGAGAAATACATCGAGGTAAAATAATTTTAACAAGTTATTTTTTCTATTGGTTATTGATCATATTTGTATTAATTGTGCATGTATTTCTTTCTGGGCTATACCACTTAATTGTTTCTTTGGGCAAGGACCTACTTTCCTCTGATTAGGATTTGACTTGGAGCAGGTCTAAGGTCGATGCTGGCACAATGGAAAACATTTCAAACTGTCCTCATTGGGTCATACTGCTCTACCCCAGACTGTGAACAAAAAGTTCATTACACAAAACTAAGGCTCTTGCTGGCACAACTTTGGATCATAACTGTCAAGCTGCGCCCTAGCTAAATAGTAAGTGGCCACCACCAGAGAAGAGAACTACAGTATTACGAGAAAGTGCCAAGTCATTACGACTGGCTACCACCAGAGGGAGGCACTAACACCATATTAAAACTAACCATATGCCTATCTTCTGGCTTACCAGGAATGTGTTGAACAAGGTTTTCTAGTGAATATTTACCTTGTTTATTATTCTTCAGTTGGATCTCTTTGTTTTTGCATGTAGCCACATGTTGCCTGTGCTTGCAGGATTCAGCTCTGGCTCTTTGGTCTTGCCTCTCAACTGTCAATCAACTTGGCATTGTGAGAGGCAGGAGTACCCTGCTCTGAACCCTGTGATTATATTAGATTGTGAGTTTATTTCATCAACAGCCTGACTGATCAAATTATCAATCAGGATGACAAGCCAGAGATTGGACTGCTGGAATAGTAATTTGGAACCTACGCTGGGTATTGATGGAGATACCTGCATTGAAAGAGGGAAAAAATGAGCCTCTCGTGTACCATGAATGATGCAGTGTCACAATGCTCTGCGGCTATGTTTGAATATATACTTGTATATATTGTTTCTTTTTTATTTGAATACAGTACTTATATCTATTTTGTGTGTTTGAATAATATATATAAGTTTAATGTTTATACTGACATGAATATCATCATCATATTGCCCCACTTCCCATTTTCACATAATGGAAAGAGGCATTTGGTAGTGGGAGGTAAGTGACCAGGATAGGAAAAGAAAGTTGAACATTTTTCATTTTCATTTTATTTGTCATGTTAAATAGTATTAAGAATAACCATCTTTCCCTGCTTCATAAAACTTGACAAGTATTCTTCATGAATTCTCATGTACAAAGATGTCAATCATTGAATCAATCAGTGATGTCAATCACTCTTAAACTTTTTCCACGTAGCTTTATTCACATCCATGTATTCCTGAAATTATAGTACAAATAATATGACAAATGAAATATTTCACAGGATGTAGCCAACAGTAACACTAATGCCAAGGATTCAGAAACACGTATAATCAATGGCATGTCACAAGGAGACCGTCTAAATCAGCTTAAAGCATCTCGTTCCCACTCAAGATCTGCAACAACTGGACGTGTCAAGTAAGTAAAAAACAGCAGTTGGGTTTGAATGTTGATGTTTGACGATTGTGCGCGAGGAAATTATTATGCAAGACAAATATTTTTTAGTATTCAACAGGTGAAATACCGTATATACTTAATGCAAATTGTTTAAATATTTTATCTTGTATAAAGTATATCTTTTAATAGCTTGGACCCCAAAAACCACCTTTCATAATTTTGTTTATTCTCTCATAAAGCATTCAGTCTACATTGTAAGCTTTTAGGGTACACTAGGGGTTTCATGCTTGTTTATACAGAATTCCACTGATGCTCCCATAGTAGTCGTGCTCATCCTGCAGGCTGCGCCACACACTCGCTTCATGCGAGTTTGAAGAGTGCTCGTCTGCTTTGCTATACGCCGACAATCATTTCTTCTGTTTCTGCCAAGCTGTTTGTTGGGTCAGTAATCCCTTCGACCCTTAGACATGCAGCATTTGAATTCGTTGGGTCTGTTTTATATGTGCCTGCCTCAAGGCAGGAGACTTATCATGCAGCCAGCATGATAAGTCGTGCTGACTGCCTACATGATAAGTCGTGTTGGCTGCCTGCATGAGCCTGCATGCCCTGTAGGCTCACATTTCCCTCATTTGTGGTTCATGGCTTGATACTTGAATGGATGTCCCAAAGTTGGCCCTTTAGGTGTTTAGGGACCCAGAGTTGGAGGGGTTGGTAAATTCTACCTGCTCTTAGCTTACCCCTCCTACTCCTCCCTCTGTTGGTGTACTGTAGTTTGCCCTCGGTCTGATCTTCCCATACTTGTTTGGAAGTGTCTGAGAATGAGGCAGTCCAGTAGGGGGTGCAGCCTCACCTGTTAGTCGGGAGGCAAATCTCATGCAGTCGAATTCCTGGGCTCTTGCGTTTCCTTTGGGTGAAGTTATCTCAGCTTGTCATCAAATTACGCATTGAGAATAGGTTGTTCTGCTTGAGTTTTGAAAAGGCTGTGCACTAGCCTTTTCACCGTTTGCCCCTTTCACAACACTGTAGGGGATGTCTGGCTAATTTTGAGAGTTTCCTATCCCATAAATCTTGGGCTTACCAGTTGTTTTCCAGGGTCTTGTTCCCTTTCCCTTCTGTTAGGTTCAGGGGTCTTGGTTCTGAAGTATTCTTCTCTCAGTTCTGTGCTGACATTGCGACGTGGTTGGATTCTGGTATGATCGAGACAATCTTCAGTGGGTATCCCAGTTGTTCCCAGTCCCCGAAATTCAGCAGACCTATGGTACATTTTCATCCTCTCAGGATTGAACAGCTTCATTTCTTGTTGGACCTTCCACATAACCATTTTACCCCCTGATTAGCCTTGTGTTGCAGGCAGATTCTTGGATGATGTTCTTGAACCTCAATGACATGTACTGGCATCTCCCTATTCACCCAAGGTGCATTTGGGGCATCAGACTTACTGCTTCAAGGTTTTGCCCTTTGGCGTGAATCTGGCTCCCCAGATCTTTACTAGATTATCATGGGTAGTTGTGATCTGACTATGTCTCTTGGGGGTTCATGTTGTTGCTTATTTTGACAACTGGCTAGTTTGGGCTCCCAGCCAGTCTGGATGTCAGCTCTCAATGATATGGTTCTTATCCAGCTTGCCAGGTTCAGGTTCCTGGTGAATTGGCCAAAGTTCCAGTTGTTTCTGCTCTAGGTTTGGACCTGGTTTTGGATTCCCACCTGGTATCTCTCTCCCTGCCTCCTGCAGCTCTGCTCTGCCTGCAAAGGCAGAAACCAGTGTGGTTTGGGTCTACCCCGGGTGACTTGTTGAAAGGTTGTGTAGGAACCTTAACTTTGCTTGCATGGTATTTCTTGGGCAGGGTTTGGCCCTGTGTGCTGTACTGTTTTCTCTGGTTCTGCCTGTTTCACCGCTGCCTGGACCATTGGGGTTGAGGCCTCACTGGCTTTCTCTGGGGTTTGGTTTATCCTCACCAGTCACTTTGTGTTCTTGAAAGCCTCAGCTTCAGGGGCCTCCAGATATATGATGTCAAGGGTGTTATAACCAACGCTTACCAAGCTTCTCCAGGTTGGTGTTGAGTCCTCTCCTTTGGATTCTGCAAGTTTGGGCAGAATTGACTTAATTGTCAGGAGCAGAAGCCTACAGCACCTCAAATGGTGGTGCCATCTGTTGGTGGCTATTCACACCAGGGGAGTTCGAGCTAGTTTTGAGTGAACAATTGGCTTTGAATGAGTTGTTTCGTGAACCATTTAACACTTTCGCCCGGGCATGACGCAGCATTGCGTCATCCGTTTACTGGCGGTAATACCGGGGATGACGCAGCATTGCGTCATCCAATTTAAATAATCGCCAAAAATCAGGTTTTTATCCGATTTTTTTGGGACTAGTTTTAAAATGTGCGCCGATGTCTTCCCATTTTCTTTGTTGAGCCTCGTGGCCCTCAGGTGGCTTGGCACACGCCGTGGGCCCATTGTTTTCGCTCCACTGTTGTGACCAATGTCGCCTCCCCTCGCATCTCAAACGTGTGAACATTTCGGCTATTTTCCGTGGCTATATTTCTTACTGCGGCTTTAGAAACTATCTACCCTTACTCCACGATGGATAGTGATCATGAACAAGGCCCTTCCAGGAAGAAAATTGCGAAAGAAAGGCTTGAAAAGGGAGGGAATTGGGAGTGTAGGTGGAAGGCGTCTGAGCACTCACTCGCGGCTAACGTGTGGCCCGTCTTCAACTCGTCGGCGGTTGGAGCGTGACCAGGTTTTATATTTTATATGCTAATGTTCCTCTAGAGAATTCTATTGCGAACCCATTGAGACCAAAATGAAAGACCTAGGACAGAAATTGAGGTGACCAGAGTGAAAATAGTGAAAACATTTTATCGCGTTTGCGCACTCCTGGGGTAACTCGTTCGCACTTTCTCTGTTTGCTGCGGGTAATTAGCCGGGCTTTTGGAGTTTATATGCATTTAGTGCTGTAGAGAATTCTATTGCGAACACAATGATACCAAATTTAATCTCGTAGGACGAGAATTAAGGTGACAAAGTTGAAAAGAGTATACACTTTTCAGAATTTACGCGCGCTCCCGTGACACCCTGGGTCCCATATCGCACTATTGAGGGGTGGCGTGCGGGGTGAGCGAAAGTGTTAATTGTTTTGGTGCTTCATTTTCTGTGAACCTTGCAGGTGTCTATATTGCTTCACTTACTTTCAGCTGCTTTTTGCAGCTGAAAGTAAGCAAAAACTTTGCTTACTTAGCAAAGTAAGCTTACTTTGATCATATCACTCCCATAGCTTTCAGCTGGGGAGTGATCATATCACTCCCCAGATTTCTGTGTCTGTGAAAGGGCCAGGTTCTGGCTCTGGTCCTCGGTCGGCCTTTCAGGACTCGTATAGCAAATGTGACTCGGTAGTGCCACAGGGAGAGCCACCGAGTTTCTACTGTACCAGAAAGAGGCATTTCGTTATATTCAATACTTTTTTATGTATCTCAAACATGTGAAAGCTAAGATGTGTTTCTATAAAAGCGTTTAAATTTTATTCTCTCTCTTAACCAGTAAAAACTGAACTATTAATTTGTGCAAAAAAAAAAAAAATGGCTATAAAACAGTATTCGTAGTTTATAAATAAATAAATATTTATATGAATTTAAATTAAATATAATAATATAATACTGAATAATAATAAATATAAAGAATATAAATATGAATAAATATTTCAAACTTGTAACAAAATTACATATTGTGTGAAAGATACAGGTATTATTAACCATATACTTTTTTTTTTTTTTTTTTTTTTTTTTTTTTTTTTTTTTTTTTTTTTTTTTTTTTTTTAAGATTAAAATTTCTCATCCAAAAGTCCCAGCAATATTATTGCTGATATAAATAATCTTGTGTACAATACTTCTTGACAATAACTTATCAATAAATATTTTGATGATAATTATTATCACGTGAAAGTGAGAAATTCAGTAATTATATTAATACTCAAAATTTGTGTGTAATCATAAGAATAAATTCAAATAAAATAATACTTTCATTAGCCTGAATATTTTTGTTATTGTCTTACGAATTTTATCAAAACGTTTTCAACATAACTCGTGTAAAATTGTTTTCTATCATTTTAAATTCATTTGACCTAGATACGGATGTTAATATATATTGCCTGGATTATTTCTGGAGTAGGTTCGGGAAGTTTTACTTCCCAAACCCAGTCTGGAGTTGGGATTGGCTTGAGAGCTTGGCCCAGCTGAATCGTTTTATTTATAAAAGGTAGTTTAAAAGTATTTATAAGATACTTAGTGTAACAACAATGTTGTTGCAGTCTTGAGGACAAAGCCCACATTCGCACCAAGTCCACCCCTTTGGGCAGTGGTAGCAGTGGTGGTGGTGGCGGTGGGAGAGAGGCAGTGCTGTCGCCATTGAAGGCCGGCAAGGTATCCACCCTCACCACAGCCCATCGAGATACTGCACGTAGACCTATACGTACCACCACCACAGCCACCAGCAAAAGGTGAGGACTTGCTCTTGGATGATATATTAGCATTACTTAGGGTTGGAATTAAATATGCTTAGTGCCATGCTTACATTTCCTTAACTGATGATTCTTTCAGCTGTGTATTTTTATAACATTAATGAAACAATATATCATATAAGTACAGTATTTGGGTTTTACTTTGTAGTTATGGGATTCTCTATATCTTCTCTCTTCTTTTCCTCCTCTCCTCTCTCTCTCTTTCTTCTCTCTCTTCTCTTCTTTCCTTCCTCTCTTCTTTCTCTTCCCTCTCTCCTTTTCCCCCCCCTCTCTCCTCTCTCTCTCCATTCTCCTCTTCTCTCTGAATGACACCTGACCCTTGCAGAGGTTAGGCAAGTGCTGATGACTTTACAAGTTTATAAAAAAAATGGCCACTCTGGCCTCCAGGACAAATTATAATCGTTTACGTGTCCAAACATCTACAGATTTCACCTACAGTTACCCGCGTATCATAAGTACTCAGTGGCACAGTTCCCCACAGTTCCCCTCACACACACACACACACACACACACACACACACACACACACACACACACACACACACACACACACACACACACACACACACACACACACTTCTATGCTTGATCTGATATTTACCCTAAATGAGTCAGATATAAGGGAAGTTAAGTTGGAAGCCCCCTTGGGAATGAGTGACCACAGTGTATTGATCTTTGAGTACCTGGTAGAGCTAGGAATTATCTCCCCCCAAAAAGAACTGGGAAACAAAGGGCTGGTGTACAGAAAGGGAAATTATGAGATGAGAAAATTCCTAGAGGATATACTATGGGACACAGAACTCACAGCTAAGTCCGTACAAGACATGATGGACTATGTCACCCAAAAGTGTCAGGAGGCAGTAAACAGGTTTGTCCCTGTATTAGTTTAGGTTTATACAGGAAAAAAAAAAACGAGAAGCAAAGATGAACCCGTGGTTTAATAGGGCAAGTATGAAAGCAAAGGAACTGAACAAAAGGGCGTGGAGGAACTTCTGAAATAACAGAACACCAGACAGTAGAGAGAGATACCAGAGAACCAGAAACATGTTAGTGTGAGAAGAGAAGCTGAGAAAAGGTATGAAAATTATATAGCTAATAAAGCAAAGACCGAACCAAAGCTACTACAAAGTCACCTCGGGAGGAAAACAACAGTGAAGGAACAGGTGATGAAACTTAGAACGGGTGAGGACAGGTACACAGAGAATGACAGAGGTGTGTAAGGAACTCAACAAGAGGTTCCAGGAGGTCTTCACAATAGAACGAGGAGATGTCACTGGGCTAGGAGAGGTGGCAGTAAACCAAGCGGCTTGGAAGGGTTCGAAATTACTAGAGATAAGGTCAAGAGGCACCTGTTGGATCTGGACGTGAGAGAGGCTGTTGGCCCGGACGGAATCTCACCATGGGTATTGAAAGAGTGTGCAGGAGCGCTCTGCTTGCCACTCTCCATAGTGTATAGTAGGTCACTGGAAGCGGGCGACCTACCAGAAATATGGAAGACTGCTAATGTAGTCCCAATATACAAAAAGGGTGACAGACAAGAGGCACTGAACTACAGGCCAGTGTCCTTAACTTGTATACCATGCAAGGTGATGGAGAGATCATGAGAAAAAACCTAGTAACACATTTGGAGAGAAGGGACTTCGGACAACCCATCAACATGGGTTCAGGGAGGGTAAATCTTGCCTTACAGGCTTAATAGAATTCTACGATCAGGTGACAAAGATTAACCCTTAGACCGCACAATACATGTATAGATGATTTGAGAAACAAAACTGAAACCGCGCAATATATTAATTTAATAGATGTTTTAGTGTCTAGCTCCTTAATTTAAACGCCCCGCGTGGGATAGGGGCAGCTATAGTGCAGTCATGACTGTTAGTTGACAGACGCCACCTAAAAAAAATCATGGCCAACATTCCTGGGTGTGAGAGCTTCAGTATTGAGCGAGCCACCAAGGCTGATGCATGCACCATGAGCGCACAGCACTGCTGGTCAGCTTGTGACCACAGCATCGCCTATAAATGTCAAAATATATATGTTCATGCTATTATTTAGTGATGATAGTATTACAGAAGACCCCTGACTGATAAAACTGACCAGGATTCTGATAGCAGGATTGTGGTGATACATAGCGCTGTGCTCCATGGAGGGAGGAGTAATGCTGTGGGAGGGAGGGAGGGAGGGTGGTGGCGTCGTCTTCTAACTGTGTGTGGCCACCTTTTATTGATTGCACTCGCCATACCAGCTTAGTGGTTCACTGTGGTGAGCACAAATGTAGATACTTGTATATAACGTGTGTATAGAGTGTAATAACAGCAATAGGAGTAGGTTGGGAGCCGCCATTTTGGTGAGGTAGGTAAGATTGGCGTGAAGTCACCTGTCGAGTCCCACAGGGCTCTGTACTCGGACCTATCCTGTTTCTGATACACGTAAATGATATCCTATAGGGCATAGACTCATTCCTCTCAATATTTGCTGAGGATGCCAAAATTATGAGAAGGATTAAGACAGAGGAGGACAGCTTGAGGCTTCAAGAAGACCTGGACAAGCTGCAGGAATGGTCGAACAAATGGTTGTTAGAGTTTAACCCAAGCAATGCAATGTAATGAAGATAGGTGTAGGGAACAGGAGACCAGATACAAGGTATCATTTGGGAGATGAAATACTTCAAGAGTCAGAGAGAGAGAGACCTGGGGGTTGATATCACGCCAGATCTGTTCCCTGAAGCTCATATCAAGAGGATAACTTAAGTGGCATATGCCAGGTTGGCTAACATAAAAACGGCCTTTAGAAACTTGTGTAAGGAATCTTTCAGAACTTTGTATACCACATATGTCAGACCAATCCTGGAGTATGCAGCTCCAGTATGGAGTCCATATCTAGTCAAGCATAAGACTAAGCTGGAAAAGGTTCAAAGGTTTGCCACCAGACTAGTACCCGAACTGAGGGGTATGAGCTATGAGGAGAGACTACGAGAATTAAACCTCACATCACTGGGAGACAGAAGAGTAAGGGGGGGGCATGATCACCACATACAAGATTCTCAGAGGATTTGATAGGGTAGATAAAGATAGGCTATTTACCACAAGGGGCATACGCACTAGGGGACACGGGTGAAAATTGAGTGCCCAAATGAGCCATAGAGATGTTAGAAAGCATTTTTTTAGTGTTAGAGTAGTAGACAAATGGAATGCATTAGAAAGTGATGTGGTGGAGGCTGACTCCATACACAACTTCAAGTGTAGATATGATAGAGCCCAGTAGGCTCAGGAACCTGTACATTAGTTGATTGACAGTTGAGAGGCAGGGCCAAAGAGCCAGAGCTCAACCCCCGCAAGCATAATTAGGTAAATTAGGTAACAGTTGAGAGGCAGGACCAAAGAGCCAGAGCTCAACCCCCGCAAGCATAATTAGGTAAATTAGGTAAGTACACACACACACACACACCCCAGATACCAAAACCTGCATGTTTGAAGCATGCATTAGCTTAGATAGTACTGTATTTTTCCCTTGATATTTGGTAAACATTATATTTCCTTATTTTTTAAGTTTTTACATATTTTAACATATTGTGCCTGTCAACAGAAACATACGACACATTGTTATTACTTTGCCAAAATATTTATAGCATTCAAAGCACTTTTCTGGGCTGGCCCCTCAGTATCTTCCCAATGCTTAAGAGTTTGGTATCAGAGGACTTGCATAGGCTTACCAGTAATTAGACTCCAAATTTATTTTGTTCTTCAAGGTGAGGGGAGCTTGAGTATAAGACCCAAAAAAAAACAAAAATCACCTAGAAAGTTCAGGCAAAACAAAACAAACAACTTCTCTTGGCAAGAAATAAAAGGAATGAAAAGAAGTCAATCTATAGTGGCTATGTGCAAATGATCCCCACTCAGCTCTCCCAATTACCATGAAGTGGTACCCCCAGGTCACTAATGGGGTTATGGCCAATGTGCACCCTCTAAAGCACATTACTATTACTTTTTGTGATGCATCTACTTTTTTGGGAAACATTTATTTTGCTGTTAAACATGTAGTGATGTCAATTCTTGGGACATTCTGTTTCACGGGAGTAGTGTTTGGTAAGTCAGCCATATGCTTGTTAAAATAAAGTTTTGGTGCCTTGCTTTGACTTTGGTGTGTGCTTGGGTTCCATTCATTGATTCTGCCTTACTTGTGATATCTTGTGCCTTTCCTTGTCACTTTGACAGGGTTAGGGGTGAAGGCTGACAAAGCTACTCATGGCTCTGGCACTTCTGCTTGTTCTTTAACAACCTGGATTGCAATTTCAGCACTTCTGTGCATCCAGGAAGTTTTATTTGTAATATTCTTCTGTTGGCCGAGTTGTGATTGACCACATCCAATTAAGAGCCAGATTTAGCTTCTTCCTGCTTTTATGGATAAGTTTCAATGTTTTTGGACACATTCCATGTGTCATTCCATGTTCATTTCATACTTTATGTATACCGTTGTTAGTGATGTCCTGATTTTTTGTTCTTGGAGTTTATTCAACTGTCTTAGAAATTTGAGAGCCTGATGGCATTTGTGGCATTGTGGTACCAAAGTTTTTAAGCACCGGAAAGCTACTGAGGGCCACCCTGAATTGAGTGGTTCGTTACATTCGACATTGAATTTTTTTTATATATGAAGTTTAATGGCTATGCAGTGGGACTCGGAACAAAATAACGCTTTATGTAAATATTGAGAGATGATAGTTAAGCACTTACAAATATATTGTTTTGTTTTAAGAATATTCAGTAGGTATAACTTGGCTTTAGAGTATAATTTATTTATAGACTCTGCATTATTAAAGTTATTTTTATATTTAAGATGTTTGATTCAAAACACAGGAGTTTTCTGCACTTATAAAGTATTTAAGGTTTTAATGAATTGGTAAATAAACTAAACACCAGTTAATCTTGGTGTTTTGTAAAGATCCAGTTGCTGTCAAGATTAACATAATAACTTTCTCAAGATAATATATCTTGAAGTTATGTAGAAGACAGTGTTTGGAGCATGTGTATTTATAACATTACCACTAATATGTAGAACTCACATTGATTATTAGTGAATATTACCTTGGAAATGGACTAGTTTTTAATTTTTTTTTTTTTTTTTTTTACTAAAATAAAAATTATATTAGTAGAAACTTTTTATTCAGGATATGAAAATTTTCTACTGAGAATATTGTACAACTGGATTGATTTTTTTTTTTCTATAAATGATGCAGTGGCTGAAAGCAAGCATATTTGGTAGCATTAAGAATAATTTGAAACTTTACCATGAATGAGACCTTTACCTCAAAAACTTTTTCACCCCCTTTACACAAGACATGCATGGCTATTGGGATCAGTGTACCGGGGATCGGCTCAACGTGGCAACAAGTCTCGTGGGGTTGGCCACTCCCCGGGGCTCTTATCAAGCTCTCAGACTCAAACACGTGGTTTGATTCCTGCCTCTGTGATCCCACTGGGTAACTCACAGATTTCTGATAGCTCAGTTCCTCAGAACTTAGGAAGAAAGGCTCATCTGAACTGTTCTAATTCAACATCCTACTCGCCATCCTTGACAAAGTCTTCATTCCATGTTGCCATCTCCTCTTCCCCCATTTCCAAAGTTCCTCCTGTCTCCTCTTCCCTTTCGTCTTATTCTTCTTCGGTAAATGAAAACCAGCTCTCCAGAGCCAGTGAGATTGCCACCACAGCTGCAGCACTGTCAACAGATAATGTGGATAATGGCAATATTGGTGATCATCCTGAGTTGGAAAATAACAACTGTGAACAGGAGCCAGAAAATAGCCGCTGCAACCTCAGAGATGACAATAGAAGCCGGACCTCAAGTGCAGGGAACCAATCTCGGCTCTCACCGCCTGTCGTACACAGCAAACTCCCAATCTATCGTGTAGTAAAGGGAATAACAAATAGTAATCAACTTTTTCACTACCGTTTCTCTCCTGTGTAAGTTAGATGTTTAGTGATTAGTGACTTTATTTTAATTTCGGTTTATTATTATTTGCATGTATTTTTTTCAGATTTAACATTTGTGCTTTGCATTGCCTGCAGAGTCTTTGTGCATAGACTGTCATTTGGGATCGTATTTAATTTTTTATTTCGCATGATTTCCCTTTATGTATATATTTTCTATGCCGAATAGGATAAATATTAGCCACTCCCCGTTTAAAATTATGTAAATTTGAAAGAAATTATATATATGCTTAGTAAACAAATCAAATTCATTACATAAAATTAAGAATTTCTTAAGGCTGAATTTTGCTAGCTAATTATTTATATATATATATATATATATATATATATATATATATATATATATATATATATATATATATATTAGTATATTTTGGTAGCAGTCTTTCCTGTAGACATATATTATTAAATATGACCGAAAAAGTAAGATTAATAATTCTAACACGAATTTTCTCAATCTTTCGTACATTACGCTTCACTGTTGGAGGTAAATCAAAAATCACTTCTCCAAAATTCATTTTTATTTCTAGTCTGACGCGACACGGGCGCGTTTCGTAAAACTTATTACATTTTCAAAGACTTCACAAATACACAACTGATTAGAACTTACGTCTCTCTGATATTATATCTACATTTGAGTGAGGTGGGAAGGATGATGTGGCATTAACACAAGACAGAACAGGGGATATTAATAGGGTATTAAAAGTATCAACACAAGACAGAACAGAAAACAATGGGTATTGAATAGAAGTGTTTGTAGAAAGCCTATTGGTCCATATTTCTTGATGCTTCTATATTGGAGCGGAGTCTTGAGGTGGGTAGAATATAGTTGTGCAATAATTGGCTGTTGATTGCTGGTGTTGACTTCTTGATGTGTAGTGCCTCGCAAACGTCAAGCCGCCTGCTATCGCTGTATCTATCGATGATTTCTGTGTTGTTTACTAGGATTTCTCTGGCGATGGTTTGGTTATGGGAAGAGATTATATGTTCCTTAATGGAGCCCTGTTGCTTATGCATCGTTAAACGCCTAGAAAGAGATGTTGTTGTCTTGCCTATATACTGGGTTTTTTGGAGCTTACAGTCCCCAAGTGGGCATTTGAAGGCATAGATGACGTTAGTCTCTTTTAAAGCGTTCTGTTTTGTGTCTGGAGAGTTTCTCATGAGTAGGCTGGCCGTTTTTCTGGTTTTATAGTAAATCGTCAGTTGTATCCTCTGATTTTTGTCTGTAGGGATAACGTTTCTATTAACAATATCTTTCAGGACCCTTTCCTCCGTTTTATGAGCTGTGGAAAAGAAGTTCCTGTAAAATAGTCTAATAGGGGGTATAGGTGTTGTGTTAGTTGTCTCTTCAGAGGTTGCATGGCTTTTCACTTTCCTTCTTATGATGTCTTCGATGAAACCATTGGAGAAGCCGTTATTGACTAGAACCTGCCTTACCCTACAGAGTTCTTCGTCGACTTGCTTCCATTCTGAGCTGTGGCTGAGAGCACGGTCGACGTATGCGTTAACAACACTCCTCTTGTACCTGTCGGGGCAGTCGCTGTTGGCATTTAGGCACATTCCTATGTTTGTTTCCTTAGTGTAGACTGCAGTGTGGAAACCTCCGCCCTTTTCCATGACTGTTACATCTAGAAAAGGCAGCTTCCCATCCTTTTCCGTCTCGTAAGTGAAACGCAGCACGGAACTCTGCTCAAATGCCTCCTTCAGCTCCTGCAGATGTCTGACATCAGGTACCTGTGTAAAAATGTCGTCAACATACCTGCAGTATATGGCCGGTTTCAAGTTCATGTCGACTAAGACTTTTTGCTCGATGGTACCCATGTAGAAGTTTGCAAACAGGACACCTAGGGGAGAACCCATGGCGACCCCATCTACTTGCTTATACATGTGCCCATCCGGGCTCAAGAAGGGTGCCTCTTTAGTACAAGCTTGGAGTAGTTTCCTCAGAATACTTTCTGGCATGTCAAGAGGAGTACAGGTTGGATCACGATACACTCTGTCGGCTATCATTCCGATTGTCTCATCCACAGGTACGTTGGTAAACAGCGATTCTACGTCCAACGAGGCTCTTATCCCTGTGGCCCGTGTGCCCCGCAGTAAGTCCACAAATTCCTTTGGAGACTTCAGGCTGAAGGCGCAAGGAACATAAGGAGTCAGCAGGCCGTTGAGTCGCTTCGCCAGTCTGTACGTGGGTGTGGGTATCTGGCTAATGATTGGCCGAAGTGGGTTTCCAGGCTTGTGCGTCTTGACATTTCCATACGCATATCCAGGTTTATATTCCCCAATGATCTTTGGCAGGTGGAGTCCGGATTTCTTGGCGTTCACAGTTTCGATCAGTTTGTTGACCTTTGCTTTTAATTCGGCTGTAGTGTCCTTCGTTACCCTTTGGAACTTAGTTTGGTCAGAGAGTATGATGTTCATTTTCGCCAGATATTCGTCTTTTTTAAGAATGACATATATTGGCGACTTGTCACCTCTCCTGACAACTATCTCCTTGTTCTCACGAAGGCTTTTAGCTGCCGCTTTAAGTTCGGGGGACAGTATGGTGCTTCTGTAGTTGCCTCGATTCTTTCCTCCTTCTGCAATAAGTTCTGCTTGTAAGGTATCTTTGGTAGTGACCTTCTTTTGTGTCTCGAGGTCGAATATGTCGTCCAACAGAATTTCCAACTCTACTTTCCGGGCCATTTCCTCACAGACCAACATCACCTCAGCACTGAAACAAGGATTATCAAGAAACTAACAACATTATATGGAGGACCTATGGCAATTCCACGACCAAGAGATGGCTTCCTGAACCTTGCAGGAATTAACCTCACTGAGGACCAAGTCACTCTCCTAAATCTGGGCATAAACTGTCATGTTATGTCCAGACCGAGTGAAATGGCCCGGAAAGTAGAGTTGGAAATTCTGTTGGACGACATATTCGACCTCGAGACACAAAAGAAGGTCACTACCAAAGATACCTTACAAGCAGAACTTATTGCAGAAGGAGGAAAGAATCGAGGCAACTACAGAAGCACCATACTGTCCCCCGAACTTAAAGCGGCAGCTAAAAGCCTTCGTGAGAACAAGGAGATAGTTGTCAGGAGAGGTGACAAGTCGCCAATATATGTCATTCTTAAAAAAGACGAATATCTGGCGAAAATGAACATCATACTCTCTGACCAAACTAAGTTCCAAAGGGTAACGAAGGACACTACAGCCGAATTAAAAGCAAAGGTCAACAAACTGATCGAAACTGTGAACGCCAAGAAATCCGGACTCCACCTGCCAAAGATCATTGGGGAATATAAACCTGGATATGCGTATGGAAATGTCAAGACGCACAAGCCTGGAAACCCACTTCGGCCAATCATTAGCCAGATACCCACACCCACGTACAGACTGGCGAAGCGACTCAACGGCCTGCTGACTCCTTATGTTCCTTGCGCCTTCAGCCTGAAGTCTCCAAAGGAATTTGTGGACTTACTGCGGGGCACACGGGCCACAGGGATAAGAGCCTCGTTGGACGTAGAATCGCTGTTTACCAACGTACCTGTGGACGAGACAATCGGAATGATAGCCGACAGAGTGTATCGTGATCCAACCTGTACTCCTTTTGACATGCCAGAAAGTATTCTGAGGAAACTACTCCAAGCTTGTACTAAAGAGGCACCCTTCTTGAGCCCGGATGGGCACATGTATAAGCAAGTAGATGGGGTCGCCATGGGTTCTCCCCTAGGTGTCCTGTTTGCAAACTTCTACATGGGTACCATCGAGCAAAAAGTCTTAGTCGACATGAACTTGAAACCGGCCATATACTGCAGGTATGTTGACGACATTTTTACACAGGTACCTGATGTCAGACATCTGCAGGAGCTGAAGGAGGCATTTGAGCAGAGTTCCGTGCTGCGTTTCACTTACGAGACGGAAAAGGATGGGAAGCTGCCTTTTCTAGATGTAACAGTCATGGAAAAGGGCGGAGGTTTCCACACTGCAGTCTACACTAAGGAAACAAACATAGGAATGTGCCTAAATGCCAACAGCGACTGCCCCGACAGGTACAAGAGGAGTGTTGTTAACGCATACGTCGACCGTGCTCTCAGCCACAGCTCAGAATGGAAGCAAGTCGACGAAGAACTCTGTAGGGTAAGGCAGGTTCTAGTCAATAACGGCTTCTCCAATGGTTTCATCGAAGACATCATAAGAAGGAAAGTGAAAAGCCATGCAACCTCTGAAGAGACAACTAACACAACACCTATACCCCCTATTAGACTATTTTACAGGAACTTCTTTTCCACAGCTCATAAAACGGAGGAAAGGGTCCTGAAAGATATTGTTAATAGAAACGTTATCCCTACAGACAAAAATCAGAGGATACAACTGACGATTTACTATAAAACCAGAAAAACGGCCAGCCTACTCATGAGAAACTCTCCAGACACAAAACAGAACGCTTTAAAAGAGACTAACGTCATCTATGCCTTCAAATGCCCACTTGGGGACTGTAAGCTCCAAAAAACCCAGTATATAGGCAAGACAACAACATCTCTTTCTAGGCGTTTAACGATGCATAAGCAACAGGGCTCCATTAAGGAACATATAATCTCTTCCCATAACCAAACCATCGCCAGAGAAATCCTAGTAAACAACACAGAAATCATCGATAGATACAGCGATAGCAGGCGGCTTGACGTTTGCGAGGCACTACACATCAAGAAGTCAACACCAGCAATCAACAGCCAATTATTGCACAACTATATTCTACCCACCTCAAGACTCCGCTCCAATATAGAAGCATCAAGAAATATGGACCAATAGGCTTTCTACAAACACTTCTATTCAATACCCATTGTTTTCTGTTCTGTCTTGTGTTGATACTTTTAATACCCTATTAATATCCCCTGTTCTGTCTTGTGTTAATGCCACATCATCCTTCCCACCTCACTCAAATGTAGATATAATATCAGAGAGACGTAAGTTCTAATCAGTTGTGTATTTGTGAAGTCTTTGAAAATGTAATAAGTTTTACGAAACGCGCCCGTGTCGCGTCAGACTAGAAATAAAAATGAATTTTGGAGAAGTGATTTTTGATTTACCTCCAACAGTGAAGCGTAATGTACGAAAGATTGAGAAAATTCGTGTTAGAATTATTAATCTTACTTTTTCGGTCATATTTAATAATATATATATATATATATATATATATATATATATATATATATATATATATATATATAAATAAAATGGAAGGGTATACCACCTCTGGCTGAAAGAAAGAGGACTTTGAGCCTCGGAGGAATTCACACGCAACGCATTAGAGGGAATGTTTAGGTCCCCTCCAATACAGTGTGTGCGCTCTTCTATATACCGTGTGTATGTATGTATGTATATATATATATATATGACAATGTCAGACCACGGAGGAAAATGAAACAGGAATTTCCTTAAGTACTTTCGTATATTAAATACATCTTCAGAAGGAAAATACATCTTCATTCCTTCTGAAGATGTATTTAATATACGAAAGTACTTAAGGAAATTCCTGTTTCATTTTCCTCCGTGGTCTGACATTGTCACATTCTTAATCACGTGTTTATTTTCATGATATACACACACACACATATATATATATATATATATATATATATATATAATACACACACACACACACTGTATATATGTAATATGAAGTTCAACTTTTTGTGTTATTAGAAATATAGTACTGTACTGTACATTAGTGTTTAAAATTTCCTGTTCAGCAAATCCTTTCCATTTTTTCGTTGATTGATGCTTTATCACCATTGTTCATTGTAAAGGCACGCTATACCTGAGAATGTTTGTATGTATGTGTGTGTGTGTGTGTATATATATATATATGTGTATGAGTTATTTATATATATATATATATATATATATTATTTTGCATCATAGAATATTCTGTGCTTTGTAAGAGTGGCAGTAATTGTTTTGTGTGTGTTTAAATATGAAGTATATTTTGATACATTAATGTGCTTGCATTGGTTTATATAATTTTTACATTTAATAGATTTTTTAAAAGCCTTCTCATTTTGATTTACAGCCGAAACTCGAACACACTCGCCAGCCGTTCCACGAAAGCTGCCCTCGTCAGATGACTACCAATACTGCCCACCACGAAAAACAAGAACAGCAAGAAAATCACTGAGAATAATACATCATCACCATCATCAGCATCTTCCTCAAACACCAACACCACCACCCTCTCCTCCAGCAACAAGACTTCTGTCAAGAAATCTCGAATCTCTTCCATCGGCAAGCTTAGCTCCACCGAGAACTCCCCCACCCACTCCGACACATCCAACAAGTCGCAAACTACCCCCACCAACTCCAGTAATGATAAAGAGTCGGATGCCCAATTCATCTCAAGTGACAAAGAGGATAAAATCTTGTCCAGCCCTTCCAGTCCAGAGAGAAAAAGTGCTTCAGCAGAGCTCCGGAACACTTCCAAGACTGCCAAAGGTACTTCCAAGTCTTGGTCATTTGAGGTTGTGTCAGAGAGTAGGTCTAGAGGGGAGACCAAAGTGTCACGATCTGCTCCCCCAGAGTTGAGAAAAGCTATATCAGGTGAAGGTAAGGGAGGGAAGAGTGCTTTGGGGACAAATTTTTTAAGATCTGGTCGTGGTGTCAACCGAAATGAGTTAGGAGGAAAGAAAAGTGGTGGGCTTAAGAAGCGGTCGCATAGTCCTTCAAACAGAGAGCCAGGGAGAAGCCTCAAGACTCGCAAATCTCGAAGTAGGGTTACTAGTCCAGAGCCTGTTGTGAGTGACACGTCAGAGAGAAGCAAGTTAGAAAAGAGTAAAGAAGCAACCCACAAGAAAAAATCTTCACAAACTCAGATTACTGAATACTACACAATTCGGAAAGAAAAGAGTACTTACAAAGTAATAAGAACACTTCCTGATGATCCCCCCAGTGAACGAAGCACACGAATCCGATCAGGATGGGATGAAGATGGAAAGCGAGTAACAAATGTGAGTGCCATCACAACACGGCGCTCTCGCCACATTCCCGACGAGTGAAGTATAGTCGATGTATTGTAACGTCAGTGTATTATGTTATTCTAAAGAAATTGTACAAATGTTAAAAATGTTAATTTTTCATAGACGTGATATAAAAGAGCAGGGCTCTCTCTAATGAATTAGAAAATATAATAATTTTGTAATACTCTGAATGCCTTTGAGTCTTGGGAAGCCTCTCCATTTTTTTACTTTCCCAAAGATATAAAAGTTTGACTAGGAGCCAGATCTATGTGTGCCTGAAGTATGATAGATAAGTGTTGTGCCATGTCCTTATGTTGTTGTACAAATTACATATAGGTCTGAGAACTTGTGCTGGAGTGTCGATAATTTTTCTTATTATTTTAGAGCCTTGGGCCCGAGTACATTGATGCTCGGGTGCAAGGGAGCTTTTAATTAATCTAAGAAAGTGAAATAAGAAATCATTAATTACTTGTTACTTATGTAATGTGAATAGTAGTTATAACAAGATTACCATGTGTTTAGAGTAGTTTTTCTTTTGGGCTGCTATTGGTGGGCAGTTAATAATTTGCTAATTTTCTTTAGAATATTTATTTGTCAGAAGTCATATTGCTCTTGCTGGAAATGTTAGGCAGTTTTTTTTTTTTTTTTTTTTTTTTTTTTTTAAGAACTGAAATTTTCCTATTATATTTAATATTGAGTGCTAACACATTACACTAGGTTAAACCATAGGTAGTGCTGCCTCCATGACAAATAACCTAGCATCATTTGAGACATGATTATAAGTGATACTTATTGAAAAGGCTCCAGTTAAGATACTAGTACTGTACTTAATACATTTATTGATCACTGGAGATGTACTTTACTCTATTTTTGTGATGGAAGACAATGCTTTTTGTGTACTTTATTGCCCAAATGATGCTTACAGTTAAATATGATATTTTGAACTTTTTATCTGTATAAAATATATTTTGTATATAACAAAAAATGTATCAAATAGTGTATATTTGTGCATCAAATTAGTATACACAATAGATACTGTAATGTATTCCATTTCTGAGAATATATTGTACAGATTTCAGGTGCATTGAAGAAAGCTTTATGAGGAACTTAATACTGTATTTAAACTAGATACTGTACTGTGATGGCAGATCAAAAGTAAACAAATCCTGTTTTCTTTATAAAGCTTAGTGAAATTTCTTAAGAGACTGCACCTTCTTAATTACTTTCTTAAAAAGATACCTTTTTTTATGTTCTGCTTCAAAATAGGCATATTGAGAACCCAAAACTATGCTTGCAGTTTGCTAGGGATTCAAAAGTATCAATTTTAAAGTATGTGAAGCAGTTGTCTGAATTTTATAGTTCCAAATATTTACAAACTAATATTTTGGCATATTCATTTTGCAAACTGAATTGATACTGTTTGCTTTTGTTTTATCATTCATATTTATTATAAATTATTTAAATATTTTATTCAATATTTTTTTTTTCCATATAGAAGTTATAGAAACACACATCAGGTTTATAAGATGTTTGCTTCACTTCTCAGAGCAATTTTGTTTTGTGTAATACAGTGGAGCATCTTAAAACTGAAATGACTGGGGCCAAGCAATGCAAGAATTAGATGCTATATCTTAAACAAATACACACACACACATGGGGTTAGAAAGGTGGGGTCCAAGAGCTAATAGCTCAATTCTGCCGACACATAGTAAATACACACACACATACACTGCATATATGCATATTATTTTTATTTTGATAGGCATATTGAGATATGCCTAGCATTAGGGCTGGGGATACCTCACTTGATTAGCTGTAATCAAAACATGGTTAAATTTAATATTTTTAAATACCCTAGATTTTTAAATTTTTTTAAAGTAATCAAAGTTTGGTTTAAAGATTCTCCACTGTATTAGGGAAAGATGTTTTAAAGAATATTTAGTAAATTTGTCTATGAAATCTAATTATTTTTATAGATTAAATTTAACATTTTATTTCATTTATACTGAGTGCAATTTCAGCTCTTAAAAAATTTAATTAGTAAAGAAATATAAAGTACACCAAGTTACAACTGCTAGCAACAGAACTGTAACAATAAATGAGCCATTCTATGGCAGAAAAGAGTATACTGTACTGTATATGAGGAAACGTCACAATTATTGAAGACTAAAGTTGGAAGACTTTCATCCTGACAAGACCTCTTCAGTTGTGACAGCAGCAGCCCTGTCACTAGGACAAATGTTTATGCCTCAAGTCTTCAATAATTGTGGCCTTGCCTTGGACATTTTTTGCATTAGTGTGAAACACAATAAAAATATATATATGCATGCATATGCAGTAATGTCACGGAACGTGATGTTGGATTGCAAGAATAACCACACTAAATAATAGAAAAACGTTTAAACACTTCATCCTTCTCAGAACCTTCCTGAAAGGGACAAGAGTGCTCAAACCAATTCTGCTATTCAATTTAGTTATGCTTATATGTATTATAAAAAAAATGTAAGTCTTTTCAGCTGTATAAATATTTGTGTACTGTACTGTGTTTGTTTTGAGTAATGCTGAATATATATTTTTTCTGTACTTTAGATTTTTTTTATCAATTTTTTTTTTTATGGCTATTTCGTGTATCAAGAATTATTTTAATATATTAAAAAAATACATTGCAAGATTTGACTGATGCTAAAACTAAAAGTATATACCAGGAATACTTGTTTTCTGATATGCACAAAATTTTAGATTTTCACAGATTAGCTTGATGCTGTATTACAATTTATCATATAATATCCTTTGTTTAGTATAAAGGTACATGCCTATTAGCAGTTTGTATAATTTGTCACCAGCTATCATCATTCATGTAGAGCTTATTTTTCATATTTTTAAACAACCATATTTTTCATCTTGCATGTCTACTGTATATATACAGCTTACTTGTTAAAAGTACCATAGTATTTAGTCTATGCTCTGTGCAATTATTTTAAAGTTTGGATTAATTATATTCTGAAATTTAGGCAAATGATTATTTTTGGCAAAGTTTCCCGAGTTAAGCACAGGTCCAGCCTTATCTGAGTGAAGTACACCAGGTCTTGTATCCACCCTTGAGACTCTTGTAGGCCCTTGTCTACAGAAGCCAGGATGAGAATCTCTCTCTCTCTCTGAGATGAGATGAGAGGATCCTGAGGATCAGAGATCAATCCAAAACTTAGAAAAGTATATATCTAAAAAGTATTGACAAGGCAAATATTTTAAGAAAATTAGGTACCCAAAAGTAATGAGGCAAACTAGTGATGATGCAGGTTAAACACTCGAACCTTGTAGCACATAATCACCACTATGTGGCAACCCTCATTTTCCAGACAGCTTGCATCCTTACAAGCAGCCCAAATACATCCCACCACACCATGGAGAAGGAACTATGGTAGGGACAAGGAATTACTTAGGGCCCCACCTGAAATTAGCATTTAATTACAGTTAGTATTTCCTTGAGCTACTGAACAACAGTGCATCAAAAGAGTAGACAAGCCATTTTGAAAAAGATCCGTTTAGTAATAAAAGCAACAAATTAAGCCAGGGTTGTTGACCAGACCACACAAGAAGGTGAAGGGACGGACCGAAACGTCGTCGTCCCTTCACCTTCTAGTGTGTGGTCTGGTCAACATACTTTAGCCACGTTATTGTGATTCATCGCCTGCATAAGCCAGGGTTTATGCATGGGAGAAGACAGCAGGAACAGAGGATTCAAGACAAAAAACAAAACTGCTTGCCAAATACAGTAATTCAAGTCAACATCAGTGTGCTGAGGCCAAGGGATATCTCATAAATAGTGCGAGACCAAAAGTATCAAAAGCTCCAAAACGAGGCTAACTGGACATACTTTATTGGCAACATAAGCTATGAGAGCAGCAAAACACTGGCCATCATGTGTGAGAGAATATATTTCCAGATTGCTGGAACAGACCCTGTTGCTGAGGACCTGGAGGAATCTGCCCTTGTAACGGAATGTCAAGATTCTAGTCCTGGCTTCCAGAAGGCAAGGGCAAGTCTTGGGCTTGGTGCATCTTAAGACATGGCTGGACCATTGCTAAGCTCTGGAAGCTAATGAGGGCACCTCCATAATAATTTTTTTTTTGTTTTTTTTTACAAAATATCAATCTTTTATTTTTATTAAAGAATGGATCATCTGCATATAATTAATTACAAGTTACATATCTCATACAGTATTGTATTATTTTTGTTGTGATGTATACTTAAAAAAATAAATTGATGTACGTATATGCTTTAAAAGTAATCACTAGTGATAAAATTGAATGTTACGAGAAAAAATGCCTTATGCATGAGATTCAGATTTTAATAGCTATCATATTATTGAATTCCAGTTGTATGAAAATTCAAACATTTGTTTTGTATTATTGTATATACTATGCATTATGTTGTATGTTTTTGTTAAAATAGCTAGGATTTCAGATGTGGGAAAATCACAAGTTTGGGTTTTACAAAAGTCAGCATTCAGGTACTGCACTGAACTGTACCTGGTTTCTTGCTGTAGTACATGCCAATCTGAATTTTAACTACCGTAAATTTTGTTCAGGATAGATGTTAGCATCAAGTCATAAGTACAGTGATTGCTTGCCTGTTATCAGGAGTCAGTCCATATTTATGCTGTTTTTATTTAACAAATTTGTGTTCTGTAATACATAGTATTATACTGAAAGAAATGGAAAGTGTTCAAAGATTATACAGTGTTCACCTGTTGGTCTGGCTTCTTATATATAAATATTTATAAGAAAATGTCTCTTTGAGTACAGGTACTATTTCGTTTATATAACATGATTGCTTTTTGGGAATTGAACTATTTTTCTAACCCTGTTTGTTATGCAATAGAGGTTTGTAGTGTCTTATTTGAGAAAAAATATTAAATACAGAATATCAAATGAAAATATTGTTTGCATTCTTCCAATAGCTTCAGATCTGATTTTGAGCCAAATACAAATGAAAGGCTGTTGTAGAAAATATGCTTTTGTTATAGTAATTACAAGAAGTTTGGGCAGGCAAAATATTTGGGCTCGGCTCATTCAACCAAAAAAAATCTTATCCATAAGAGCTATAAAACAATGGTGAGTATAAAACTTAAGAGCTCTTTTACATACCAGTAATAATCTTTTCCACAATATAAGTACAGTATTTCTCAAGAAATATCTCATACTTCGTGTGATTCTCCACAAAAGTTAGAATTTCATTTTTGTTTTTTGTTTAAAAAACTCAACTTTTTTTAACTCAAATTTCAACTTTCATTGGAAAGTATGGCCTTCAGCAATTACAGTAAACATAAATGCATAAATAATATTTTTTACATAGATCCACTTACACTAGGAGAACTATTTAATAGTTCTAGTATGAGTAACAACCCACAACATTTTATTGAGACATTTCTAGAGGGAATGAAAGGTGGCTCCCTAAAGCTAGTTTGCTGATGTAGCTCTTTTTAAAATGCCACTGGAACAATGGCAACTCCAGCACACTGAGCTTCCATTGGGTTCCAGGTGAACCCATTGGGTGATGCCCATGTGTTCCGTTACAGCCCTCTAGAAAGTGCTTGAGGTCAGAATTACCATTACTGTATAGTCCCTTCTTTGATAATTACTTAACATTACAGTGCAAAGTTTTAAAGATGTAGAACACACTTGAGAGGAGGTGCAGCAATTTCATACTTAACATTTTTGGAGATAATGTGCTGTTTGGGGTTGGAGTTTGTTATTGTTTTAATTGCTGATTTATGTTTAGTAATTAGATGTTGAAGGTAATTTTGAGTTGTAAATCCCCAGGCACAGATACCAATGAGAGGATGAATAATAAGTTACCAAGACTAGCTGCGGTACATAGTATCTGATCTTGGAGAGAATACCTACCATTTTTAGAATTTTTTATTTTATTTTGTATATGGCTTATTATTCAGCTTATTGTCACTGTGAACACCTAGGAATTTGCTCTGCACATTATTTGGGAATTGTCAATTCTTAGGTTAATTTGATAAGGGGACTTGTTACCAAACAATATGTAAAATATTTTATCAATGTTAAGGGTAAGTTTGTTAGCAGTCCGCCATTGATAGACTTTCTTTAGTTCAGTATTCCTTGTGTCATTTTGAGTAAGTGGGTTAGCACTGAAAGTTGTGTCATCAGCAAATAGGATTGGCTTCAAGTGTTGAGTGATATTAGGAAGATCACAATATAAATGAAAAGGTAGAGTAAACCAAGACTACTACCCTGTGGAACATCAATGTTCATTGAAAGAGGGGGAGGGTTTGAATCATTCACAAGATATATAACAGTGCTTATCAATGAGGTAAGATTAGAAGTACTGAAAGGAGTGACCTCTGACACCACAGTGTTGCAGTTTGAGAAGTTTATTGTGGTTATTAATAATGATAATAATAATAATAATATTATGCAGAGAAATCACATTAACATAATACAGTATATCAATTCTTTTCCATGTCGTGGCGCAGTTAACTAAAGTGTGCATTGGGAATACCCAACCCATAGGTTCAAACCCCTCATCACAGCTCCTGTGGATTTGTTCAATATTATAATTATTATTATTATTATTATTATTATTATTATTATTATTATTATTATTATTATTATTATTATTATTATTATTATTAATTTTTGTTCAGAAGAATGTGAGTACAAAGAACATAAGTGTAATGTACAATTGCAGGGACAAGAGTTACACATACTAATGAAGCCACTATTATGCAAAGTGTTTCAGACAAAACTTTGAATTTTGGTAAAAAATTATCTAATGGTACAAACATGGGGTAAACAATACTAAAAGAGAAGTACAGTACTGTACACAATAAACTTGAGAAAGTTCGACAAAAACATCAAATGAATACAATAAAATGGTGATACTTAATGATGACAGGCATAAATTATTACATTATGAAGTCTGTAGCTCTAGCAACAGTACAGTAGTTAATTTAATAACAGAATGGAATTACTAAGATTTAATTTAGAAAAGCAACTGAAACATAATATAGAGTATAATAGAATAATTTAAATTAATGGGGCCACCGCTTAAAAAATAAACATGGATAAAAAGGGACATGAGTAATCAATTTAGTAAATTAAATGCAATAATTAGATGACAATAAGAAAGGACATAAGTCACAGCACATAAAGTTTAAGACAGAATAAAAATGAGTAAAATTAGTTATATGATATTACTTACTGTACTGTACTCGCCTTATTGTGCTTGCGAGGGGTTGAGCTCTGGCTCTTTGGTCCCGCCTCTCAACTGTCAATCAACTGGTGTACAGATTCCTGAGCCTACTGGGCTCTATCATATCTACATTTGAAACTGTGTATGGAGTCAGCCCCCACCACATCACTGTATATGGATAATAATTAATACATAATTAATATGGAATAATAAAAAATAATATGGATACAGGAACTGTGTATGATAATAATTACAAGATATTAAGTAAATATTTCTTAGTGTCTCTTAAACTGGTTGGGAAACGGACAACTATTAATTACATTTGGGAGGTCATTCCACAATTTAGGACCCTTGATTTGCATTGCATTTCTGCTTTGATTGCATCTCACTCTAGGAATATCAGAGATATTTATTTCTTGTGTGGTGACCATGAGTTCTATCACAGCCCTCTAGGAAATGCTTAAGGTCAGGATTGGTATTGTGGTTCAGAGTTTTATAGATACAGTATAGGGAATACTTGAGAATATGTGCAGAAACTTAATATTTAACATGATCAAAGGTTTCAGTAATGGAGCCGAGTGGTGTCAGGGATTGGAATTTGTTATTGTTCTAATTGCTGATTTTTGTTGAGTAATAAGGGGTCGGAGGTAAATAACGGTGATAGATCCCCCAGGCACAGATACCATAGGTGAGATATGGATAAATGAGTGAATAATACAGAGTAACTAGGGCAGAACGAGGAACATAGTACAGTATCTGACTTTGGAGAGAATGCCTTCAGTTTATTTTTATTGTTTTTAGTTATATACAGTATTGTATATGGCAATTGAAATCAAAATCAAAATGGAAAATATTATCAAGGCAAATGGGAGGACCGTTAACAAGCCACAGGCTTCCTGTCCTCATCGAGGCCACTAGTGATAGTGGCCCTCAGGTAAATCAGATAAATTTAGTTTGTTGTCACATTGAACACCAAGGAACTTCCCATCTGTTCTACTCATTAATTTGGTATTGTTTATTCTTAAATTAGTTTGATCATTGGACTTGTTAGCAAGCATATGAAGTGTCTTATCGATGTTAATGGCAAGTTTATTAGCAGTCAACCAGAAATGGACTTTATTTAGTTAGAATAAATAGGTTAGTATGGAAGAAAATGAAGGTTGTGACATCAGCAAATAGAATTGGCTTCAAGTGTTGCATGGTATTAGGAATATCATTGATGTATATGAGAAAGAGGCGGGGGCCAAGTATGCTACCCTGCAGAACGCCAATGTTAATTGGCAGAGTGGGAGAAGTGACATCGTTCACTGAAACATTCTGCTGCCTGTCACTGAGGTAAGATTGCAAGTACTGAATGGGAGCCAGTTAGTGGGAGTGAGCTGTCCCGGGCGGGACATAATTGTTGGGAGCGTTTCCCATCACCTAATGCCCCTATCCACCTAGCAGTAAATAGGCACCCAGGAGTCAGCTTGTTAGGAGATTGCATCCTGGGGCGAGGTCAGTTAATTCGACCCTGGAGGGACCTCGATATAAGCCTAATGTGCTGCATGTATAAACGGGTTGCCTGTCCCCCGACACAATGAATTATAGTATTATTAATTATAGCAGAGCCTAAGCTTAGTAGCAACAACACCCATATGTCTGCTGATTTGCTTGATCTGATCTGCTGATATGGTTATAATAACGATAAATATATGGGTCTTTTAGTTTTGTATGTTGGGTAATGATAAACGGAATAGTTAATACAACATAATGCAACTATCCAGTTACAAGGAATGTATATTCCTGGTAGCTGGAATATCCACCTCTAACTTGCGTAATAGTGGCTTTAGGCATTGTATGTACTAGCTCTATCTATAAACCCATAAACTTTTTGTATCTCACCTTGTATGCATGAACTTTACCTAAATAAATATTTGATTTGATGTCTGCCCGAAACGCTACGCGTACTAGTGGCTTTACAAGATTGCAATTATTACTATCCTATGTATCCTCACAATCCCAATGTACCTTCTTGTATATATATAAATAAATAAATAAAAAGATTGATATGTCCGAAATATCACTAACCAAAGAAAACGGACATGTTGACTTGGATGTACAAGCGAGCGTTTAACAATCATAACATTGTCCGTTTCAGTCGTCGCCTTCGACTGTCTGATTGCTGATCCCTCGATCTTCGTCGCCCCTCAACCAATAACAACAGGCTCCAGAAGATTTCAGTTAACAAGAAGGGAAACCCCAAATGCTAAACTGCATGTGTTGCAAAGAAAATCCTGTACGGCAAAATTTTCACCTGGTCCGACTCGATTAAACTTCCGCATAATCACCAAGCTGCACAAAACGAAGCTGCCATTAGGTCTCGTAGAGGATGCAAGCTGCCCGTGTGGTCAAGAAGATAAGGTTTTAGTCAAGCTGCACATATCAAAGGACAAGCATTATAATCAAGGGGAAACGTTAAAGTATACTGCATGCATTTAAATCAGAAGTGCACTGCCCAAACTAATATACTGTATTGTAGAGAGGAAGTCTAGTAAGGCATATCGAAAAACTCTAGCTGACAGTGAAGCTCAGTTCAGTCACTCATCCGTGTGATACCCATCTACAGACTGTAATAAGGGAAAACAAACCAAGAATCGAGCAATAAACGGGGAAATAAAAATTCTGTATATATCAAACAGTATCGGTTAATAATTAAGAAACAATGACTTCAAGACACACAAGTGATTTGCTCTTTACATTTCTCCTTGCTGAAGAATTAGATGCTGTTGACAGTGCCTATGATGCACTAAAGTATCACAAGCTAAGTAAAAATAATCTCTGCGCAAGGTATGTTTAGATTCCGTTCTTTCTATTGGTAACAAGTCATCTTCTCAGACTTCCAAGTCAGCCCATATGAAATTGTCACATTCATACCACCTCATCACATTTATTATTGTAATAACTAGGCAATGCATATATATACAGTATCAAGATAAAAGTAAAAAATATGTAAAATTTTATGTAAAGCTATACTCACATTGTTAGGTAAGGCTGGGTTATATGAGACTTATTTTGCCTAGGCTATTCTGGTTTATTGTTGCATAGAGGTATAATTATCATATAATAAATGTAGGAAGAGTTGAGGTATAACTCTTCATGCATCTTCTATGTTTGTAGTTTTTATACTATTGTTTCCCTCTACAATACCATCCTAAGGTGAGTGGCACCTTCAAAATTTTAATCTTCGTACAGTGAATGAATCTAAATAATGGACCAGTTTTGTTACTGAATTGCCAAGCCCAAATTCAGATTTTTTCAAAGTTTAGTTCCAGATATTGGACGGGTTGCAGTGGAATCCAATCATAAAGTGTATTTTATAATTTTACACTCAAAAGTTCATATTTTTATATTATTGGAATGTGTAAACATGCAAAATATGTATTCAGTCATTTTCACTAAGAAAACCTTCCAAAATGTCAAAAATAATAAAAATGTATCATTTAATAAATTTCAGTTACGGAAAATACAGATGAGAGAGACTTCGATATACTGTAGTCCTTTTTTTTTTTAAGCCAAGTATCAACTTTGATACTAATTCACTGAGTACTAATGATAACACTCATATGCTGAGTATCATTATTGATCCTTCTGCATTGATTATTATTATATAGCCTCTTGCACTGGTTATTAGTAATTGTGCACAAGTATTGAGATTACTCTTCCCAAATCTGAGCGGGCACTAAGGTCATTTGCCAAGTGCAGCTGACAACAAAGAGACTTGAGTATAGAACTGCACGAGACCCAGTTCCTGAAAGAGTGGAAGCAAACAGGCAGTCATTGAAAGGCAATGACTTTCATTTTCCATCCCCAAAAGGAATATAAAAGGCGGTGCAAATGAAGCCATAGTGGAGTTCATCAACACCTCCAGTTCCAAGTGTCTAAACACCAGATGGGGTGTCCCCATCTGGTGTTCAGACACTTGGTTTCCCCTGAAACAAATGTGGTAGGTGGGGCGAATGAGCTCACACTAGTTACAAGAGAGTTAATCATTTACATAGTTGGGGACATTCATTACATGGATTTTGAGGCTTTGGTCATTTTTTTTTAACCCAACTGGTTTGTTTTGACTCACTGACTTTCTGGATGCCTTCCCTGGTAAGGTAGCAAAATGTCACCCCTCTCTGCACCTCTGAGGGAGGCCAGGTTCTGGCTCTGGTCCCTGGTAGGCCTAAGAATGCCACGGCTGATGCAACCTAGTTGATGGGAACTACCTCAGTGTATAGGTTCAGGAAGCCACAAGAGGCTTCCCACAGAAAACCAGTATTGAATACTGTATAATGAAATGCCAATCATTGAGTGAGCCCAAGTGGTTTCATAATGCTTCAGGGAGTCACCAGGGCTTACCCAGAAATTGGCATTTAATTATATTCAATACAGTATTGGGTTTTTACTTCTCTCCCTGGTTCTCCTCATCAATCACCTGTGTTATCACGTAAGTCATGCTTGACTTTGCCTTGAGTTGTACTGTATATGAGTAATGTACTGCACTCAATAGACCGCCTTCCTCCCCACCTCTATCATCACCAACAATTCCTTGTGTGATTGAACCACATATACTGTAGTTTCATTTTATTTCACCAATTAGTTTTTACATGATATTGTGTCATGTGTAAAATTTGCTCTAGTAATTTCTTCACTATCATCTTCTGTTTGCTTAGTTGCTGGAAATGGTGTAACTTATTTTATTTTTATAGGCCTATCAAGAGACAAAAGTTATCACATGCAGACCCTGTTCAGCATTTTGGTGAAGGTCAGATTGTCATCAAAACAGAGGAATCAGAGAGCAGGAGACGCAGAAAGTATGTTTATTAATGTGGTGACATAATAGTTTCGTAATTTATTTAAGTGATAAGATATGGAGTCTCTAATAACCATTCTTTACCCATAATATTTTGTATTATGCGCTCGACAATTTTATTAGTTTTACACTATTCAGTGTAACATTTAAAATAGTAATGTTAAGGTTGATATCTAATGAATAATTTTTTTGGGTATTGCTGTATTAAGTTTGACATTCAATCAATTTCAGTGTTTCTCATGTGTGTACATTGGCATAGGTGGTGATCATGAATTGATGAAAGTGCTGTTATTTATAAGTGGCAACACATTAACTCACTAGACAAAATCCTTCTCGGAGCATGGGCTTCCTTTCCCTAACACCACTACTGTACTAGATATGATCACTGGTGGGCAACAGTTGAATAATTTTGAATAATTAAACTTCCTAGAGTACTCGACTATTTTCATTCATCTAATTTTAATGAACTAATTAATGTTTGTTAGGTGAAACTACCTGTTATAAATATATCTAATGTATTCATTTACTTTTCCAGCTATATATTGTTGTCTTTCATTAGATGAGATTTTTTAATTTATTGGATATTATTTTAGTCTTTAAGGTCAATTTTTAATCATACCCTCATATGGTACATGCTTCATTCAACTTGGTTTAAATGAAATGTAGCAATTTATTTTACCCCTTTCTTTCAGTTGACTGATTTGAAAATGTGTTACAGCACTACCAAGCAATATTTTAGTGAAATGGTGTCCATGGCACTTTTTTTTTTCAGGGTATCGCCATATAATCTAGTGGTAGATTAACATTCTTGTGATTGTTAATCACAAAGAATGTTAATCACAATCTTTTGTTTACCAAAAGATCATTAAAAAAAATTGTGTCACAATGTAGGACAAACAAGAAATGCTCCTTTGTCCATTGGGTAATAAACACAGGTAATTCAGAATAGAGGTTGAAAATATCTTAAAGGATAATGGGAAACCCTTCCACAAGTTACCAGCTTTCTGTTAGTTATATATGGTGGGTTTGAGATAAATTAACTTGTAAACAAATGTGAATGTTTATGAATTAATGGTCAATATTTCTAAATTGTGCATTTAAAGCAATTTTTCTGAGGGTTCTGACAAAAATCTACTTTATTTTCACCAGTTTTTTCCAATTTGATAACATTGGTTATCAAATTCATGTATTGGTAATGTAGCACCAGTCATTTACTGAGTTAGGTCAAAACCTTTTTCACACTAGTGTAGAAATAGCCCACATTAAATTTCCATGTGCAGAACCAGGAATCTGCTGAATAATATATATTGGTACAGGTATACCCAGTACTGTATTACAGTATGTATATAGCATAAGGAATATACTGTACAGTATATTCAGGAGTGTTTATATTTTATTTATTTGCTGTACTGTATTTTAGGGGCAGTCGCAGTGCTGAAAATTATTTGCAGAAAGGGGGCATGATGGCCTTCTACAACTACAACTTGAGTGACTTTCGCGTTCATTTTGGGATGACACGACCACAAGTTGAGGTTTGTTCTTTAGAAACATTTTGTTTATTGGAATCATGATTGGCTACCCTGAGCTATAGACTTTGATTCATTCAAATAACTATCAACAATTAGACATCTGATGATATTCAAAGACCTACAGAACCCAAAGACCAGAAGCTGGGATTCTCTCAGAGGCAGGGGATGCTTTGGGCGTCTGAAAACACCCTACATTAAGACAAACTGCACAAAAAGCTATAACGTACTTTTAAAGCATCCTGTTCTTGCTACAAAAGAGTGAAACCATTTGTAAACATGTCAGCAGATAGTTACAATGGTAACTACCCTGCACCAACACCATATTTACCACCAGGTGGCAACCTAAGTCATAAGGCTTGATGGACAGCTATAGACTCACTTCCAAGCTGGATTCCTTTGTCAACAGAGGGCTATCTGGGGTTCACATACATAATAGCCAGTTAAGCACAAATAATTCTTTGACAAATATTTTGTGTTTTTTAAGATCTTAATCACTCAAAGACTGCTGAAATAACAAGATAAAATTCTACATGGGCCACCCCTTCTAGAGGTGTTACAAGAGGGAACACAGACCAGAGATATACTGTACTCAAAATGTGTTTTCATTGTTTTTATTGCTCTTTATGTATTGTTGTATATGCTGCTGCTTTTCTGTCTTGTATAATACAGTATTTCTAGTGTTAACAGATTATTTTAATGCTGATTGCTCAGTATTTTGTTGCAGGAGCTGTTCACAGAACTTCAGCCTCACTATCGATACGAGAGAGGAACAAAGTTGCCCCTTGAGAATGTTGTGCTAGCAAGTTTATGGGTATTATCCAGCCAAGAGTCATACAGAATTATAGCAGAGAGATTCCAGACCAGCAAATCTGTCATTTGTACTTCTCTGCATCATTTCTGTAACCTTGTGTCAGGAAACCTGGAGAACAGAATAAGTTGGCCATGTGAATCTGCTTTGGCAAATACTGTCAAGGGCTTTGAGGAAGCTGGTTTTCCAGGCACCATTGGAGCAATAGATGCTTGTCATATTGCAATAAACAAACCCAAGGATGTTGAGGAGCCTGAGGCATACATGAATGACAAAAATGTCTTTTGTACTACATTATTAGCTGTGTGTGACAATGAACATAAATTTACATATGTTAATGTTGGACATCCTGGAACTTTGTGTGATGCTAACGTTTTTAGGAGATGTGAATTATTTCAAGCATTCAATGATGATCCTCATTCTTTATTGCCTTTAGAATTTCAATTAGGAAATGATATTTTTCCCTACCATATAATTTCTGATGTTGGATTTCCCCTTTCAGTGTATGTTATGACTCCTTATGAAGATAATGGTTACTTGACAGCTAGAGAAATTAATTACAATAAAAGACATTTATCAGCTATGATGATAATTTCTAGATCAATTTGCTTGCTAAAGAGTAGATTTAGCCGCCTAAAACTCTTACTAATGCAACATCTTGCACAGTGTAGTGTTGCTATTAAAGCTTGTTGTATTCTACATAATATATGCATGGAAAATGGTGATTTCGAAGCACTAGACATTGATGAAGATGATATACCTCCTCCACCTACTGAAACATGCACCGACTTTCAGCCTTGCATTGTTGGGGAAGGAAAACGTAATGCAATTGCAGACTCATTTTTGTAATTTTAAGTTTTGTAAATTATTTATTTAGAAATAAACTTTCATGCCAGGAATGGCATATTCGCTTCAGTTGCTAGGTAAAATTTTAAGATAAGGTCTATGGTGTACATAGAGCTTGTCTCTGTTTTCATAGTACAATTGCTCAAAATGTTTCCCTCCTCTTGGTTCTTTTGGCCTTGTCATATTCCAAACTGTTATGAATGACAATGAAAATTTTCATATTGCTCTTTATATTTTATAGCAACAAAGCATATTTGTATCATAGTAAATTCTTATAATGCATAACAAGGGAAATATAAATTATGCTACTTACATTACTGTATTCCAAAATTTTTTACAATATAAATTTAATGGAACTTTTTTAAACTATTATACCCTGTTGTAAAATGAGGGTTACTACGGGACCCAACCAATAATTACATAACATTTGGATTTCTGAGACATTGTCGTTTGGCTATTGTAACATTTCTGGATTTGTCTTACACAATGCATAAATTTACACTACAATGATTTGTTGTAAGCATAAATAATAATGAAGGTGAAGGAAAGACCCACTACATGTGAGTGCATTATTAAACCAAATTTTTGAAAGAACCTGCATCTTTCATCAAGATAATACTGTATTGAACAAAGATTCAAAGTGCTTGCATTTATGTCTGGCAGGCACCTCGGCTGGTATCCATCATTAATGTCATGCTTCCCAGGGGTTCCCCGATGTATGCCAAAACTTCTGATGAATGATCAAATGTCTTGGTTTTTTGAACTGTGGAAAGGGGTATACCTTGAGGTGCTTTCGAGGCTTAGCGTCCCCACGGCCCAGTCGTCGACCAGGCCTCCTGGTCGACGACTATAGCAGGAACATCCCCAATTTGAACACCACAAGGTCTGTGCTTATATGAATTAATGAAATAGTTAATTTAACTGCAAAATTATTCTTGATGAAGTTAATCGGATTTACTAAAAGATTTGTTGCCCTTCACCGTTTCTTGGAGACCTACGAGAAGTGGTAATTATAGATTCTATTTCTTATATTTATGCTGTTTACAATTTTATTATTAAAATCCATTCTGTGATCCCAAAAATCTTTGGCAATGGCATTCATATCAAATTTTGATATGGCTTTTTTTGTCATCACCTTTTTCAATAACCCACAACCAGTCTCTCCAACACATGATAAATTGCAATCATTTCAATTAATCATAAACACCATTACCTATATTATTATAACCATTATCAATGTTACCATTGCTACCTATACCCCCATTTCCTTTAATATCTACACTAACACCAATCCTGATATCACCACCATCAAACTTATTAACATCATTCTCATCAATATTATTACCGTTACTCGTTACAGTAATATTATTGTTATATCATTTGTTATGACAAAGTTTTCCCCTAATTGATTAGGTGTAATCTTAATCACATTAAACCCATCTCCTGAAGCTCTCATCAAAAGGATATCAACAGTATTTGCTTAATTACCTAATATAAGAACTGCCTTTAGAGACTTGTGTAAGGAATCATTCAGAACCTTGTATACTGCATGTCAGGCCATCCTTGAGCACGTAGCTTCAACATGGAGTCCATACCTAGCCAAACAAGATGAAACTAGAGAAAGTTCAGTTATGCCCCTCAGACATGTCCCAGAGCTGAGAGGTATGATGAGTTACAAGGAAAGCATACTGGAATGGATCTTCGTGTGATGAAGTCAAGGAGAGTTAGGGAAGACAGGATTACCACCTTTAAAATTATCAGACAAATTGACACATTAAACTGCCCTTTGTCTTTCTTCCCTCGTGGTTGGTGCCCTGACATTAGTTAAAAAATCAAGGACTACCCTTGTGTTGTAAAGGAATTTATTTATATATACTTTTCATCCTGTTGTAAAATAATAATTCTCTCAATGTAATAGTAAAATGTATACAAGTAAGTATTCAGCATTTTATTATAAAACAATACACTAGTCTTAACTAGGTGATGGAAGTCAATTTCTCAATTTCATATATTTTAAATTGACAGTAATGAACCACAGTAGGCAACATAAGATGAAGTTTTGGCTTAAAACGTCAGCTGCATACCTGACAAAAACTGTTTGTCTTTTTTACGTTTTAGTATACTATATAAAATTAGAAAAAGAACAAATACTAGTGTTTTTACCTGAAAAATAATCATTGAATGAAATATGCACACACAAATTACTTGTCACAAAACAGGAAAATTAACCAGTCATTTGTAATCAAAGGGGCTTTCATAATCACACTTTCATGCAGGATTAAAATTCAGTCCAAAAAATTACAGTTGGTTACCTACTGTATATTAGTATGAGCAGTAAATGCCACTCGGGTGCTGAAGAATCATAAATGCTCTTATGACCGACAGCAGATAATGTAGATCTCTGGACAAATTTATATATACAGTATACTTCATCTTTCATCGATTAATTTCTTCCAAAATTAAATCCTGTTTTTTAATGATTTCTAACTGTATATTTGCTATACTTTGAAGTTCTTTTCCTATTTTTTGTAGTGCTCTAAGTTTCATTCTTTCTCTCTTCTCTTTTCTCCTCCTATATTCTTCCTCCTTTGCTTCTTTATCTTTCACTTCCTGAAAATATTGTTCTATTAAGTGTTGTCTTTTTTCTCCTCTTTCAGTCTGACACTCAAGACTGACTGAGGTAGAATCAAAATTTTTTCTTTTAATTTCTGGTAGCATATTGGTGGAGGATGCCGACTGAGGCAAAGCAGGCGAGTACGCTAAGGGAGGAGTAGACGACAGTTCTGGGGAAGCCAAAGTTTTGACGATGACAGTTGGTGTTGAAGGCAAATGGTGGCTGACTTTGGTTGTCTGGAGCTTTATAATGGGCATAGATAAACCAGCAGGCCCGGTTGAAACATATGTTGGTCCTAAAAGATCATCCAGAGGCTGTAGAATAGGAAACAATAACTTTACTATATGTATGCATGAGCAATTCATAGAAATGTCAACATAAAATTACTTGTGCATTTATATGAATACAGGCAGACCAAATATTGTATAATATTGCACAACACAGCTTCATTGTCACTATTTTAAATCCCTCTTTTGAAATAAAAAAAATTTACATTACACTGATCAAAAGCACCAGGCTACTGCACATCTGGGATGGGGATGTCCTTTAATTACTGTCTGTTTGTGCATTATGGAATCTATTAGATTTCTGCTGCTCCCCAGCTTTGTATTTTGTATTATTCTATTACACAAACCTACAGATGCAACAGTTAAAGAATTCACAGTACAAACCGAAAAATCTTGAAAAATGTCTTCTTTACAGACTTAACTACCCAGTTAAGATGAAGCACAACAGAATAATATTGTAACAAAACAAAACCAGAAATTACAAACGCAGGTCAGCGATTGCCTTATACTGACAAGTTTACCTTCGACCAACAGATAACAGAGCCAACCAGAAACAGAAATTCTCTTCTATTAATTTTAATGAACAATGGAGAAGTATTGGCTTGGCAAAAGGGTATTAGATGAGTGGAACTGTGTTGCTGGCCAACACAAGAGGAAAATGGTATAACTTTAAAAATAGACTTGAAAGATACATGTGGAAAGGGGTTGAATCTAGGAGGGCACTAACGAGAATGGGTCAACTAGACAGATGGAAAGTCAATGAATGAGGTCAAAGAAAAAAAAGACATGGAAGAATTAGATGCAGCAAAAACAGTAGAGCCAGATCCAGATAATCATCATGGCTGTTTAAAGAGATTACATGGGTACCATACTTTGTAATCTGTTAACTGGAGAACTCAACAAATCTGGAAAATGACAGTATTTAAGAAAACAGACAAAGAACTAAACTATAGATCACTATCACTAACAGGCATTCATTGCTAAGTACTGGAAAAAGTAATTGACAAAATAATATAGCACCAAGTGAGGATAAACTTTTGTAATGGAAGGGCAACACCATTTTCAAATGGGGGAAATCATGCTTGACAAACTTGAGATTTCTATGGCAGGGTTACCAAGATACTGTTTCTAACAGGGAAGGTATAAGCTGGAAAAGCAAGGTGGGATATATGGAAAAAACTGAATTGAGTAAGGCAGTTCCTGAAGAACAGGAATCAAATTGTCACTGTCAGGTTGGAGATTGCATGCGGGGTCCCTTAGACTCAGTTCTAGGCTCACTGTTGTTTGCAATCTAAGTAAGGTTGTACATGTCAATATTTGCAAATATTGCAAATCTAATAAGTTAAAACTGAGGAGTATTGTGAGAATAGGAAGACCTCAACAAACCCAACTCAAGGAATGGACTAACAAATGGATATTACAGCTCAACTCAAACAAGTGTAAGATAGTGAAGATGGGAAAGGAAGATAGGATACCAGATTAAACCTAACCTATATGGGGAAAAGCAACTAAAAGAATCTGAAGGATAGACATGGAAATGCATATAATTCTAGCACCAACACTATAGACACAGAAAAAGGAAAACATAAGAATGGCATTTCAAAATCAAAACAAGAACTTCCATCAAAATAATTTGCACAGCCTGTGTGAAGCCAGTATTAAAATCTGCATCTCTAGCAAGGAATACCTTGTAAGGCACGAAAACAACAACTATGGTACGTACATTTGCAATAAGACTAGTGCCTGAGCTAAGAGGACAGGATAATGGAATTGTAATTAATCAACCCTAAAGAAGATTCAACTACATACAAAATACTTAGCTGAATAGACAATGTAGACATAGACAGTCTACAATGAATCGAGAGTACTGTATATAGGACAAATACAGCTTAATGGTGGAAGCTGAAAACAAGTGAATTGAAACAAAGAAATATTTGTACCTTTGCACCGGTGGTCAACAAACGGAATGTAACAAAAAGTTGGTCACATCTATGTACAACTTTAAGAGCAAATTACAGTACAGAACTTGAGCATCAAGAGATTTAAAAAAGTATCGGGTACAAAAATTTAAACTTGGGCATCAAAAGCTAGACCTTGTTGACCAAACCACACACTAGACACACTAGAAAGTAAAGGTACGATGAGGTTTCGGTCCGTCCTGGACCATTCTCAAGTCGATTGCGAATGGCAATCACAATCGATTTGAGAATGGTCCAGGACGGACCGAAACATCATCGTCCCTTCACTTTCTAGCGTGTGGTTTGGTTAACATATTTCAGCCACATTATTGTGACTCCTTATCTGCAGCTAGACTTTACTTCAACTCTACAATATTGACAATACTGCACTCATGTTTTCTGTAATTCAGAGTGAAAACTTATGCCTGAGAATATACTTTTTTTTATGTTTTTAGGGTAAGAGTTGGAAATAATGTTTTTTTTTTTTTACCAGGCAGAACAAAACCTAAATTATATTTACGTGGTATCAATGTGTGCATTATTTTCCAGGAGGTTATCTCTTGGAAAATAATATATAGAGGGCTCTGTGTATTTAATGTGCTTGTGAATGCATGCATGTGTATACAAAAGCAGATAAAATGACTAATTTATTAATTAACATACAGTACCTGAAAATAGTCCCAAGTTCTCTTTCCAATTCCAATGCCACCAACTTTATGTCTATCTTTAATTCTCTTATAGGTTGTAACGAGACTGTTCCATTTACTTCGAATCTTTTCCACAGAGAAATTATAAGAGTAAGACCTCAGTTCATCCTGTATCTCCATATATACCAGGTTTCTTTCTTGTCTTGAAGAACAAAATTTTTCATAACGGTCCCGAACGCATTCAATGAGTAGAAGGGTGGCATTGTGATTGAAGTCATCTTCTGTAAATAAATAATGACAAGAAATAATTTCAATGTATTGTACAACAAAAATATTAAAGTACAGTATCTATAAATCTTCACTCTACCTTTTCTGTCTTCATTTCTCACTTTTTCTGATCTTAAATTTTAGTACACATATTGATCAAAATGGGGCTGCGTACAAAATGTTATGCCTGCAAGGTACGTTTTTTAACAAGCATGACTGCTCATATTTCTTCCAGGAATATTGCAAACTAATCACAATAATCACAAATCAAAAGTATTGATAAACTGGAAAATATGCAAAATGAAGCACTCAGAATTATACTTGGCTGTCCTATAACTACCAAAGTTCTCAATATGTGGAAAGAATTAAATATACTTAGCATTCGAGATAGAATATTTGAAATCAATCTTATGATGGGACTAAAGCTTCTACATAACAAAAATAACATTGTGTCAGTTGAACTATTAGAACACATACGAAATGGAACCAGCGAGTCTGAATGGACTCAAAGAACAGCCACTCATATTAAAATGATGGGACTGCACGATGTATATACAGATAGAGTACAGCACTTCCTTCCACCCTGGCAGATAGTGCCTTTTGACATCCTGATGCCTGCATACCCCACCAAGAAACTAATCACAAACAACCCTCATGCTCAGCTTGCTGCTAAATTAAGCACCATAGAACACATTCACAATATACAAACTGAAAACAACATTGCACAGACCATATACACTGATGGATCACTCAATACAGCTACAGGAAGGGCTGTTATTGCTCATCAGCCAGATAGAAGCACAATTCAAAGGAATATAAGAATTAGTAACTGGGCATCCACAATGCAAGCTGAGTTGGTAGCAATACTGGTAGCACTCGAAATTATTGACAACACTGAAGTAGACAGCTTAATTATTTCCGACTCCTTTTCCTCACTACTAACAATAAACCATTTGCAATCAAGTAATCTGTCTGGCTTGTCTCAGAAGCCAGACATAGATATATAAGCATACTTAACAAGAGGGGTAAATATAAAAATGTTGTGGATTCCTTCTCACACTGCCTTGCAGGAACATGTTAAATTTGACGCCCTTGCTAAAAACAGTACTGAACGGAATCTTGAGTTATCAAATACGTCCCTTAAAAGTGTCATTAGACAAGAACTCCTGGATGGTTTTGAAGAAAGTAGAACAGTGCAAACTGGAACTAACAGGTCCATTGTTTATCACAATGAAATATTTGAAGTAAAACATGTGTATGGGGCAAGTAACACAGTCAGTAGACTAACAGAAGTTGTCACAGCTCGAACAAGACTTGGCTACAAGTATCTCTGGAAATTCTGCTTGTATAAGGATCTAGATGAAGTAAAGTGTAAAGTGTGTGGATACTGGGGGACACACTTGAACTACAATCTTGGATTGTAGTCAAATTGAGCCATTTAGAGATGAATCTAAGCTCACACTGTATATGGCAACCTATCTTATTACCAAGGATAAAATACCTGAAATCCTTGCAGGCATGCGGCGCGGCTCGTGTGACGTCATGCTTGTTTGCTCGTTTTCTTTTGGGGAGTTCTGTCCACTCGTTTATCGATTTTCATTGTTAACCAGAATAGGGGTTTGTTTTGTGGTGCTTACCTTTCTGGGTGCCTGTCCCAGTCGATGGCAGATATAGAATGCTCCAAAACACATGTGTGTTTTGGAGCATTCTGCCCCCATGCCTCTGCGAGGGGGCAGGTTCTGGCTCGTGGTCTGAACTGGCCCGGTAGGTTAGAACTCCACCCACATCAACTGATGCAAAATAGTTAGGGTATCCATATCAGCCATGGATAGCTCCGGGGAGCCGTAGGGGCTCCCCTCAGAAAAGCACACCAACAAATAGTAGTAGTAGTGCACCTATGTATGTGGTTTTAGATACCATTTTCCTGGAACATAACTGATGTATTATATGAGGCACCAATCTACTGTATATACAAAATAGTATATATACCATATACAATTATTGTGAAAAGTACAAGGGGATGAAGTAATTGTTGGGGATAACATACAAATCCAGTTATTGTCAAGACCTCCAAATCAAACGATCATGCCTACTGCCTTAAACAAGAAAAACACAAATGTGTGATGAAATGCTGCTTTCTGGGCAGCCCATGAGGAGCTTCTCTTAGTCCTCTGTACGAGTCATCCAACCAAGCCAGGCTCTGAGCGATTGATCCCCAGAATGACACATGCTGAGTAACCTTGCAAATCATGTTGTTTTCCAAATAAACAGGATAGAGAGCTCAGTGGAGAGCATGCTTCAATCCAGTACACAATAACCACTTGCTGTAACAACAAAAGACCATATGGCATGATTGGTAAATAATCAATAGGCGACACAAATGGAAACCAAGAACCTAAATGAGCCACACACACACACATTAGAAATCCTTTTTCTCAGTGTCAGAATAATGAACACATGGAATTGCACTAAGAATTGAAATGGTGGAGGCAAGCTCCATACACATTTTCAAAGCAGACATGACAGAGCCCAAGAGACTCTGGAACCTATATGCCAGTCTATTAAGAGCTGGAAGGAAGGATCTGAAGGCTGTAACTATTCCCCAGCAGATACAAATAGGCGAGTACAAAAATCTTTCAGATGATTCTTGGCAATTTTAAAATGCCAAGAATTGTTCTGAAACTACTGAACCCCCAGAAATTGGCTACCCCAGCTGCCATCTTAAATACTGGTTGGAAAAGGTGGCCACCTCACTTTAAAACATGCCTACCCTAAATTTTTAGTAAGACATGAATTAAATGGCAGGAACAGGGAGCTACCAAGGTACTGAGTCAGAGGCACTTCATTCCACTCGGTGCTCTACTGTTATTTCTGAGCAAAGCTCCCTTGTATCTTCCATTAGCCTCCCCCAGCACTACAGAACTATATGAAGCACCAATACTGTGTATAAAATTGGGGCACTTACCCAAGAAAGTTGCAAAATATGGAGACAGGGACTGAGGCAATGTCAAGATGAAGTCATCTTACCCAAGACAAAGCATTGGCGATGAGGATGTGAAGACACGGCAAATATCTGATAGCCAGTGTCCTATTAGACCTTCAAAATCCCCAGGCCCTAATATCATCAGCTGGCATAGCTGAAAAGAAAAATGTTATAGCAGCATACTCCTCAAACTGAGAGAGTGGTTTTAAGCTCTAGATCGACATAGCTTAACCACAGAGAAAAAAAATAAATGGGAGATCAGCATGAGGGTTTCATTGGGGCTGAGGTAGAGTGCTGTTGTAAGGCACACCCAAGTGGCCCCAAGTTAATGAAAGCTGGGGCTTGACAAAGCAAGGAATTTACACAAAGAAGGTAAGTGGAGGCCTTAGAAAGAGATACTGATCACAAGTACTAAAAGACAACACTTTCTAACACAGAGCAAGAAGTTTATCCACACTATTACCAGATGCAAAAGTCAAGAGGAACACTGTCTTGAGCATTTCAATCTCCACTGATAGTGACTTGGAAAGGGAAAGGGTCAGGATAAGGATTTAGAATTTCCTTATCCACTGATAGTGACACTCAAAAGAAAGGAGGACAAAAATCTAACAATATCCAAGGAGAGCAGAGATGAAAAACAGCCTGCTTGAGCTTACAAAAAGGAACAGACAAGATTAAGTCTGAAAACAAGACACACTTGAAGAATAGTCATCTAAAAGTCATAATGGTACTAGGCATAAATAAACACACCACAAACAGTGACAAATAGGAAAACAGCTGACAGAAGAGGCTTTGCAAACAGCAAATAAACACTAAAAAGACTTCCAAGCAAGCTTGTAATGGTGATAAAAGAAAGCCTGAAAAAGAGACCAAAAAGTATGCCCCACCTGACACAGACAAATGGCAGAAAACCTCAACAAATAAAAAGATCAGTTGAAAGAGAACCATCATTTTACTTCATTCCTCAGATTCTGAAAAAGGCAGAGATCTGAATAGGCCACTAAATAACAGGTATGAATGTTCATGGTTGCGACAGTTTAAATGCCCTCTTGGAAGCTAACAGAATGATGCTGCACTGGAAAAATAATTGGAGGAATGTTCGAAACATGTGTTCGGCGACCACATGGGTGGTACACGCACAAGGGGTGAAAGGTGGAAACTAAGTATCCAAATGGAATACACTAGGAAGTGATGTGGTGGAGGGAAGACTCTATAAACAGTTTCAAAATGTAAATATAAGAGCCCAATAGGTTCAGGAGTCTATACACTGCACTATCAAATGAACTACGAGAAGAAATACAGAATTACGTGAACATGTTTACAGATGATGCCAAGATACTGGGGAAGACAGGAGATGCAGACACTTGTAATGCCCTTTAAATTGACCTAGATAAAATAAGTGCTTCGAGCATCAAGTGGCAAATGGAATTTTCTGTGAATAAATGCCATGTTATGGAACGTGGAATCGGAGAAAATAGACCACACACAACTTTAAATTATGTGGAAAGGAATTACAGAACTCTATTTAATAAAGAACGAGATCTAGGGGTGGTTTTGGATAGTAAGCTGTCGCCAGAGGAACACAAGAACATTGTGAGAGGAGCGTATGCGTCGCTTTCCAACTTTCCAATATTTCATCTTGGCATCATGACATGTAGAAAGCTTGGAAAGTTACACTTATTCATTTCAAAGATATTGCTCATCCAAGGAATTTTCTTGGACCACCCTTCACACGTCTGAAAGTTTCAAGTCTAAATGGAACAGGGTTTTCCAGATATTGCATAAATATAAAACATTAAAAAAAAAAAAGAAAGAAAAAAAAAAAGAAATTACTAGTGTAGATATTCAGCCAAGTTGAAGTATCTTACCTCCTTCAACAGTATTGTATTCACCCACAGCTGAGAGAAACCTCCGCGTAGCATATTCTTGGTCTGAAAAGTAATATGTATAGTATAGTATCTCAAACAAAGATTAGGAGAAGAAACAGCCTTTGAAAACTGACACGTCAGGTAATTAATGACAAGAAATTTGTGACATTTTTAATAAAATATTAATATAAATACATTTTAATACTCTTAGTATTTAGTATAGAATATAATGCCTGAAGCTGAATACATCTATGTACAGTAGGTGGCAAAGACAACAAGTTAACTAGTTTAGTGGCTACCAACGACCAAGTTATTAAAGAAATAAAAAGATTAAGGCCAAACAAGTCTGCAGGGACAAAGTATTTCCCAGGGTACTTAAAGAATGTAAATAAGAATTTGGTGAATTCTTCTCTTGCATATTTAATTAATCATTTTAGTCTTTGAAGGATACAAATTTAGTGCCAATTTTAAAGAGATACTGTATATCACTTGCATCAAATTACAGTATATCAGCTGGACAATTTTGGAATTGCAAAGTCTGGATGTGAAAAAAATCCGTCATCATTAGTAGGAGTCTTAAACCTAAAAATCAATGTACAGTATAAATGTATGGAATAAAGCAAACAGGATTCTGGATTGTATTTATTAGTGGTCTGTGTAGTAGAGATTCATTCTCGACTCTCAATCAAGGACTCTGGGTTCAATTCCCGAGTGGGACAGAAATGTCTGGGAGCGTTTCCTTTCACCTATTTTTTTTGGCTGCTAGGCAGTTCCAAGGTTTTATAAAACATCTCTTCTTTTCTGTCCTACATTGTGTCTTGCCGAGCTTGAATGTGTTGCTCCATGTATGCACTACATTTGATCTTCTAAAGAAGTGATCTGGAGTAATATCCTCAGACTAATTCAATATTTTAAAAGTTTCGACGAGATCCACTCTGTCATTTCTGGTTTGCAGTGTTGTCAGTCCTGTGGCCCTACACTGAGCTTTAAATTTGCTCTGTATCTAGTGTTACCCAATCTCCCAATCTTTATGTACTTAATCCAAACAACTCTATCATTGTGTTCAATGCTGTCTTCTTTTATGTGCTAGCCATATGCAGTATTGTGCCTACTAATCTTTGTTAAACTACCATTCAAGCTATCACTGCAATCAATCTGAGCTACCTATGTGCTTTAATATACCTACAAATTTCTCTCATCTTTTATTTTTTTTCTTACTATGTATCTGTTATCATTTTTATAAATTTTGCTAGTATTTACCTACTTAAAATTTTCTTAGATTAAGGACCTGCCCGAAACGCTGTGCGTACTAATGGCTTTACAAGAATGTAATTACTATGTTATGTATCCTTACAATCCCAATGTACCTTCTTGTATATAAATAAAATAAATAAAATAAATAATATAAAATAAAATGTGAACCACTAGGCCTTTTGCAGTTTCTTTAAGTCATATTATGCACTTTTGCAGTTTTATAATTCATATTCATATATTAATTCACTGAATTAATTATAAGTACTTGTTAGACTGGACTGGATTAGGTTGTGTTGTGTGGATACAAGTCACACCGTACAAATAAAAGTAAACCGTAGAGCGACAAAAATCATCTCGGATCTAAGTCAACTCTCACACCAGGAAAGGCTGTGGCCACAAGAATAACACTGAAAACCAGATATGACACGGCAGATCTCACAGAAACTGTTAGAATACTGAATAAATTGGAGAATATTAATCCAGACCACTTCTTGAAAAGATCACAAGCACCACATACAAGGGTAAACAATTTAAAGTCCAGGTAAATTCAGGAAAAAACAAAGTGTTACAATGTATGACAGAAAACAGATGCTTTTTCACCCATACAGTTATAAACTCACGGAACCGCTTACCTGCTGAAGCCATAAGACATAACTCCAGTTCAAAAGATAGAAAAAATTATCAGGAAAACAGGAGGGACCTTTGACAATCTACCAGTTTCCTGCCCCATCATAACCACTAGATTCATGGTGGCCCTTAGGTAAATACAGTTTGCCAATGAATTTTAAAATCTACCCAACCTTGCCCAAACCATCCTAGCCTATCAAAGCCTAACCTTAGCAAATACATTCTAACTATAGTGTATGTACAGTTTAGACAATCGGAAAGCGAGTTTTGTCAAATCGTCTTGTGTACATTTTAACCCTATTTTGCTTGGTTAGGTTATAAAATTTTATAATGCATTGACAAACTGTGGTACACTAACTTTTTTTTACTTTTTTTTAAACAGAATAACAGTGCACCCATGTGGCTAAACCACCTAAACTTGTAGTTAAGAATGTGATCAACTTTGATGTTAGTAAATGCATAAGTGAGGAGAAAGAAGTTGTTACATGTTGGGAGTCTGTGTCTAAGGGACTTTTAAATTAAAAAAGAAAAAGAAAAAATTCCTCTGGTGATGGCAGTGTATTTGTGCCACTGATAGCAGAACCATTTATAATAATAATAATAATAATATTTTATTCAGGAAAAGAACATAATATAGATGTACAGTTACAAACATAATGTTGGATTTATAGATAGAGCTAGTACATACAATACCTAAAGTCATTAATACGCATAGCGTTTCAGGCAAGGTGTGGGGGGGGGGGAAGAACACTTAGACTAAAACTTAATAGTAATTGGGAGTAAAGTATAAATTGTGTTCGGGAACGAAAAAAAAAGTGGGGGAACATGGCAGAAATCAGCAATTGTATAAGTTGGTCAACAAACAGAATTGTTTAGAAGCAAGACATGGGTTGACATTTAGGGGGTTAAGGTAGGTTACATGGAGTTAATTAGGTTAGTTCTACTCTTAAACTGGTTGAGAGAGGTACAGTCTTTGACATGATTGGGAAGGTCATTCCACATTCTGGGTCCCTTGAGTTGTAGATATCAAATAGGTATTTCATTACAATATTTCCCACCTTCTGTGGTGGAACATGTTGTAGGGTAAAGCAGTTTAGAAAAATACAAGTGGAGGACCTCGTTTAAAATATATAATCACCTTTTTAGGCACAAGTAACCCAAATCTTGACATGCTACGTCTTAAGTGTCCTTACACTAAAGACGCAGTTTTCCAGTTTCCTTAAAGTATGCTGTTTGTCTTGACTTTATAAGAAAAAATATAAATTGCTTAAGCAGGCAAATACTGGGTTTTTCATTAAGTAAATAATATATAAACTCCCGATATGCTGAAGTATGTTAATGTGTGTGTGCTTACCTTGATTTATCCTCTCCTCCTCTGCTTTGGACGCCAAGATGGTTACAGTTCGAGCCCCGTCAGACAGCTCGAATGTCTGGAAGATTTCCAAGTCGCCGTTCTTAGTGGGACTATCCATTGTGTTTCTCTTTAGCTATACAAACTTAAACTGTGGAGAACGGTGGTGTGTGGCTGGCCGGATTCACGCCTCCAAGGCGGCCTCATCCACACCTCCCGCACCACACTCACAATACACTAATCCTTCATAAATTCAAAAATTCAAAATGTTTATTCAAGTAAAAGTACATACACAGAAGATGAGTTACAAACATACTGTTGGATTTATAGATAGAGCTGCCCGAAACGCTTTGCGTAATAGTGGCTTTAGGCATTGTATGTACTAGTTCTATCTATAAATCTATCAATTTTTGTAAAACCTCTTGTATGTATGTACTTTACCTGAATAAACATTTATTTATTTATTTATTTATTTATAGCTAGTACATACAATACCTAAAGCCACTACTACGCACTGCGTTTCGGGCAAAAAATATAAACATATCAATTGTTTTTTTTAAGTTCGTTATTATGCACACACATATACATATAGTGGGAAATTATAATGATATTGAAGCCTTAAAAAGAGATCTACATGAGCTCCACAAATAGTCAAAAGGCTGGCAAATGCTTTTTAATAGTCCCTGAGCCCATTATGTGCCTCTGTAACCCTTTCCACTACCGCCCACAAGATGGGTATGGGGTGCATAATAAATGAACTAAACTAAAACTAACTAAAACTGCTTTTTAATATCGACAAATGCAAGACCTTGCATGTGGGGCATGCAACGACTACCAAATTAATAGCATTACATTACAGGCGACTGATGAAGCAAATGACCTTGGAGTCAAAATCCACCTCTCATTAAAAGTTGAACAGCAGGTGGGAGCAGCAACCAGAAAAGTTAACCAAACTCTTGGGCACATAATGGGTATTATGCGCCTCTGTAACACTTTCCACTACCGCTCACAGGATGGGTATGGGATACATAATAAATAAATAAAAAAACGGGATAATCATGCGTACTTTTGACTATAAGGAAAATACGGTAATGGTTCAACTGTATATATCTGGTGTAACCCCCGCATTTGGATTACTGTATCCGAGCATAGAGACCTCATTTTCAGAAGGACATAGCTTCTCTGGAGAAGGTGCAACACCAGGCAATAAAAATCCTTCCAAAGCTAGGTCATCCTTGTATCAGGAACACTTGAAGGCCACACACGGGAGACATCTCCCGTCACGCAGGGTGCAGTTGCACCTCCACAGATCTCCAGTATCAACTCTTGATACTGGTAATGGCTCCAAAGGGCCACCACTTACGGGCTATTCATGCCCGTGCCACCTTTTGGGTGGCTTAATCTTCATCAATCAATCGAAGGCCACAGGGCTAACAACACTACAAACCAGGCATGACAGGTGGATCACATTTAAACTTTTAAAATATTTAACAAGTTAGAGGATGTTGATCAAACATTCTCTAACTGGACCCATGGAACAGCCTACCCGCCGAAGCCATAACTGTCAAAACTGTGTTGAGTTTTAAAATATACCTAGAAAAGATCAAGGCAAATGGGGAGACCTTAGACAAGCCACCGGATTCCTTTCCTCGTCGAGGTCGCCAGGGTTAGTAGCCTTCAGGTAAATTAGGTATATCCTCTCCTCATATACATATAGCATGAATGATATACATATTGCATGAATTATATACATATAGCATGAATTATAAACATATAGCATGAATTATATACATCCATGCATACATATGGACATATGTATGTATACATATATACATACATAATCTACATACTTGAATTTACCCGAGGACCACTATCTAGTGGCCTCGACTAGGACAGGAAACCGGCGGATTGTCAGAGGTCCCCCTTTCCCCATTTCTTCTGATGATTTTATATATTTGGATCTTAAACTGTAGCAGGATTTTGACATTTACGGCTTCAGCGGGTACTCACCTGGTTTCATTACTTTATAACCCTGTAGATGAAGAAGCACCTTCTGTTTTCAGTCCTACTTTGTGGCTCGTTGAGCTTGAATCCGTTTCTTCATGTTTGTGAATTATCTGACCATTTGGAGGAGTGGTCTGGATCAATACCCTCCAAGTATTCAATATTTTAAGTTTCGATGAGATCAGCCCAGTCATATCTGGTTTGCATTGTTAGCCCTGTGGCCCTTATACATACAGACATATGCCACCAGACTAGTCCCAGAACTGAGAGGTATGAGCTATGAGGAAACACTACAGGAGCTAAACCTCACATCCTTGGAAGACACAAGAGTACGAGGAAAGACATGATCAGTACCTACAAAATTCTCAGAGGAATTGAGAGGGTAGAAAAAGACAAACTATTTAGCATTGGTGGAACATGAACAAGTGGACACAGGAGGAAACTTAGTACTCAAATGAGACACAGAGATATTAGAAAGATTTTTTGTTAGTGTCAGTAGTTAACAAATGAAATGCATTAGGCAGTGATGTTGGGGAGGCAGACTCCATACACAGTTTCAAATGTTGATATATGATAGAGATAGACAGAGCCTAATAGACTCAAGAATCTGTACACCAGTTGATTGACAGTTGAAAGGTGAGACCAAATAGACAAAGCTCAACCCCCCTCCCCCCCCTCACAAGCACAATCTAGGTGAGTACATACATGCAATAGTCTACAGGGGCCGGTGGCTGACTGGACAGCACCCTGGATGCGTGATCCTATGGTCCCGGGTTCGATTCCCGGTGCCGGCAAGAAACATGGGCAGTTTCTTTCACCCTAATGCATCTGTTACCTAGCAGTAAATAGGTACCTGGGAGTTAGTCAGCTGTCACGGACTGCTTCCTGGGGTGTGTGTGTGGTGTGGAAAAAAGTAGTAGTTAGTAACAGTTGACTGACAGTTGAGAGGCGGGTCGAAAAAAAGGGAGGAGAGAGACCTTGGATGGGAAAGAATTAAGAATTAAGAATTAAAGGCTAAGGAAATGGGGAGTTGATCCCATTTATGGAGGTCATTGTGGACCTGCTAATTCAGGTTCAGGTAGATGGAGGCAGTACAGGAAGTAGTGTGGGTGTGAAGTGAATTTTTGTAGGGTGGTCACCAGCACAACTAATGCAGAAAGCTGGTAGGATCATGCAGGTAGATTTAATTAACAGGGCTGGAATCACTACACATTGGACAAAAGAACTGCACTTCTACAAGTCAAAGTTCCATGACTAAATAGCCAGCAAGTATTGCACTGGTATGGGGGCAGAACCTTTGACTTACCCGAGGACAACTATAGTTTGGTGTTACAGATGTCAAACAAATTTTAGTAGAAAGTAGGAGGTTAGTATGCTTACAATGAAGGGGTAGGTGAAGGTAATGGAGGTAACCTCGGCAATGGAGTGACCCTGGTACTCTAAGATAGTCTTAATATTATCATAGTAGACTCAGAGTTTTCAAATTCCAAAAGCAACATGGGCATGTAAAATGACAGTACCTACACTTGTATTCAGGCAAACATTTTTATTGACTTTTATTAATCCAACAATGTTTACAAGAGCATCAGGGATGGGGAAAAATAAAATTCAAACCAATGAACTGAAGCAGGTGAATATGCAGGTCGAAATTGTCAACAACTACATAATTATCAGTATAATTAGGATCAAAATATTTGTTCCACATAAGTGGAACAAATGTATTTAAAGAGGATGATTGCAAAACATGAGAATGGAATTCAGGAAGAGTATGATGTCACAGCCCCTCAAGAGCAGTTAGAGGGGCATACAGCATCATAAGTCAAAAGAGTTTCCAAAAGTTGAAGAGTTAGTCACATTGAGTGATTCAGTAGGAGCTCCCGCCAAACACACAAAACTACGACATTGCTACAACATTCCAACAAGTTTTACCACCACCTAACAAGTTGTAACATCCAATATAGCAAGTTGTAACAACATTCTAATATGTCATAAAAAGTTATAACAAGATGTAATAACTTTATTTACAAGTTGAAACAAGTGGAAAATAAGGGCAGTTTCTTTTTGTGTTTACAGAGCTATTACCACAAAAGTGGCAACAGAAAGGAGAGCTTAGAGAGGGTGATCAGGGGAGGTGGACAGTGTGAAGTTAAGGCCCTACATTGCAGAAGCCATGGAGCTAGCAGGGAGCTGCTTCTCATGTAAGGATAAAACTGCTCTTCCAGAGGGGCCCAATTCTTAAAACCTGATTGCTCACACTACACAAGTCTGAGAAGGAGAATATGAGGGGAGGTCAAAAACATACAACACATCAAAATTCCCTTCCAAAAATTTAGTAATTTTTTTTTTAATTATGCTAGAAACACAAATGTTTTGCTTTATTCGCCAAGGACAGGTGACCTTACAATGATATATTTCTATACAATTATTTAGTGTTGATGTTATTTGGAAAATGAAACACAGTCTTTGCTAATATTTTACTTGTAAAATAGTATACTCATCATTAATGCATATGCAGTACTGTATATAAATACAGTACAATACTTCAATCTTCATTCTTTTCAGGTGGTGGTCCACAAGGTTGTACCATTTTTTCCATCATATTGAAACGAACACGTGCTTTTGTTTCATTTTCTCCTATTGCAATCATATTCAGCATATCAAAGTGACCCATGTATGAAGCATATGTATCACGTTGTTGATTGACACACCATTCAAACTGCGCTGTATCTGCATGACCTGTAAATTAATGGGGAGTTGTTAGGACAAGAATGTAATGAACATTAATTTATTTAAAATACTCCAACTACATCTGATATCAATATATGCACATTGTATTTGTATATGACTGTAATGCCCTTAAATGACAATATATACATACACACTTAACATTGGCTGTGCTCCATTTATTTAACTGTCCCTACTGAGAGTCAAATTGGAGCCTAAAAATTACTGTATTGAAATTAAATTTGTATTAAATTTCAAGTAATAGGAAAACCTGCTCTTTTCTGCTATGCTACCCAAACTAATTAAACAAAATTCTTGGTGAAAGCAAATAAAAGCCAAAGACCAAATTTGAGACTACAGTACATTTTCTATTTCTGTACAAAATATGATCCACATACTGTACTGTAATACAAAAACAGGCTGTGTGTGTTCCCTAGACTAATACCATCATTAGAAATACAATACAATAAAAAACCAGTTGCTTTTTAGATTTAAAGAATACTGTATATAAATCATTTTGTCATTATACAATAACAAACCATGTTGACCAAACCACACACTATAAAGTAAAGAGAACCACATTTTGGTTCATCCTGGACAATTATCAAGTCACAATCGACTGAATAATGGTCCAGGACGGACCAAAACGTCGTCGTCTCTTCACTTTCTAGTGTGTGGTTTGGTCAACATTTTTCAGCCACGTTATTGTGACTCCTCATCTGCAACAAACCATGTATTCACCTAGTTGTATTCACCAAGTTATGCTTGCAGGGGTTGAGCTCTGCTCTTTCAGCCTGCCTCTCAACTGTCAATCAATCAACTGTAACTACTATTCCTCCTCCCCCCCCACCAGGAAGCAACCCGTGACAGCTGTCTAACTCCCAGGTACCTATTTACTGCTAGGTAACAGGGTCATCAGGGTGGAAAGAAACTTTGCCCATTTTGTTTCTGCCATCACCGGGGATCGAATCCCGAACCCTAGGATTACAAGTTCAGAGCACTGTCTACTCAGCTATCAGGCCCCCATATGTGTTATTGCTCTATTGAATCTGCAAACTAGATTATGGTATAATTTTTTACATAAGTGTATTTTTTAAAGTCACTCCATAGCTTTTTCAAAACGTTAATACTGAATTTTTTTACACTTGGACTGCCTGTACTGTAAATTTATTCAATGATCGAAGACTGGTAACTTTATCCTTTGTACTGCAATAAACATAATTTACCTGTTCCAATGTATTTTGACTGCAAATGCTCCAGCTGGGAGTGAATATTATAACGATCACCCATTTTCACTTATGTTCCCTGAAATCATTAGAGATGACACTGCATTAGATATAAAATACCAAAAAATTGCTTTAAACTAAATTCACTTGAAATATACTGAATGTTATAATGATAAATAGAAAGACGGAAAAAAGAATCACTGTTACTGTGTAACAAAAAATACTGGCCGATATTATACAAATGAACAAAAATAGCATTGTCTAGCTTTAACAAACTTCATAAACATACTATGTAACTGCCCCCAAATAGTCACAACAATTATATTTTGAGTTGTCATATGATGCTAGTTGACACTATGATGCTAGTGCATTTGTTATTTCCTCATACAGTATTAGTATCATTAAAGCTAAAGCTACTGGACAGTGAAACAAAGCACAAAGTATTATGAGACTCATTAGTATGTTATTATCATGAGGTATAGGCTCTTAAGCCCAGCACTGTGACAACTAGGGTCACAAAAGTCATTGCACATTTAGAATTATATAAAAACTCAAAGAGGTTACCACAGCATATTCAAATCAATCTCTTTCTAACAGCAGTAATTAGCAACTGACTGGCCACTACCATTATACTTTCCCACAGAAAATTATAACTTATCTATTTAGATATAACAGTGATCAGAGTATTTACTCTCAGGAGTACCACCACCAAGGTAGTATAATCAACCCATATATGTTGGATTTAATTTTTAATTATATTTACCTGAATACACTAACACACTGAATCAAATTATGCAAATTAACAAGTTTAACTAAGGTAAATACATTTTATTGTATTTGCATCTTGAATCTCAGTCAGATGACCCCTATGGTGGTCATTTTCATGACCACAATAGTTGAAGCAGTAATTGGAAAGGGAAAGGGCAGTTTACTATGGTGCCACCAGCGGTTATAGACGGATCTTGCCTCTACTGAAGCAGTACTATGCCGCTGTAAACTCTTTATTTATTATAAACACATAATAATTCTTGATATATGATTGACTTAAATTATTATTTCTTAATGACTGTCCCTAAATTTACAAAAATTAACTCTGCTACCTGCGTTTATGGATTCAGATGTGAAGGCAATAGGAGTATATCTATAAGTCCACCAATCTTTGTAAAAATTTCTTGTATGTATGTACCTTACCTAAATAAATATTTATTTATTTATTTTTATTTATTTATATATCCTTTAGTGGAGGAATTTATGTGGCAAACAGCAGTTTTCAAGCACAGCTCGTATGCGTCACTGTAGTTAAGATAAAGAGGTGGTAGAGGTGGTCATAGCGTGTTTGGTCAAGAAGTACTGGGAGTTAGGGCGAGGCTGGGAACATGAACAATTAGTATTAAGTTTTAGTCTTAGTTTGTTTCCTGCCCGAAACGCTTTGTGTAATAGTGGCTTTAGGCATTGTATGTACTAGCTCTATCTATAAATCCATCAACTTTTGTATCTTACCTTGTATGTAGGTACTTTACCTGAATAAAAATTTGTATTTGTTGTATTTGTAACTAACCCATGCAGCGTCCCGACGACTGTAGTTCTCTTCTGCTCTTGTTTAGGATGGCAGCGTGGTTCTTTTTGTTTTTTAATTCAGATTAAAATAAAACCTGAGTTATACATTTTAATAACTTACATTATAATTGATTAATTTTTTTGATAGTTTCATTATATATATATAGTGATAGTCTTTAATATAACACGTTTTCAGTATGGAACCAGTGAATGTACCTTAGGTAGCCGTGAGGCCGTCGATCAGCTGAGGAAGAAGGCCGTCGAGTCCAACTTTAAAAAGACATGGCTGCTGTTATTGCCCGCTCCCTGCCCCACACTGCCCGCCGGGGTGTCCAGCTCACCACCGTCAGGTTTGCCAAGAGTAAGTCTCACAAATAGTGAGTGTAAGGGTGTAGTATGGTAAGAGTAGTGTAGTGAGGGGTGCCGGGCAGGCTGATGGCTGCAGGTACTCTGCTGTTGCGACTTGCAATACCGAGGTTGATTGATTGATTGATAAAGATTAAGCCAGCCAAAAGGTGGCACGGGCATGAATAGCCTGTAAGTTGTGGCCCTTTTGAGCCGTCTTTTGGAGGTGCGACTGCACCCTGCGTGACGGGAGATGTCTCCCGTTTGCTATATTACACACACACCAAGGTTCACATTGCAGTATTTATATATATATATATATATATATATATATATATATATATATATATATATATATATATATATATATATATATATATATATATATATATATATATATATATATATATATATATATATGTGTGTGTGTTTCATTGAATATGGCTGCATATTGTGTGATTATTTTGTTTAGGACTGCTATCCCTCTGACTAGTGATCTTGCATCTTGGTTTAATTGGAAGAGGATTTCTCGATTGTCATCTTCGTTCGAGGTAAACTAAGCTAATAATTTAACTGTAGAATGTATTCCACTAATTATAAATTTACACAATTTTAAGAACATACATAGTTCATTTTCAGGTGATGGGATTGTACTGGGTGTATTGGATATATACCATTAGGGCAGTTGGGTACATAATTCAAATAGGTGAGGATTACTGCATAAGGTGGGGGGGGGGAATAGGACATAAATGGACGATGAATGGGGAATGAAAAAATGGAGGAGGCACATACAAAGATTAATCAGGTGTAGTGGGCGTGGCGTGCTGAGCAGTGCTGTCATTGTTGGCATCTTCGTGTTACGGTCTTGTTCATTCTCCCATGGTGGGTAGGGTGAACAGTTCTGTTATTTGGGTATTTATGGTGGGTTGTTCAGCTTTTATATAAATGGCTTCAAGAATTTGTAATCTTCTTGCAACAGGAGTTTTGTCTGTTAAGCAAGTATTTTTATTCAACATTTCTTTTGTTAGGGCAATGTCATGGGCTTGTCTCATGGGTATTTTAGGGTCACCTGATTGAAGATGACAGGTCAAACGCCTAGTAAGCTTGGTCGACCTATGTACTGTACTTGGCTTGAAGGCTACATCCTTCGTGGGGGGTGGTGTACATGTATTTCACGTTCGACTGCTGTTTTAAGCGTTCATCTGCTTTGGGCTGTTTTTAATGAGGTCGGTGGTCGTCTGTTTTATAGTACAGTATGTGATTAGGTCTGTGTTTTGGTTTGAATGTCTGAATCGGAGAGTTCTTGCTGAACAAATTGGAAGAAATTAATCCAGACTACTATATCACATTTAAAAAGTATAATGTAACTCACAAGGGGCTGTTGCCCTTTGTGAGATCGTCGCACTGTATTACAGAAAACAGGCAATGCTTTTTCAATCGTTGGGTAATAAATTTGTAGAATCACCTACCCTCCAAGTCATAAATGTGAGGACTGTACTACAGTTTAAAATTCTGGTAGAAGTTTTTAGGAATTAATTATAATGGGGGGGGCCATCAAGGCCACTAGAGATGACAAGTCTCGGGTACTTGGATTGTAAGGCAAAGTTTTTATGCTAGGGTGAGAACATTGTGTATTAAACGCCAAACTCATTTATTGTTTTTTTCCAGTGATGGCCGACCCATTTGAGCATGCAACTGGACTTGAGAAAAAGGAGCTGATGGCTAAGGCTGCAGGAAATGATGTAAGAATATTTTTATTTTAATGCAGTAATGCCATCTGGCAGTTATAAATAGTTAAATTATCAAGAAAATTGACTACAAATTAACATTTTTCACAATTATTGATGAAATATTTTTTTCCTCGTTCCTTCAATTTGGCCTTCTTAAGGTACTTGATAAATAATAGGGTAGTACAGTACGAGCTCTGTAATTCAGAGTCGGGTAATCTGAATGAATTCATGTTAGTTTGTAACCTTTTATATGGAATGAGAAATTAATAAATTAGTGCATGACTGTGTTACTCAGAAATTTGGGTTACCAATTACAATTTGGTTATAAGCACTTTATTGCTTTACTCTCAAAGTTCTAAGAGACCAAGGTAAATTCACAGGTAAGCATTCATGCAATGTGTCATCAGGCAGGTTACTTTGTCGGTTTCCTTGACGATGCTCGCCATCCCTTGCCATCTGCATCTCCCCGCACGATTCCTAAGTTTTTCCATTCTGATTTCCTTGCGCTAGTTGTGTAGCGCATCTTCAAGAGGAAACTAGATTTATTCCTCCAAGGAGTGCCGGACCAACCGGGCTGTGGTGGGTATGTGGGCCTGCGGGCCGCTCCAAGCAACAGCCTAGTGGACCAAACTCGCACAAGTCAAGCCTGGCCTCGGGCCAGGCTTGGGGAGTAGAACAACTCCCAGAACCCCATCAACCAGGTAGCAGCCAATCAAACAGTACGAATTTGATGTTAGGCAATCTGAGTGTCTGTATATGTGCCTATGTATTTATTCTACCTGAAAGCCTCCCCCTCCCCCCTTTTTACCCCATCAATTAGCAGGGAATGAGTACCATGTTATATTTATTATCCTAAAAATGACAGAGTGAGATTGGAACTGGAAGGTAGTGGGGAGGGAACAGGTGTGGGGATGGGAGGCAGGGGGATAGGTATTGGGTGTGGCTAATATACAGCCCAACTAGCCAGTCTGAAAATCCTAGTTCTGATGTCTTGTATTTTAAACCAGTGTCAGACTTTTTTGTCAAGCTTTTGATAGATCTGAGTCAAAAATTTGAGTTGACTGCTTTACTGTGACCACCAAAAAACCACCACCTTTACAGGGTGTACCGTTTCCCTGCTATGATATTGGTACTCGGGAGCCTACATATAATTAGGATGGACCAGTCCCAACCCTGTCAAGTTGTGCTCCCAAGTGTTCTTCCCTTGTGCCATTTTATTACAGAGATAGTTTTCTAGATTTTGTTTTAATAGAAACTGACATTTTTTTGCAAAGACCATGTATGGTAGCAGCAGCAACCCAAGCTATACTTTAGAGCTATGACTGATTGTACTTTGAAAATAGCAGTTTTCACAAAGGCTGAATTAATATTAAGTACTGGTGTTTTCCAAAATGTGTGGATGGGCTGCAGGACTAGGTGTTACTATAGGTTTTTGGCATTTGTTGTTGTGAATAGTAGTACCTAGTCAGTTTAGGTCAGCTTAGGAGGCTGGTATATAATCTGTATCGGTGGATTAGGGTTGGTCTCACCCCCCGAGTTCTGTTCGTTTTTGTCACTTACTCTAAATATGATGCAAAGATGGTGTCTTGATTTTACAAGCTGTTACAGACTGTATATAACAGCTTTCTTTTTTATTGGTGGTGCCGCTACATTGTGTGCTCTTATGGAGATTAAAAGCTTTCTCTAGTGCAGTAATTTTAATTAACAGAACTACCATGCTTCTTGATTTCAATAAGCCTATTGAAAACCATGACCAGCTTCTGGAACCAAGCCCTGGATTTACCATGTCTTGGGAAGAAGCACCAGGTCTTTGAGATTCATACTTTTCTATTGAAAGCCAAGGCAATGGGAGCTTGCAGATCTGACATCTGCTAAAAATAAAGAAAAAGAAAATCCAGAAAGTATAAATGCAACAAAATGAGTAACTTGAAAGAAATTAGGTACCCGAAGGTAACAATGCAAAAGATTGTTGCCGTGATGTAAACACCAGTTTTGTTGTACCTGACTGCCACCAGGTTTCCACCTGCATGCATTTGCTTGCCTGGTGTAGCTTAGTGGTGTTCGTTATCCCTGGAACATTAGCGAAGGTCTCCACCAAAATTATAGTTTGGTCAATAATAGTGTGTGCACCCTAGCTTTCTATTTCACTCCAAATGAAATCCAGGATTTCCTTAGTACAGTAGTTGGCAATCCCTGCCCCATCAGAGGCTTCTGCTGTACAAGTTTGACACCTTTTGAATCTCTAAACTTCCAGATATTGCACAAGTTTTTTCACCGTTGAGGCCTGGTGATGAAAAAAGTAGTTAAATGTATGTTGAACACACACTTAGTCCTGCTAGGGTAACTTGGTGCCCTTAGGCATATCCTGTTATTTTGCAATTTTCATCTTCAAGATTGGCAGTATTGTTGAAAAGTGTTGGCCTTGACAAGCTGAAGGGGATAACATTACCACTTTATATAAACTTACAATATGCTACAAACTGTCACCTACTTTCATCAGTTATCACCATTGCATTTTTCTTGTAAATGAACTATCAAGTTACAAAAAAAATGTTGAATTGGTTAATCTTGTACAAATGAGAGGCATTTAAAATAAAAAAATTGCATGGTAAAATTAATCAATAAATTTTACAGGTGCAGCTTTGATGAACATTTAATCTTATGCCCAAAATGCTGTGTGTGTGTGTTAGTGGCTTCAGGCATAGTATATACTTCCTCTACCTAGAACTCCAACATTCTTCTTATACTGTATCATTTTTTTATGTAATATTTTCCCTAAACATAATTATTATTATTAATTATGAGCAGTCTGCACAATGTGCATCAAGGTCAAAAGGATGACTGCATTTCACAATCATTGATTCCAGAAGCACATGATGCTAGCTTAAATTTATACCCAATTTATATAATGTACACATTTAAATAATATTGAAACTGGTTTTAGGGTGTGCCAATTAACACCCAATTTTTAAATTACTTATTGTAGAAAAAACGTTCCAACTTTTTTCTCATGTTTTCAGAATCCCTTCGACATGAGAGTGTATAAGCGTGTCAGCGGTGATCAGAACAGTCCAACGGTTGTTCCATCATTCTGCGAGAGACGACTGGTTGGTTGCATCTGTGAAGAGGATGCTACGTGCATCAACTGGATGTGGCTAGACAAAGGCGAAAAGAAGCGATGCGAGTGTGGCTATTGGTTCCAACTTGTTGATGCTAAGCCCATGGTTTAAAATTGTAGGAATTGCTGTAAATTGTTCGGAGTCTGTATAATGTATGTGTGGAATGCTCTTAATTAAGCATATTGATACATGTTGCAGTTCAATACCATTCCCATCCACGAAATACTTTTCTTGTATATAAACTGAACTTTTATGGTAATTTCCTGTAGGCATGATTGCTACAACATTGATTGCAATTTTTCAGTTAATTACTGTAAGCCTTTATTCTCTCGGGAATATTGTACAGTATTTATAAATGTAGAAAAAATAAATCCATTTAATTAACCAATGTTATTTTTTTTACCATATTTTTCATTTTTGCAAAATGAAAATTTTCCATCTGCCTAGAGAGACTGCTCTAACACCTATTTTTCTCTTTATATATTATATATTACATACTAGTATGCATATATATATTGTATGGTATGAGGATAGCACCTCTACAGATATACAGTACAGTGATGTACAGTACATTTTTGCACTAATAAACACACAATGACCATTGTAATACCAATTTTATTAGACAGGAGTTATAGTATAAACAAAATACAGTAATGCAAAAAGAGGTGGACTATCTGCAGTCAACACTATGGAAGTTTATTCAGGCATTATACCTGACAAATCACTGCACTGATGAGTGGGCATTAGCATGAAGTGCATATCTGGCTATAGTTTTGGCCTCGTATGCATCTTTATCCGTGAGTACAAAATTAGTTACACCTTAAGTCTATTCAGGTAACCCTCCTTTATTGATATAACTAATTGATTAGCTTAGATCTCGACTATATTTACAGCATTTAATGCAATGTATTTTATAGGTAGTCTATGAATACAGGTATTCAAGGATTAGGTACAATGTATTCCATTTAAATTGTATCCCCCCCAAAATAGAACAGGTTTCACCTAACTGCTTCCACTCAGTTGCTACTTGCCATTGCTCATGCACTGGCAAGTATCACCTTGCATACATTTTCTAAATTAGCATGTTTATTCACCTTCTTGGTCTTCCTTTTAGCTTCCTACTATATTTTTTAAAATTCCTTAGTGGCTGCCCCACCCTATGAATATGAGAAATAGACTAATGATGATATGTAGGCATTCATCACTTACACTCGTATGCTGCTAGGAATGAAGTAATGTATTGTTAATATAGTTGTTGTATTTCTACCATCAGTTACTTGTTAGCTTTCTCTTCTTAGCCTCAGGTATGTCTGTTGAATTACTGGTGACTTTTTCCTGATTACTGGTTGGCAAGTCCCTTATACCTGCTACTGTCACCTGAAAATAAAATACGATTAAAAAAAATTATAACTGGCAAAATGTTTAGAGGAAGAAATGTTTGAGTACTTAGTTTTTGCAAAACAAGCCCTAGAGGATATGAAAAGGAAGAATGGAATAGGTTAAGCATTATAAGATCAGAAGGATGAGAGTAGGGAGTAATCATGTTATTGAATGAAGTATGGGGTAATGAATAATTTCTTCTGGTGTAGTTCAGGGTATTAGTGTTTTGCAGTTGTGATGGCAATCCCTTATTCTCATGAAGTATATGCTAACAACCAACAGGAAGAGAAAATCTGATACAGAAAGCAGAAGAACCAATCTCGAGAGTAGGGTGAAGTTCCGATGCATGATTTCATCCTTCAACAGGACAAAACACAAATCCCACGTAGCCTGACCACTGGAAGAGATAACTGAGGGAGTCTGGGTAGCACCCTCCAAGAGCACAACAAATCGAATATGAGACAATGAAATGGAGGTATTCTTGAATTAAATAGGGTAGGTACATAATTAATAACTTGAAATGAAGTTGAAATGAACTTGAAAAGATATGAAAATAAAATGAAATGAAGCTTAGTCACCAAAATCCAGGAATGATCACAAGGAAACCAGGCAGCTTCCTCTATCAACACCTCCAACCAAACTACTACCACCTCCAGCAGACAAGAGGAACTAGCCAAGTCTTGGTCAAGTGATGAAAAAATGGAACCCCCTCTAAGAGGGTTGCTGACAAATTCCCCCCCTTGCAGACCCCAGTTAAAGGTAGCACAAGCTAGCTCCAGTAGACTCCAAACACCTTTCCATAAAAAAAACACCAAAAATCTGTTTTCTAAAATGTTCCCCACATGCACCTGCTTAAGCAAAGACAATATGTTTAGGTGCTGCAGTCAGAGGGAAAAGTTGGTAAGCTCTTGGCCAGCCACTGAAGAAGTATCTGAGGTTTCAGTATTCTGGGAAATAAGCAGCACCTTCCTAGTTTTGAGGGTGCAACTTTGCAAGTGGTCAGGATCAGGCACTCCTAATCATTCTCAAAGAGGAGGCCAAAACTCTTAACAGCCAAGAAATGAGACTACCAGTACCAATATTTCAACGCACAAGCCCGTATCTGGGCTGCAGCCTCATATGCAGTCCGCGGAGATTAGGCATTGAGCAGGGTCACTACCGACACCTGGCAAATGGAACACAACTATATACAAAACGAATAATTGTTTTGTCTGCAAAAGACAAGTACAGTATAGTACATGTCTTTGCCATACCACTTTTCCACAGCACTAGCCTTAATCACCAGTGTCTTGTTAGAGCGTAAGCTGTGAAGTAGCGTTAATGTTGGCTCCGCCATAAAACTTGTACCTCCATATACAGTATTTTTATATTTACTGAAGGAATCTTACACAAATTTAGCATATAATATTATTAAACTAGGAAGAAATTAATACAAATATAATCATTTACAGAAATTTAGTGGTTTCTATATATATTTGTCAGCAAAAATGGGAAATTTTAATTTATAAATTGAATAGTACGTTATCTTCCATACTAAGTAATGCAATTTATTCACATACACTAAGTAATACATGTAAATCACATCTATTTTTCCAAACCATTTGTATACACTGTATAAGCTGAACAATATCATCCCTATTTTGTAAATACAGTACCTGATAATTTACAGAGGAATTATTCCTATGAGGTGCCTTTGTAAGTGTAGCAACCCTTGTTCGTCCAGACCAGTGAAGAGTAAGTCGTAGCGTTGGACAATGACCCCATGTTTCACCTAACGCTGCAACCAACTGCGATGATCCTGCACACTCTATCCTAGTTGTCATCTGATTGGTAACTACCACCTATAAACAAAGTGTAAAAACTTTGAAAAAAAAAAAAAAAAAAACTTAAGCTCAAAATATAATATGAAACAATACAACATAAAGAATTATTATAATTCAGGGGACATCTGATTTTACATTTTTTCTAAATTATATCCATGAGAAAATTTTAATCTCAGATTTTAAATAATACTTTTTTTTCATCCTGTTTGTGGTATGTACTTATCATCTAGATGTTTAACAAGTCATGACAAAAGGTTTAACTTGTGATATACCGACTTTCATACTCTGCATCTTTCCATGCCATTTTCATTCCTTACTCTAACATTAACATGCTTCTAACATTACATATATTTTTCAGATTGTCAATATCTACTGCTCTAAATTGGAGTTTTTTTTCTAATTCATGCCACACCAGCTTTATACAAACTTAAGGACAAGCACTACAGCTCTGTACAGGCATCTGGCTGTATCTCTCTCTTGTTCTTTCTAATCAGGACTTTCATTGCACCCGCCATTTTAATTTCCCGATTCACTGCTCTTACCACCACTTGCACAAATTCCTCTTTTGTCAATTACATAATTACATATTCCAGGTATTTAAACTGGTCAAGCATTTTTATCACTTCTCCATTCATAGTAATTTCACATGCAGAATTTCCTTCTCTCTCTAACACTATACCATTGCTTTTGTCTGCATTCACTTTACACAGTCTTCTTTCACACACACATACAAAATACAAAAACTTTTGAATGCATCTCATTTGCATCCTCTTTTAACAATAAACTTTCCCAATCAAATAAGTTAAAGAATTCACTTAATTCTCCTATAATATTTTATTATAAAGTCTAACTGGAAACAAAACCTACTGCCATATTAAACTTTGTTGCCTGCTGAATGAGTTCTTGAGTCATACGACACAACAGTCCTGTTCGAGCCATCATGTCAGGAAAATCATGTCGAAAATGGAATGCGATAGAGTCAATAACAATCAGTTGGATTTTTGGGTGGGTCTGAAGAAGTGATGGAATGTGTCTTATTACAGCCAAGACCTCAATATAACTATGACACCTGTGAAAAAAAAACATGAAATATTCTCATTTGTTGAACAGAAAATATAATACATATATGGAAAGGTGGCTTAGGCTGTTTATTTTTATTATGTTAGTTTAGGACAGCTTGTGTAAAGTTTCTAAATACTTCTGTTATATATATCTAAGACAAACAAAATAAAAATAAACTAAAATATGCGGCAATAATTCACATGCACTTACTAATCTTGGATTTCACATACAGTAATACTTTTCCATCCTGTTTGTGGTATGTACCTCTCCCTTTCAATGAAAGTAGAACATGGTGTAGCAATTATGATAAAATCTTTGAACTTGTAAAACATTTACCCAGCTGTCTTTACATCTACAAGAAGTAATGTGTGGTAAAAAAAAAAAATGTGCAAAGACATGCTACTATATGGCTTCTCAACCTTAAATGTAAGTTATAAGGAGAGAATGAAGATACAGGTACAGTATTAGAAATGCCAAAACTTATGAACAGGGGGAAAAAAAGTGATCACATACAAAACTGTAGTAGGAATTGACAAAATTTATAGATTAATTTTTTAAATCTAACGACAAAAAACAAGAGGATATAAATTCATTCAAGCAAAGAAAAGATAGGTCTGATAAATGTACATACATACACTTTGCTACAGGGTGGTTAATGGATGGGATATTTTAAATGAGAAGGCAATACATGTTAAAATAGTTGGAAGTGTCAAAATGTCTTCATCATGTGACAAAGATAATAGGGAAGGCAGGACTCATCTAGACTTAGGCAATTACTTACACACACACACACACACACACACACACACACACACACACACACATATTAAACATACATTCATTATTACAATAATGCAATTACCTTCTGATACTTTACCTAAAATAATATATTCCCTTTAGTATGGATTCAACAGTAAAGCCTGATACATCGACCTTCGTACCACCAATGGTCTGCACGTGATGAACTGCAGAGGCTGCCATGTCTAGAAACATGTTAATGTATTTACCAAATTGTGTGAATTGCATTATGATCAGGAAATGTGCAAAATATACAGGGCATAAAAATCAGGCTTTGAGCAATATTTATATGATCTTTCTCAGCAGGTCATTCTACTGCTCCCTAAAGCAGGTTAGAACGGCAGTACTTCCTACGGGTAGTGGAAAGTGATACAGTAGCTCCGAAAATGTCATGTACTGTACAGTACAGATACAGTATTACAAATATAATTAAGTTAAAACAAGGAATCTAACAGCCAAAATTTTGTTGTGTACTATAATACATACTGTATTAAATATTTTAAATTACTGTCTATAATTCCTTCATACTTAAATGGCCTTTTTAAACATGGCACCCTGCAGTATCATTAAATTTTGTGAGAATTAAAGTGGGGAAAAATAATACTGTAAAAGTTCTATCAGCATGAGCAGCTATTTCTAGTTTGTATAATTTCTGTGTGGCATAGTACTCGGTTCAAGATTCTCACCTTTTAATCTTCCGGCAGTGAAACTGCCTTCAGTATCCAAGAATACTGCCTCTCCTCCTACCCCACCAACACTACTGGGAAGCTGCACCGACACACAAGCTTGTAAGCTAGCAAAAATAACAACAATTTTATCTTTTGTTATTGCAATAAAATAATAATCCTATATAGCAGAATTACATTTGTTTTCCAGAAGAAAAATTCTTCAACAAAATTATTTATTTCATATTGCTATATATTAACACTGCTAAATAAAACAAAATTATCATTAATAACAAATAAAACTGAATAATGAATTTTTATTACCTCTCACGGCTCAGTTTACTGTATTTAGTACAGTAAATAACTAGATTCAAGTTTTGCTACCCACTTTATTTGTTAAAGGTTCGCAAGGGAAAACATGCGAACCACAAAACAAGCTTAGAAAACTCACCCTAAAAAGTGTCATGTTTACCGTATTTTTCTCGGTATGCAAACATTGTTAAAGCCTTGAAATTATGATAAGACCATTGGAAAATTATTAGTTTGAAACAACTCTTGTAGTGATAACTGTCATTTAAAAATTACAATACAAAGAGTGGTACATATTACAGTATAAATAAAAATTCATACAATTTTAAATTTAGAATTTATCAAGATAATTATTCTGTAAGAAGTTGTCAGGTGTCAAATTGTCTATTTAATTGTCTGAAAATTCTCAGCAGTGATTGTAGTTAAGAGATAACAGTCAAGTTATGAATATAAAGTTAGTCACTACTACTTCCATGTGCAGAATCATACCAGAGCTGAGTTTTTCCAATGCCTGGAGTTCCAGATAGTTCAGTAATAGCACGCAAAGGTATGCCTCCACCGAGCAGATCATCCAAAGCCTCACAGAATGTTACAATGTGAGACACATCACATTCTTCCTGCAACAAAATCATAGAATGCATTCATATATCATATCAAATGCAATTTATCAACTGGTTCTGGGAACCTCAAAATTCAGACATGATGAGATACAAGAAAAATCAACTGCTAAATATTTTTTTTTTTTTTTTTTTTTGAGATATATACAAGAGTTGTTACATTCTTGTACAGCCACTAGTACGCATAGCGTTTCGGGCAGGTCCCTGGAATACGATCCCCTGCCGCGAAGAATCGTTTTTTCATCCAAGTACACATTTTACTGTTGCGTTAAACAGAGGCTACAGTTAAGGAATTGCGCCCAGTAAATCCTCCCCGGCCAGGATACGAACCCATGACATAGCGCTCGCGGAACGCCAGGCGAGTGTCTTACCACTACACCACGGAGACTGGTGAAAATTCAATATAATGATAGATAATGATGTATAATGAAATATAATGAAAAACCTCCTGGTTGGGGCTCTCAGCATCTTCCTGAGCTAAGTGCTGGTCAACTCAAGCCTTGTGGAGATAGACAAGGCCACTAAAATCCACCCTTGCCTACCAATAGCCAAGACAAGAACCTGGCTCTGAGTGAGGGGGAAGATTGGGGATTAGAGATCAGCCCAAATATTAAGAAAACCCTTAAGAAAGATCATGACAAAAAAAAATATCCAGCATTAAATGAAATGAAATGGCTTTTTCTGGTGGGTCCCTTGGTGGCACACAGTTCCTGCCCTGCCCTTGTTTCCATAGGGTTCCAGGGTCATTGTGTTAATGACTGGGGTGGCTTGCTTGATCCTGGGGTCACTGGTCCTGCCATCTAGTGGTGAGTGAGTGAGTGATGCTAACTAGCAGTTAGACCTAAACAATGAGTATGTACATAGTTTATATCAGAGCTACAAATGCTGTCAATGAGGTTGTACATTGTGGCGTGTTCTGACTTTTTTGGTCGGTTTTCCTTCGGGTTTATGATCTTGACTCCCCATATTTCCTTTGCCTCTATTGAGGGGTCCAGATTCTGGTTCTAAATATGCTCTGGTCTCATCATGCATGGATCATACCTTTATATAATTTGTATTTTTATTGCTTTTTCTTTGTCCCATCAACTCATATTTCAAATATAAATGTTGCATACAATGTAGGAAACCATGGTTAACTCATGGGTGCTACTGAGGGGGCTACACCATAAAGAAAGCATTTAAGAGTACAGTAATACCACTTTCTGGAAAGCCCCTCAGTAGCTTCACATTCCCATGCTAAATTGTCCTTTTTTCCTGTGTTATTAGGTGGGCTTGGGCTTGCAAATGTGGTGCTTGCCTTACCAGTTCAATAGAACTGTATCTCAAATTACTTAGGATGGTGATGTGGGGAGGAGAGAGGCAATTAATTACTGTGCTGAGCGAGTACACTGTATCACCAAGTGTGATCGACCATAGACTACGGGTAACTTTGGACAAGAAAAAAGGGTACCATCCCTTGAATAATGTTATTATACAATGCTTAATTTGTGTAATGCTTGTCAAGCTTATAATTATTGCTTGTATAATTGCTGTATGAATTTTTCTGTTCTATAGTCAACACTACACACTTCCTCATATTTTAGCTTCTCTAAAATATGTACAACATATAGAAACTATTGTTCTCTGACATTAAGACAAATCACAAATGAAAAATTGTAAGTTCAGATGTTCGGCACCCAAATTTATATGCAATGCAATCTTCCCTTATCCAAAATAAATGGCATAAACTTTTAGCCAAGCATTCTTAACTTTAACCCCTTTCAAACTTCACTACACCTACATCCCAAAACCATGAGACCCTTAAAACATTAAGATACCGTATATTATAATAATTCAATTTTATAAGCTCTGACAAAACATTTTACACAGTTTTTACACAGAACTTTATAGTTTTACTTCAATCATCTGTAGTACAGTCACAGGCTGCTCTGCACTGTTAGTAGTAGACAGCCTCACCACCTCAGCACTTTCCTTCAAACTCAGTCCTGATGCTGCAAGAATCAGATTATTTCATCAGTCACACGATCACACTTTCCATTAAAATAAAATAAATTAACAGCCAATAAAAACATAGCTTTAAAATTTAATTAAAAACAGTGTTGAATATAATGAAACACCCCAAACCTAACAAACCACAAACAATGTAAACACAAAATATATTCAAGAACATAAAAATAAATACCTAAACTAAGTTCCGCAGGTTTTAGGCCTCGCACGTCATCATCATATATGAAGTCAGAGTCAAGCAGCTTGGTGATAATGGGAGCAGGGAGGCCAAGGACACTCAACAGACGACGAGAACTCATCCTGGCCTTGTGAAACTGATACCCTATGTAATCAGAATTTATATGTTACATCAGTATAACATACACTAATATTACATTTTATATTTGATCTATTCCATTCCTCTTAAAAGAGATTTATAATTATAACTCATGACATGAATTAAAACTACCTAGGTATGACCAATAATACAGTACTGTACATGACATAGGTATGCACCATCCTGCTTGAGGTGGCACATACTTATGGCATAAAAAGAACGATATATGTGAGTGAAATATGAGACAGAAGTCAGCATCAGGTATGTGATGTTAGAGGGTTCTCCGGCTTCCCAGAGGCACACAGCTAGTAGGCTCAGTTGACTCTAGGCATTGATAAGTGGTTGTGTTGTGTATCCCACTCTGGTAGCTCCCCATCTGTGATCATAGTTAACAGTGGTGTTGTGACCATACCATACTGGCTACAGTATTATGGTCACTTCAGAGAGCAAACGCCTGCCATGACATCATGTAGCCAATGCATACTTCTGTCTAAAACCTTTTACCCACAAGACCATCATTCTTATTTTACCATAAGTAGGTGCCGTCTTGAACAGGTTGGAGCATATTTTTGTCAAGTATTGTAGGTTCTATAAACAGCTGTTGGTGGAATCATCTTAACATGAGAATTCTGGTTAGTTTCATGGTGGTTTTGTCTTTGCATATTGGTATCATACCATGAATTGCAGTTACTGTTTTTCTTAGGGGTAGGGGCAACAGCATCTGATTAGAATTTGTTAAGAGTATGTTAATTAGGTTAATGCAGTTTGTCATATTTCCTTGTATAGTACCATAAAAATATCCCAAGCTATAGTGATAGAACAAAATTCATAAAATGCTTCACTATAGTAATTAGATACTGGTATTTCCTTGTTCAATACCATGAACAAATTGATGGCTGCTGTGATACTAACAGTAACTCAAAATATGATTAATTAGATTAGGCCATCATATTCCAAGAAAATATCAAAGGTTAAGGTGCTAATGCATATACATATAATGCATCATGTAGTTCTAATTCATTTTTGTCAGGGACAGGAAACCTGTGTATATATTCACTTTAAACTTATATCAAGGTCCTCATATACCTTCCTAATGCTACCGGCATGTTGACTTTGCACTTTCCCTTGATAATAACTTTACCTTACCCCCTAATGATTTATCTCCTCCCTAAACAATAAAATAGATTTTATGTATCTAAATAACACAGCAGTAGAAAAAGCTTATAGTCTAAGTAGCTGTACACTGTACTGAGTATAGTATAAATAAGTAGGTTGTAAATGGTCTCAAGCTGAAAGACTGGCATTGGTGACACCAAACATGATTCACACTCATATAGGACAGATCATGAGCACTTTTATTATTGTAAGAAAATTGTTTTACATTTAATTAACAATTCTGTATAACATTTGGGAAACTAAAGAACCACTACTCACTCTATATAGGACACTATGGAGCTACACAATGTGCTTTCAGGTCAAAAGGGTGATGTGCTTTAGGTTTCAGATTCATGAGCAATTACAAATGCTTGCAATTGGGTACTACTGTTCATATTCAATATAATGAAGCATAGAGTGTCACAATGTATTCAGCAGGTTTACTCATCCAGTAGTGTGACATTACTGAGCCCCGCTCCTGTGCCAAGTAAGTCCACTACGGGCTCACCACAGCCCGTGCTACTTGGAACTTGTTCCAAGTAGCTGAATTTATAACAACAACGTGACATTACTGATGACTGTAACTTGCTTAGCTAAATGAATTGTGGGGTTCAGTCCCTGAGCCCATTATGTGCCTCTGTAACCCTTTCCACTACCGCCCACAAGATGGTTATGGGGTGCACAATAAATGAACTAAACTAACTTGTACACTTTTGCTGCTGTAATCATTTAATGGCTAGGACAAGGAATGACAAGACATTATTACTTCAGTTTAAATTCTAGTTAGAAAAAATCATCAGGAACAATGAGGGACCCATGACAAGCTGGCAGCTTCCTGTCCCCTGTCAGACACTAAAGATGGATGCGTTCAGGTAAATACAGGCAAATAACTTAAAAGTTTCAAAAGATATCGTGCATCCAACAGCTGTGAGTCTTACAGTATGCATTTAAGGCAAAATTCTCGCATCCTTGACTGACTGGTGACGTTAATGACACTAAAGCAGTGATATTCATTCATAATATAGAAATATTATACAACATATTATACGTTAAATATTTAAATGAGGAAGTCTTACACTGTAGAAACTCATGGTATCATTTTATATTTGTTCTTACTATATGAGCAGTTACTTCTGGAAACTGTCAAGTATAGATGAGTGCTCAAACTAACCCCAATGGTCCACCGAGCCACCAGTTGATTGACAGTTGAGAGGCGGGACCAAAGAGCCAAAGCTCAACACCCGCAAGCACAAATAGGTGAGTGAGTACAGTAGGTGCAATGTGGGTAAAGGTTCCCTCCTGACCTGGGAATACAGGCTGACCTGCCTGCTGCTGGGGTTCGTGGCCCGCGCCACCTTACAAAATAAGACGTGCTAGAAAACGCGGATCTACTTTTAAGGATTAACTTTAAGATTCGTATCTGAATATTGAACGCTTACTTTCGAAATTCAGATATGAATCTTAATTTAGACATTAAAAGTACAGCAAGATGGGTATGAGGTGCATAATAAATGAACTAAACTTACTAACTAAAATTACAGCACTGACCAACCCTCCTGTGAGGTGGGGAAAACTGAGGACTTATATAGCAAGCTCTTTCTATATATAAAAAAAAAATATAAATATAAAATGTTTATTTAGGTAAGGTACATACATACAATAGATTTTTACAAAGATTGGTTAACTTATAGGTAGAGCTAGTACATACAATGCCTAAATCCACTATTACGCAAAGCGTTTCGGGCATGATAAACTTAAATGACAAGCTTATACTATGTAATCTAGTATATATACTATGTAATCCCTCACATTTCACAATTAATATGGAAGCCTCAGCCTGCTGTATATATCAAAGTTTGTTAGAAAAACACTGAAACAGAAGCCAAAGCTTGGTCTTGTAGCAACGAACGACGTACCCTCTATATTTGGGACATTACAAGAAAGAAATAGGAGGCTTCAAGCTACCAGAAATTACCGAACCACAAGTATGAAAATGTGTTTCAGTTCTGAACTACATTCAGAACTATCATATACTTACTGATTAGTCAGTAAGCTGCACTTATGTTGCCTCAATAACCCTCCAGAGGTTGATAGGCCTTAAGCCCAACGCTAAACCAGTAGTTACCGTAGTAGTACACGAACTTAATTCACTATGGAAGACAGTCTGCTCCTCACAATCAATGAACATCTCGCCTCTCCTCGTCAAACTTGACGACGACTGCCTCGTCTCGCAGTCAACACTCCTGACCCTAACGAATTAATTATACTTGCTGTAACTTATGTTACAGGTGTCTCCTGCCTGTTCCTTTACCGCTTATTCACCAATATATCTTTCCTCCGTGGTCAGATTGATTGATTGATGAAGATTAAGCCACCCAAAAGGTGGCACGGGCATGAATAGCCCTTTTGAGCCATTATCAGTATCAAGAGCTGATACTGGAGATCTGTGGAGGTGCGAATGCACCCTGCGTGACGGGAGATGTCTCCCTTGTGAATGTGTTAAGATGAAGATGAAACCACCCAAAAGGTGGCACGGGCATGAATAGCCCGTAAGTGGTCGCTCTTTTGAGCCATCACCAGTATCAATAGATGATACTGGAGATCTGTGGAGGTGCGACTGCACTCTGCGTGACGGGAGATGTCTCCCGTTGGAGGTTCCGTGGTCAGACACTGTCATATATATATATATATATATATATATATATATATATATATATATATATATATATATATATATATATATATATATATATATATATATATATATATATATATATATATATATATATATATATAATGTCATTTTTCAGTGACCTATAGAGAGGGGAAGTGCATAGGTAGCCCCTTGAGGGAGGGGGTGGACGGGTGAGGGGAGCAGTAGGAGGGGAGGTGTGTAGGTGTCAACAACACAGGTCCAAGGGGGACGGGCAGCAGCAGCCAAACGACATATTTGGGGCTTGGATGCACTAGCTACTGCTAAATATGTCTATATCAGATCCCTTGATTAAGGAGCTAAAAGGTAAGCCTATAAGCCACAGCTGCCATGTACTAAACATGATTAGAAAAGAAATAAAGGTTTGCATATTGAGGCCTTGCAACACGTTCTACATGATCTCTGTTAATTGTCAGAAAACTGGTAAATATTTTTCAGTAGTAGACAATGTAAGACGTTATATGTAGGCCTTAGCAACACACATCATAACTTTAGTGCCCTAATATCCACCAGACAAGGGTTAATCTATCGAAACAATAGATTGAAACCACGTAATAGATTAATCTTCCAACAACACTACCATGTCATAGATTGAGGAAGATAATCACCTAGAACTTATGATCCACCAGTTATTGAAAGTTACTGAATAAGTAGGAGCTGTTATAAATAAAAGAGAATCAAACTAACCTCTGACTTCAAGAAAAAGGAATGGTAATTCATTGCCATTCAAATCCAACATTATGTTTGTAACTCTTCATTTATGTATGTACTCTTACCTGAATAAAAATGTGAATTTGAATTTGTGCAAATCTCAAGTGTTACCCATATCGGGACTACTGTATGCTCAAGGGACCTCGCCATAAAAGAACTTACTGGATTTGAATATACCTAAGACTCAAGGAAACTGCAGATAACCTATTGGCCCATATGTGACATATTGGATATTTATATCCAAACATGCATATTTTCTGTGCTTACAGAAGAGATGCTTTTTCACCAATAAGGTAATAAAGCCATGAAATTGCCTCCCTGCCAAGTCATAAATGCTAAGACTGCTAAGTTTTAAATTCATCCTGGCCGGGGAGGAGTTACTGTGCATCAATCCTTAACTGTAGCCACTGTTTACTCAACAGTAAAATGGGTACCTGGTTGTTAAATGATTTGGTGGGTCTTATTCCGGGGAATATTTGGATTAAGGACTTGGCTGAAACGCTATGCGTGATAGTGGCTGTAAAAGAATATAAGAACTCTTGTATATATAAATAAATAATAAATTAATAAATTCAGCTGGAAATAATTCTCAGGAATGGTTTGGGTATTTTCGACAAACCGCAGCTTTTCTGATCCTGTTGAGGCCACTAGAACTCGCTACAAGTATCGTTGAATGTTGTTCATGAAACTTGTGCAGATAAATTCCATGACCAACCAACACGTATTGATGATCGCTGGTGGAGTGGTCATGGTATCGGTGTTATTGGTTGGGAGACCCCTGGCAGCCTGGGTTCGACTCCTCTGAGGGTTCATAAACTTATAGTGATATGATTTGTCAAAATGGGACCTCAGTACAAGTCTAAAGTATATACAGTACATACTTCCTGTCCACAGACAATGCAAATTATTATATATTTCATGCTTTTTGCCTTAATAAAATATAATTCCAAGGCTCCATGTTGAATAAGGGCCTGGTAGCCACTTTGAGGGGCCAGACCAGAAAGGAAGTGTTGTTTTAACTATACAGTACTTGTTTTACAGTGGCAGATCTCAGTCCTAAAACTTTGTGGGAGGATGATAAGGGCAAAATTTGTTCATGCATGTATTTAAAATAATAAAATTCTATGGGGTTAATTAATAAGTCCAGTAGTTTATAATTGTAACTAGAGGGATTGTAGGCCTCTATGTCACTCAGACATTTCCCACTGATACTATAGTATTCATTTAAAACCATAAATCGTAAGAGGTTATTAACACATGAAAATTATTCTTATGCTAATTTTTATTGGGAGAATAAATTTGTTCATACATCATTTACAGGCCATATCCTTGAAGCTACTAAGGCAAGCTGTAATGGGGGTGTATTGGACACTCAACCATTTCTTCTGCCACTCTGTCAAGTGTTGGAGGCAATTTTTCGTAAAGGATTAAATAATGCTGTCCATTCTGCATTTGGCCTCACTAAACGTGATTACTGGTCTTGGGTGGAGAGAACTGCTCATACATCTGCTGGGTAATGTAATAAATATTGATATATATGGTACATAAATTTATAATTACTAGAGCCTGTTGTATTGATGAATAATAACTATCTATTTAGCTTTATTTCTCTTAACAGAATATGCTAAAACCCTTTTGCTCAGCTTTAGTTGTTGTCTAAACAGTCATAATAGAATATTGTCTCAGAAGTTAGAATACAGTATTTGCTAAGTAACGTTTTTAACTTCATGTGAAAAGATGTGTGATGTATTTTCTTCATGTGTGTAAGACTGATTGGTTTCAAGTCATACTGGTTTAGTGCTGTCTACTGATAATTTTCTTTCTTTCTTACTTTTCTTTTAGGGGACATTCCCAAAGAAATTGTTGATTTTGCTTTATTTTTTTCTTCTTACAGTAAGAAGTACAATAAGTTATATATTGTCCATAAGCATCTCTGTGACACAGTCCAAAATGTCATCCAACTACACTGCAGAAAACAATGTCCATTGAATAAACATTAACTGTTTCAAATCAATTTCTTATTTATTTTTTTTATTTCCAGTCTAAAAGGCACTTACAAGTCTACAGTGGAAACTGTTGCAAGCAACCAATGTGTTACAACACCACAAGGCCGTGGACGGCTCTTTATAAGACACGCTCTTAAATCCAAGTGTCTACATGTTCCAGTTGAAACTGTTGTAAGAATATGCCAGATGTTGTTTTCCCTTCTTATTTCTTTGTTAGGTATTCCTGACAGCAATATCTTATTTTAATCATGCTTATTTTTATTTTCGTTTTTCCCTCTGACAGGTCTTCTTTCAATATCTTCATTGTATTGACTTGAAATCTATAACACTAAATTAAAATAATAAAACTTAAGATTACTTTCATTATTGGGCATTAAAGCCCAATGGCAACTTTTTTTTGGGGGGTGAGCTTCCCAATAAGGTCAGACACCCCATGAGAACAAACCTCACAGGACTTAAGGTCATAGGTGTCACTGACCCAACAGGCAGCATGGCATAGGCCAATGAATGCTCATTGCGAGGTAGCAAAGATGATGAACACTCTGTAAGCTTGCCCTTGATCGATCCATAACGGCTCTCATCCTATAACTACACTTAGGTAATTTAAAAAACAAGCAAGTGGCCTCTATTGGACTAATGAGGTCCAAGAATGGCTGGCATTCAACTTTGAGCCGAGGGGTTTGCCCATGACTAACAAATTGGAGTACTACAGGTGGAAGTAACCATACCCTCTCTAAGGTATCCACTCCAGGTATTATTTAATTACAATAGATATACTATAATCATATTTCCATTTTCAGAATAATGTTTCTGGCACTTCCATTGAGCCAAACTCCAACCACCACCGAATGATATTTACTTAAGTTTATCAAACAGTAGTGTTCTATAATATATATATTTTTAGCATATGATATTTTATTATATTTCATGCACTGTACATAACATTCTCTTTAAGGTACGAATGAGATGCAATGATGGTGTTTATGATGAAGATTCCATTATTGGTAACGAGATACTGGGTGAGATCTTCCTGAGCCTCCTCTACCAGTGCTCACACATTGACTTTGACTTGAAGCTTGAAAATGCATCATTTCTGGATGAAACTTGGCAGCTGCCAGTCTGCCAAGAATATGAACTGGTTCCTTGTATGGATTTAGGGATTTATCTTGGGTAAGAAGTTTGTGCATGTTGATTTATTGAATTCCATCAAATAGCTGAGGCTGTTTTTTAGCCTCAGTTTTTAGCCTCAGCCTCAGTTAGCCTTAGTTTTATAGACTTAGTGAAATGTAAATTCAAGACATGGATAGAATTATAAGTGAAAAAGTAAGATTCTTTTTTATCTTTACAATTACAGTTAGCAGTGAGTACACTACAGTATTATTACATAAATTTATTAAAAAATAAATTTAAAGCCTTTATAAATTTTTATGTTATCCAAGCACCTATTAAGGAGGTGCACTAGTATTAAAAACAAATTATAAGTATTGATAACAATACCCCTATCAGATGCTTTAGTTGGAGCCATTCTATGAAGATGTATATGACTGGTATTAAAGTCTGGAGTGTAGGAGTGATAAAATTAGCAAAGCACATAATTTTTGTAGATAATGAAATGCAGTAAGAGCAGAAAATACAAAATGATGGGAAAAATTGCATGTTGCTAGTCTTTCATTACAGGTTAATATATAATTTGTTTATGATTTACCATTATTCTACCCCCTCATGGAGGGGAGGGAGAATTGACACAGTTAAGGATGGCTCCTGATCCCTTTCCCTGCTTGAAACAAAGGTGGCCACTGTAATAGGTTTACGGTTTGGATCATGAGATCCAACTGCTGATGGAGTCGCACGTGGGGTTGCTCTGTGTGGATGAACGGGTATCCAGGCCATGGTTCGAGGGGGAATGGTGTCTTTGCAAGCTGCAATGTCTCAATTGCTTTCCAGTATTTGTATCTGTGGTGTTCCCTGTTCAAAGACCAGGAATCTTGTCTTTTGTTTCACCACTTTCTCTGCACACTATTTTCAAGATTGATGGCTATTAAATCTTGTTTTACCCATTTCATTAATCTGAATGTGCATTTACTGGCAGTCAGCTTTCATACACTAATGATCAAGAGTTAAATAGTAATTTTTAAAATAAAATGCATGAATGTTTTGTATGGTACTAACAATTAATATAAAGTATGGTACCCAGCTTTACTAACCCACTCTTTATTTTTGCATTGTGTGTCCAGTCATGTGAACGGAAGAGCAGTTGTGGTCAAGGTGGAAGAAGGAAGCGTTGCTGCTGAGGATGTAAGCCATCTGTCCACCTTAGGTCCCCCATAATTTTTGTTATATTGCTGTTTAGCTTGTATACCTTGTACACACTGCTGTACTGCATTTGTTGGATGAATAATAATTTGTGTCTATCATTAGCTTGTTATTCATACTTGTTAGTGAGATGCATATCAGCCAATTTACAAGTGTTAATTAGTTGGTAACTGCTCATACAGCCCTCGGACAATATCTCTTTCGATTTCGTTCTATATAACTAGGGCATTCATTGCACTAACCATTTTTCTTCTCTTACTCTACTCTCAACTTACATTGCACAAATTTCTCTTTTGTCAGTCACACATCATTCATCAAATAATTATATTCTAACAATTAATTCAATTTACTCTGTAAATGTTGATGAATCCTTTATTAATTGTTTTAAAGAAAAAGAGAAGGCATCTGCACCATCCCAAGAATATGCTCAGAACTCTTTAAAGGCCTTCTCTGTTATCTTTGTCATATGCTTTTTCTAAATCCATAAATACCATATAAACCTGATCTACATACCATCTTTCACAACAGAACATGCACCTTTTTCATCACTTATCAATTTCTCATTAATGTCATGGACTCTTCTGATCATTCACTTGCCATACAACATTTTGTGAACTAATGATTAGCAGCATGACACTTGGTATAGTGTGTTTTTACTTTTATACAGCGGTACAGTCACTGCTCTTTTTCCAATCCTCTGGCACAGTACTGTACTACTATTACAGTCTTGGCAAATTCTCCACACCCACTCCAATCAGTTTTTTAACACAACTTTAATAATTTCTGCTTGTCTCTCATCACCACCTGCAACTTTCCCATATTTCAGCGTCTTCACTTATGTACTCATCTCATTCATAGATACAGCAGCTCTCATGTGGACTCTGCATTCAGCTCAGATCATCATATCCAATCATGTTCCAGTTAGCACCTCTTTCAGTACTTATGTTAATTAGACTTTCAAAGTGTTCTCTCCATGTACTGTACTTCTAATCTCTCACCATTTAACCTATCCCCATGCCTATTATTTTGTATTTATTTGTTATATTATTTTACAGAATAAGATTGAGATTGGAGATGTAATAGATGAGGCTTTTGGCATTTGCATCAATGGGTGGCGACGAGGTCGTGTATCATCTCTTTTGCGACAGAAAAGGGGGCTTCCAGTATCATTAAAGGTTATCAAAGTAAGGATGGAATTCATAATTAATTTTTACCATATTATCTTGATTTATATGTACCTGAAATGCCATTTCGGATGTACAAATTAAATTCAGCCACTCGTGTAAGTGGCTTTGCCGTAGTTGATGTCATTAGAATCCCCATTCTATTCAATCTGATGCTTCCTCATTAAGTCTGTCTATCTTTTATTTGAATTACCTTGCCTCCCATATTATATTTATGATATTTAATGTTACTAATATTCTATGTTTCTCTGCAATGGTAAATTTATAAGTATTGTTGTATATACTTGTATGTTACAATTTATCATTGTTGTCCTTTGTTTCATCATCCAACTTTCCATAGGACACCACCTTTTCAAGGGGGATGAGGTGCTCTGACACTATAAGTCAGTTGAGTGTGGCTTATGAAGCCTTTTTCTTGGCCAAGGGAAAGGATACCAGCCTTTTGGCTACATCACACACATGTTTACTTTGTGTAGAGATCTGTACTCTCCCCACTTCTGTATATCTGGAATTCATGTCTGCCTTGGAGCTGCAGTTCCTTCGTGGGCAGTTTGTTTTTTTGGTGGAGGATAATGGTAAATTCTGATCAGTCAACTGGTTAAGGGAATATTGGAGGGTGGCACCAGTCTTGTGCTAGGGTCTGCCATAAAATCTTCTAGTGATTATTTATATTTAGCCTTCCATTACCTGTGGGCTTGCCAATGTAACTACCCAGTAGAAGATCTTCTCATATTGGGTTCTGTGGTGGATGGGAGGATAGGAAAGTAAAGTGGTCACAGGCACGTTTAAACAAATTTTGGCACCCTAGAGTGAAAACAAAGAAGGGACAGGAATCTGGCACTTGAGATTTATTCATTGGTGTTATAAGAAGAATAAGAAGATATGCAGATAGAGGGCTACATGAAGGAGTGGTAGTATCTACACTTGTCTGTATGTGATATGCCTGGTAAAGCATGAACAAAAAGTTCAAGAGGTAGAGCAGTAGAAAATGTTAATCTTATATACACCACAAGTACATATAAGATTACCCTAACACCACAAGTTTTAGGGGAATAGATGGAGTAAGAAATTAAAATGTAATTGAAAAATGACATAAAAGTCAGCTGGTCATCGGATTAAAGTGAATTTATTTGAGAAGGTTTGGTCATATTGAAAGAATAATATTTAAGTGATGAACAGTTTATTTGAGTGATTTGTAGATATGAAGAGAGAGAAGTCCAAGAAAATAAATATACAGTATTGAAAAGGAAAATAAATGTAGATTAAATGTAAACAGCACACATGAAAAGGCATAAGACCACATGGAATTGGTCTATTAAGATGGAGTGTGTTTTAACATTTTTTAAGTACCTTGCATGAAGCAATTTATACCTAGTTGTTTGAAGGTTTTTGGTACTACTCTAGATGTATTACTGGACTGTAATGTGCTGATTTTATGTGATTCTGCTGTTTGTGATGTGGAAGATATGGCATGGATTGGGATGTCTTTTTGAGTATCTTTGACCTTTTTTCTATATTGTTCCTATCTTTTGAGTTGATGCATTTTCATCCCATAAAAGTAAGAATGAAGTAATAATCTGGAATTCATGTCTATATATGATGATGAGGTAAATGCTACCTCATGGAACCTACATATTAATCTTATATTAATCTTATGCAGGGTCACTATTCTAATGGTTCTGTGTTTCCTGGAGTGGTGCCTCTCCTTCGACGTCTCCATTTAGATGTGGACAGTCTTCAGGAACAGTTTCGAGAAGTTGCTTTGGCGGAAAATCAGGAGACATCACTAATTAGTAATCAAATTGGGTAAGATGGTAACAATGAAATGGATTGTCAAGGTATTTTGCCTCATAATTAATTAATCCTGACCTGACAGCTGAGTAGACAGCGCTCAGGATTCGTAGTCCTAAGAATCCAGGTTCAATCCCCGGTGGAGGCGGAAACAAATGGACAGAGTTTCTTTTGCCAAGATGCTCCTGTTCACCTAGCAGTAAATAGGTACCTGGGAGCTAGATAGCTGTTATGAGCTGCTTCCTGGGTATGTGTAACAAATAGGAGGCCTGGTTAAGGACCAGGCCGCAGGGACGCTAAACCCCGAAATCATCTCAAGATAACCTCAAGAAGATACTTAATAGGGCTAATACAAATCACAAAATTGTATAAACAGGATGTTCAGATCTTTTGTTTGTTTACCAAATTATAATCTCAACAATACTCAACCATAGCATGATTTTTACCATTTTTCTGCCATTCTTAAAAATATACTGCATGCCCCAAAATTTTATATACTCTATAAATAATATTGAGGTGTGTGTATTGTGATTCTTGCATTACAGCTTTATTTTAAGATGAGGTAGCATGAATAGATTTGGCTAAGGAAATTATGAAAACATTATTTAGTACTACACGACTTTTGCAGTCATGGACAACACAGTCATAACACTCCCTTGCTAAGTACAGTATTATGCAAATTTCCTATTACAGTATTTATTGTGTCGGACATTAGAAAACTGCATTATATTTTTTACTTTATTTCTAATAAAATGTAGATGGCAAAACTTTGTAGAGCTGGATAATGTTGATAGTACTGGCAGAGCTTGTCAACAGACAACGTAATGACACTCTCAGCTATAAATACTTTGATATATGATGTAAATTTGCTCTTATTTGTAACTCCTTATATTACAAATTGATGTGTTGTTTATTTGTCTCTTTTTGTTGGATAAAAAGAACCAAAGATCATTTATTCACGAGTTACAAGTTACTGTATTTATAATTTTCATGTTTAGGAAATCTGTTTGTACCATCTTTCGTGTTGTTTAGGATGGCATAGTGCTGATGTTGCCAGAATGGACATTCAAAATGTTTATCCCATTTTAAGCAGACTTTTTTAATACCATTGTACAAAACTAAAAGTCTGCTATGTGATTTAGTTTTTTGTTTATCTCAATTACTTTTTATCTTTAACCTTCTCTTGATCTATTTTAGTTACTGTATCTGTTGCTCTCTTAGGCTTATTCCATGCAAGTGGGTTTGAACAGAATATATGTACTGTTGTTCACCTACTGACTGCTGGAGTTTTATACTGCATTGTATATTTTCTTTTAGGGGACAGGCAGTGCAGTACTTGGGTAGTGTGTCTGTGGGTGGCTGTGGAGATGTGTCACAGATTGAACACGCTGTTACTGCAGTTTCCAGTCAAAACAGGCAACCTGTAGGCGTTTTACTAATCACTGGTGAAATTGGTGTCCAGACCTTGCTAAGAACTAACAGAAAGGTACCGATTCCCTACCGACATTTTAAATAAAGGATTATATAAGCATAAATTATTTGTTTTAAGTTTTCTTAGATGTAATTAATTAATGTTCATGATCTTTTGTATATGAAAGAATATATTTAATTATCTGACCCAATCTAGCTGTTTTCTGTGGTTTCAGATGATCCTGAACCATAGTTATACTGAAATATCATCGTGCGGCAGAAGGAATGACATGACGGATTATTTTGCTTATATTGCTGGGTAAGTTATTTTTTATGGCATTTTTCTCAGATGAAATTGTCAGTGTAATTATAAATTTTTATATGAGATTTTCATATTATATGTACTCATGATATCATGAGTACATTTGATATATGTACTAGATATAGATATATGAATAGAAATACACGTTCATGTACGAATAATAGTTCATATATATAGATATATGAATAGAAATACTTCACGTAAATTTACAAGGTAATATTAAATTGATTTTTTCTTTTGTAGAACATGTTATTCCTACAATGTCATAATTTTGTCAATTTAAATATGTAATAGCAATCAAATTCTTTTATAGGGATACCAGCTGCTCTATATCATCCCACTTCACATGTTATGTCTTTAGGGCAGCAACAGTGGAACAGGTAAGGCATTCACACACATGTAAATTGTAATATGACAAATATTATAATATTGATCAGTGTTTTTAAGCATGGTAGTGTGATTTAATGTTTGAAATTAATGACAATTATGAACTTAAAAGGTTTAACAAGAAATGACTAGAAGTAATGTATAGTTATTGGAGAAAATATCATAAGTATTGCATCAGGTTTCAGAGAAAGGCCTCTCAGTAGCTCCCATAGCCATGAATTCTGGACTAATGATCTAGTCAAAGATTGACTGATTGATGAAGATTAAGCCACCCAAAAGGTGGCACGGGCATGAATAGCCCATAAGTGGTGGCCCTTTTGAGCCATTACCAATATCAAGAGCAGATACTGGAGATCTGTGGAGGTGCAACTGCACCCTGCGTGACGGGAGATGTCTCCCGTCTAGTCAAAGAGGTTTTGGACAGGAGCTTTATGTGCAGTCATATGTGTACTAGGCAGCAGCCTCCACCAGGCCACTTGGTAGCTCAAATCAAAACCTGGTGTCAGTTGGATTAGTTAACAATTAAGTAGTTCAAGGAGATTTGTGCAGATTTCATGTTTTTCATAATTTCTCAGAGGAAGTATGAGTGTTTTTATATTTCCCTAAATTTTTAGAGTGATCCATCTTGGTAGTGGCTTGCTCTCTGTTCTCCATAAGTTTCCCCACCACATAGAGTAGATGAGACTGCTTGAGAAGGTATTTATTTAAGGTGTGTCAAGAATGTCATGGGAAGCTTGGCATGGTCAGTTTCCTTTGTGCTGGTGATATAAGCTGATTGGAGCTCCAAGGGTGCAAGCCAAGAATTATTTTTTATTTAGTCTGTAGAGCCTTTCATAATGTACTTGCGAGAAATAGTTATTAAAAACAGATTTTGCAAATTTAAAAAAAAGGAATTCCAAGATTTGATCATTCCCACTAAATGGTTAGCCTTGTAATACCTGGTGTAAATAGCTTTGTAAATACTTAAAATATTCAGATTAACTGAATAAAGAGTTTTTAAGTTTATATACAAAAACAAATATTAAAATAATAGCTGGGAACCACTTTGTAATTATGAGTAAGTGTAATTACCTAAGTGTAGTGACAGGATGAGTTACGCTCGTGGTGTCCCGTCTTCCCAGTACTCTTTGTTATATAACGTTTTGAAACTACTGATGGTTTTGATCATAATGAGTCCCCACTTTCCCAAAATAAGTGTAGGCCATTGTTTGGACTATCCAATGGGGACCATTTGTTTGTGTACTGTACCTGACCTTTAGTATTTGCTTCGTGTGCATGTATTTACAAGTCTCACTTGTTGCATGGATTGTGATATTCACTACACGGTGCATGTGATTAGGGCTGCCCTTCCCTAAGTATCTCACTCTGGGCAGTACAAAAATCATGGACTTCTCTGCAGGGCCCTACAGCTAGGGGCATTCAGGATTTTTGTTGTGCAGTGCACTAGGACTCGTGCTTATCATACATCACTCTGCTGACACCCTTCATAGCCATGTTTATCCTGTAATTTCCTAAGTGTGGTTACAGGATGAAACCTGTGCTTGTGGTATCCCATCTTCCCAGTACTGTCATATAACGCTTTGAAACTATTGATGGTTTTGGCATCCACCACCTTTTCACTTAATTTGTTCCAACAGTTTGCCACTCAGTAAAAAGAGAACTGTCAAATGTTTCTTTGCCAGTTTTGTTTCCTTAGCTTGACTATGATCTGTCATTCTTGAAAATTTGATTTACCTGAGGGCCATTAACCCTAGTGGCCTCGACGAGGACAGGAAGCTGACGGCTTGCTGAAGGTCCCCCCATTTGCCTTGATCTTTTCCACGTATATTTTAAAACTCTGCATTCAGGAAATTGCATGTTTCAAGAATTCTTCCTTGTCAATTTTGTAGATTCCTGTTACTATCTTGTATGTAGTGATCATATCATCTCTGGGATGTTTTTACATGAGCTTGTCTTCAGCTGTTGGGTTGAGAAGCTTCATGCTCTCCTTCGTAGGTATGGATTTTTTTCTTATTCCCTGGTGGGCATTTTCTTTGTAGCCTTCTTTGGCAAAGAATAAGATGGTTGACTTCCGAAGGAGTGCTTCGCTGATTGAAGCTTGATTTGTATGGCTGGGGTGTATCATTTGTTGTCCTGTCTCGGTGGTTCATTGCTACCTGTGCAACACTCACTTTGCTTCAGTGGACACCCTGTTTGTTGACCCAGTGTCCTTGGTTGTAAGGCACAGTTCACTTACTTTCTGGATGCGCTCTCAGTGTGGGTGATCATAACAATCCCCAGTTTTATGTGCCTATATGAGGGGTGGGTGGGGTCGGCTGTGGTTTCCCCAGTAGTCCAAATACCTGTAGGACATCTATGGATGATGCATCTCCGTAGGATGGAGAGCATCTGAGTGAGATGCTCCCCCCATCCTACGGAGTGAGATAGCTTCAGGAAGCCACCGAGGCTTTACCAGAAAAAGGCATTTCATTACATTCATTGAAAGGTTTTTGGTTTAACAAAAATAATTCATTATCTTTTCAGTCAAGAGACATCCTTTTAACTCTCGGTAAGTATTGAAAACATGTTTAAAATTTTTGTTACTTTAACTAATGTGGCACATTACATTGTTATATAAAGTCTAATATAAACTTGAATATAATAGATTTATAAAGACAATAAAACTCAACTTGGTGTCAGTACTTTCTGCTCTATTCAAACAATTGTGTGTGTCAAGTTTAAAGGAAATTCAAGTGTTTTGTGGTGTAGAGATGTCTATGGTTCTATTAGCAAGGACTTTAAAACTTGGTACGACCAATTTATTATGAAATTAAACTATTTTAGGTTTCCTTGCCTTGAATTAAGTGCACCTGTGTGTGGTACACTTGATGCTGTAACCCTTGCTCAGATTACATTCTCATTTGTTTGTTAATGAGATTCGTTGTAATTATTGTGGTCATCTATTCTCATAATTTGTCCATTGTTTATAAAAAATCTTATGCTGTAAATACATATTTTGATTAAATTGTATTAACATTTCAGCGGATGGATTCCATAGAACACACTGGGCTGTGTAAAAGAAGACAGGATTTGATACAGGGTAGTACAAAAATTATTATTCCACCAGCTGTTTTATATCAGGAGTGTGTGTGTGTGACATTTGCTGCAGGGAGAGTTATAAGAGATGTGAAGTACTGGAAGCTCTAGCGAGATGCTTTATGTTAACCTTGCAACATAACTGGTATGTGAACAATTATTTGAGGGTTTAGTATATAAATTATTTGATGGTTTAGTATACATGTGTAACATTAAAACAGTTGTAGCTGTGCTGTAGAGTGTATGGTTTGTGTATGTTTATATCTTTGTATATTTTGGTGTACAACTTAAATTTTTACCCATAAGCTTTTCAGGTAAATGATAGAAGTACTGTACTTTTACACTGCACACAGAAATCACAATGGCGTGATGCATCAAATGAACAAATCCACAAGGGCCGTGATGAGGGTTTGAACCTATATCCGAGAGGATCCCAGACCTTGTGGATTTGTTCATTTATTGTACCTTTGTTAAAGGACTGTCAGACTTTAGGATACATCCTCAGGATTTTCATTTGTAGCTCGAATTCCACAAACAAGTATAGATACAGAACATTCCATATCAAATATGATATCTTAATAAACTTTTACAAATTCTCCAAACCAAATACAAATCCCTACCACCCCCTCCCTCAAAAAAAAAAAAAAAATGCTCAAGTCTATTTGGTATTTGTAAATTATCACCATATTGTTGTGAAGTGTATAATACATTCATTGTATTTAGTTTGCAGTTGCATTATACTTTATTGAAGTTTGTGTGTGTGTGTTCTGCTAGGTAGTACTGTAATATATAAATAGGGCTGGTTGACTTGCATAGCATTACTATACTATAATCTCAGTGAAGAACTATTAAATTTGCAAAATATCTGAAATACTGTATGAAGATTATAATTCCATACAAGCAACAGTAACTTAGTTGAAAAGACATTATCTTCAATAACGTTTCACTTGTAAGAGCTTAATTAAATCCAGGAGGCTTATAGAACAGATGAATTATCTCTAACATGTTCTTCAGCCACCAAAAGCCCAGCTTGACTAATTTATTAGTTCTAGGACAACAGAATAGCAATCAAACAAGAGATTTATACAAGCTGTTATGAATAGAGTATCTGATTCTAAAAGAGGATATGACTGACTATCAAGGAAAGTCAGTCAGTAACTTTTGACAATGTTCCTCACACAAGACTTATGCAGGCTAGAGAAGCAGGCTGGCATACCAAGAGGAGGACTATATTGGGTCAAAGAATATATTTTAGGATGGAAGCAAATGGGCAGTTAGAGAGATACAGTACTAGAAAAACAAAAGTACCTCAAGAGTCGATAATAGGGCCCATCCTGTTCCTGACATACTATACATAAATGATCTAACAGAAAATAAGTTCATTCATATCTATGTTTACTGATAATGCAAAACTAATGAGTAGGATTTGAACAACTGCAATACATTGCATAATACATTAGTCGTAGCAAAGGTCTGTGAAATGGTTTCTGGGCTTTAAGTTAGATAAATGAAAAGTTATGAGGATGGGCATAGGAGTGAGAAAATAACAAATACAGTTCAAAATGAATGGAAGGCACCTTCCCATTTCAGCAAGAGATATATATTTGGAAGTTGACATAACTCTAACTAACACCAGAGGCACACATTAGCACCATATCACTAACTAACACCAGAGGCACACATTAGCACCATATCACTAACTAACACCAGAGGCACACATTAGCACCATATCACTAACTAACACCAGAGGCACACATTAGCACCATATCACTAACTAACACCAGAGGCACACATTAGCACCATATCACTAACTAACACCAGAGGCACACATTAGCACCATATCACTAACTAACACCAGAGGCACACATTAGCACCATATCACTAACTAACACCAGAGGCACACATTAGCACCATATCACTAACTAACACCAGAGGCACACATTAGCACCATATCACTAACACCAGAGGCACACATTAGCACCATATCAACCAAACTGTCTAAATAGTCTTCAAAAACCTGAACAAAGGACAATATCTTTCTGAATGTTATACACAACTTATGCAACACTTGCTCTTGGAAATGCTGCCCAGCATAGGATGCCCCACTTAAAAACTATTAAAGCTCCAGAGGTTTATTTCTGAGCTAATGTGACCAAAATCACAAATGAATTTTACTGTCATTTTATTAGGATGGAATCCAGAATACTGAATATAGTGACTTTTCTTTCTGATGGTTCAGAAATATTAATATTGTTAAATGTTTTTGCATAATATAAAATATGTTATTTGTGAGTGTGTGTAAAAGTTTGTGACAAGTTTTATTATAAATGAATGTGTGAACTGTGAGTGACCATGATTGTCTAAGAATGCATGCATGCAAGGTGGGCGACTGTGAATGACCATTGTTCACTTCGCTTCATTTAGTCCTATTATCAAGATGACCAACTCCATTCTTTCTCAGAACATGTAGGATATGTCATAGAGGTGTAACGGTGTTATCAGTCAATATTTTTCAGTACAGTATTAGCACATCTGTTGTGTAGCCAGCACATCATTGGAGACGTGTGCCAGTGTATTGCCGATTTATTCCTAAACCTTAAATATCCTATACTGTATATTTATTAGGGATTGCTGAAGATGAGAAATAAAGATGATCTTCAGTAATAATAATGAAACAACCAGTGATGGCTCATTCCCCAAACATAGCAAATACTTGCCAATATAGTGTGGATGTGCACCAAACTTCAGCACAATCACTACAATTAGCAGAACTAACAGCACCAAGGTTCCCATGGCATGGGTTTACAATATACCCTGTAGTAATGAGAATATATATAAATGAAACAGCTAGAAACTTTACAGTGAGGGTTTCCAAATTTTAATTTATGTATCGTATAGATAGCAGCAGTGTTTGCACGACCTTTACAAGACAGGAAGAACCCCTGAACTTTAGCATTCTTAAACTCATTAAAGAAAACATCAGAAGGCAATGTATAGAATTTGCAGCCATTGAACATTACTACCATTGAACCTAGAAAATGTAGAAAAATTCAGCATTGCTACTCTACTTGCTCAATGCTTAAAGTTATGAATCATATAAATAATCTGTCCTGCTTCCTCTACTATTTATAACTACAAAGCCCAGAGTATCCATTGGATTTGATAAAGTTCTTACTAACTCATAGCTGCATACATCAAGTTCTTACCTTTATTTATAAAGATTTGATTAAAAGGGTATCATTGTGTGAAAATTATATTGAAAAAAGTCACAACTGTCAGAATAGAGAAGAATTAGAAATGCACTTTATAGATGAAGCTGCTCAAGGCACTTTTGGGCTTCCAAATGAAGATAATAGAATGTGGTTATGTCTTAATGATTTGCATGATTGACTTCTTGCAATTTTGGAGCAAGATAAAGATGTATTACTTGCTATGGATTTTGTAACTATCTACATCATAAACTAACATTTTGGTCATTGTAAATCATTTTCAAATTCAGTGACCACACAGCATAAGGAAATTGCCCATATAAATTTGTACTTGCTATGAAAGGTGAGATACTGGAAATAGTTCAGTTATTTAGCACAGTAACTTTCATCCAAGCTGATGGAAACTTCTCATGTTATCTTGTTAAACAACATGTGGAATCTTGAACATTGGTTGATTTTCAAACTGCACATGACATTCCCAGGAAGAGAAAGAATTCAGTTATTTAATAATGCAGTCCTGAATGTTTTTTAAGTGCAGTACATACCTTCAAAGGCTGTTTTTACTCTACCTTTCTGGTTAGCTGCTGCTATAGGTTTTCTATTATACATATACTGTAACTAATTCATATTTATGGAATTCAAAGTGGAACAAGTCAAGTTTTGATATATTAAATTTTTTGTGTGTGATATTTTGACTTTAAATTATTTCTCTACTGAGTGATAAAATTTTTACCCCTTTCATAAGCATACATGTTCAAAAGTGGTTATTAATAGATCAATATACTTTAATCCAAAAGCTTTTATATATATATACAGCCTCTGACCAAAGATTGGCACCTTAGATTGCTCAGTAATATAAGTTATGTCTTAAATTTACTAAATAAACATTTGTTCCCATTTTTGTCCTTCACGTTTAAATTTAGGTGCTGTAACTTGTAGGTTATTCAATGTGGCAAATACAAACAAGTCTATAATATTATAGATGTAAAAATAGCTAAGGAGCTCTTGAGCATATTTGATTTGAAGTTGTGGTGACCTACCTTGAGGTGGTTCCCAGGATCAATGTCCTCATGGTTGGTGGTCTGGTCAACTAGTGTTAAACGTTGCTGCTCGCAGCCCGACATACGAATCTGCCTGGTTGATCAGATATCCTTTGGAGGATTTACTGTGAGAGATCAGCTAGTGTGTACAATATATATATATTTACTTATTCTAGTCAATGTGTGACCAAATCATGTATCAAGTACAGTGGAGCTCTGCTTTAATGGATCTATTCATTCTGGTCAAGATATTTAATTGCATACAGTACAATACAACCTCTGCATGTTTTCTGCAATAATTACAATCTTTTTCACACTGTTATGTTTGGCTGCATTAGTGCACACGTTTTGCACATTTCAATATCAAAATCACTTTGTTGATTTTGTTTACATTTTCAGCTTAATGATTGTGCAACTCTCCTCTACCAGAATTTTCAACTGAAACGGCCCAGTCCGCTACATGCAGAGATCATTTTGAGTAGTCATACTATTATTTACTTTATATTTATCTACGTTATTGCGATTAAATTTTTTTTATTGTTCATACTTTAAAGTAATTTTTCTTTACTTGAAGTTTTAGTATATTTAATCCTAAGAATTTATTATTATTATTGTTGTTAAACTTATTTTACAAATACTGTATTGTACTGTTACAATTTCCAGATTGCAATTGTAATTATGTATTCATAGGAAAGGCAGCTCGGAATGTAACATTTATGACTTGTTAATGATGTCTGATCATTATCATCAGTTTTATACTTTTAAATGATTTTAATACCATTTAGAAAATTAATACTCAAGACTTGAAGAAATGTTTTAAAATGATCTGCACATTTCAGGCGAATTAAATATATTTACACCATACTCTACAGAGTTGTTTGATCAGACTACACACTAGAAGGTGAAGGGACGACGACGTTTCGGTACATCCTGGACCATTCTCAAGTCGATTGTGAATAATCAACTTGAGAATGGTCCAGTACGGAACGTCGTCGTCCCTTCACCTTCTAGTGTGTGGTGTGGTCAAATTACTTTAGCCACGTTATTGTGACTCATCGCCTGTCTACAGAGTTGTTACGCTTAATAACGAGAACAATATAACACTGTACACGACTTACATGTAAAGAGTGATTTACATGTAAATGGTGTCAAATTTTATAAACTAAAATTCATTAAAAAAGTAACAACAACAAATTACTTTCATCAAATGTAATTTACTCACCTTATTAATAACCAGAATTTCCCAAATGTGAATTAAATAATATAGTGATATGCATTTTCCTTAATAGATCTGGGAAGAAAGACTTTAAAATGAAAATTAATTATTTGTGCAAGAAACGTTGTAAATGCTATTCAAACTACTCGATATGATCTAGTGTTTTGAGAGGCATATTTACATTAAACAACGACAGGTGAGTTTATACTAAAATTGTAATATGATTATTGTTACTAACTACCATTAACAGTAAGCACTATACAGCAATTGAATTGAGAATCTAATACAATAAGGCACTTTACAATAAATGTTATTGTTAAATCTTAAATTATTTATTCCTTGTTACATACTTTCAAGAGTTCATGATTACTGTGTTTGTATATTGATCATTAAGTAATTATTACAAGAAGGCACCAAACCTGTTAAGACTTAATACAGAATGTCTCAGAATACTGCAAAATTTCTACATTATTCAGGATGCCAATACAAGAGCAAAAAGATGCAAGATGAGCAAAGTCAAAGGTATTAGATGTATGCAGGAATAGGACATTCTATAAGGCAATGTGTGACTGTTAATAAGGGAATGCAGTTCTACCTTTGAATCCTGTAGCAATTTTAGTTCCTCTCTAGATTTATTCTTTCCCAGCCAGCAGTTTCCACTCCTGTGTCTTGCACAGCTCGTACCTGCTGCCGCCTCTTGGCCTGAACCAACTGGTCAAAGAAGTACACAATTTTTCCCTTTACTGATGCTGCTTTACTTCCTTTTTATACCTGCCCCTTTCCATGGAATGATACTGAAAATGGCTTAAAAGTGAATTACCTGCAGTATATTGTACATCATTTAAGTAATTATCAAAGGCAGCACTAAGTCAGGAAGGTTATGTAGCTGTACATCATTTAAGAATAACTAGAAAATGTAAGCAGAAAATTTACTTTGTGCTCCAGAGTCCTCCTACACTTTTGCATGTCAATGAAACAAGACTTGGTGATTGGACCCTCATCCAAAACCTAAAACATTGATATTGGGAGCATTGTTTGGCAGTTTTTGACAATATTTGTGACAGAAAATGGCACTTTGACGGATAAAGACAGAACATAGATCAATATAAAAATGGTACAACCAATAAGCGAATCCACCATAGAATTTTATACAACTTAATAAAACAAAACTTCCTTTCCAACATTAGTTTTTTTACATTTTTATTAAGAAAAAGAAAGTTACACATTTTCACATTAAACAATCATTAAAGCACTCGACAGTAAATGGTAAAAAATAAATAAAAAAATAAAAAATCTTAACTTTACTTCAATATTGTATGTTATTTTTGTTATTTTATATATATGCCTTTTACATAACTCGGTAAGTGCAAAACAACATACATTAGCTGTCAACAAAGACATAGATATAGGCAAGAGGTTTGAGACAGGCAATCTGGCCAGTTTGGTAGTATGGAAAGGGTTGACATTTGATTCTGCTGCACCTGGACACAGGTCACTTCTTGGCACTGAATTACTAGCAACTGCCAGATGACCAGTCACTTATTGCAGCAAATGGCTAAAAAACTTATTCTCACTATTTTTTCCTTAGCATTTAGGCTATCTTGAGATGATTTTGGGGCTTAGCGTTCCCAAGGCCCAGTCCTCGACCAGGCCTCCTTTTTGTCCCCCCCCAGGAAGCATTCCCGTAGCAGCTGTCTAACTCCCAGGTACCAATTTACTGCTAGGGTCATCAAGGTGAAAGAAACTGCCCATCTGTTTCCGCCTCCACCGGGGATCGAACACAGGACCTCAAGACTACGAATCCGAAGTGCTGTCCACTCAGCTGTCAGGGGAGGCCATGGCTAGAGACCATGTACAGAACTGTGTGTATATGGGATGTGCCTTCCTTGATTGTGTAACCCAGGGAGTTATTTCCCTAGGAGGAGGCAACAATAGGACTTACTTCCTTGAAGTGGGGGTAATGAATGAAGCATTTTATATTTTTACAGCCATTCATAACCACATAACTAGCTCCATCCATGTGCAACCTTCTAAGGGAATTAATATCCATAAGAGAACACACTATCTCAAAAGTGTTGTGCCATTCCTATGTTTAAATTTCTTTCTTACTGCTGTGATGCATTCTCAGTCTGTATAACTATAACTGCCATCAAAATAAATACTTATCATAAACCACTTAATATGGGATGACTATGTACTGAAAGATCAAGTTCAAATTCCACACAGGTATTACAAGCATTAACTGATACCTGTAAGCTTCATCCTGGGTAATACTCCTACTAAGGTATAAATAGGCAGCAAGATATAACCCAGAGCATATGAATCTTAATATAATTTTATGCATGAAACTGTGTTTAACAATATTAAGCTCATCGTTTAATTGTTTTTATAAGATTCTTTAACAGAAGTTGAAGACCTTAGTTTGAAATAATTATGCACAAAAATCTATCCTAACATTCGGGCACCCCAGCACAACCCTATGGACATCAAAACATTTGTTTCAATGTAAACACTTTTTTTAATAAATAAATTAAATAACAAAACATTTGGCTAATTAAAGAATGACTTCAGTAAACTTTGCACTGTAATGACAGCAGCACCTATATTATAATATGGAATGCTTACATGAAAGACATTAATTAACCTTTGCAAAGTACACAAAAATACCCAACCACTCACGCATATACTGTATATGTGCAACTTGCAGTGTGCATGTATATATGTAACAGGCAAATGATCACCACATACAAAATTCCTCTTTTGCCAGGAATCAATTCAACTGGCAAAGAGGAATTTGTGAAACCTACAACTTCAACAAGTGGCCGTAAATTCAAGCTAAAGAAACAGTGTTGTAGAAGGTTGGAACACATTAAGTGAGGTGGTGGTGGATACCAACACCATCAGCAGTTTCAAACTGCCGTATGACAAAAATTATAGAAAAAAAACGGGACACCACAAGTGTAGCTCTTTTCCAGTAACTACACTTGCTAATTACATATGCGCGCACACACACACACACACACACACGTAACAACATGTTAACATGTAAAGCTAATATACCTTGCTTTACCCGAATGTGGCATCACAAATATAGCATCGCTGTCCCACAAGTTGTATATAATACAATCCCATTGGGAGCAACACTAACCATGTTATTTATTATAATTAATGGAAACTTTTGACATATTAGTCCCTATTTTAACAACCTGTATTTTATAAAGTTCCTCCATCACAAATTTTTTAAAACAATATATCTGTGTCAAGTTTGAGAATGACATCCAGAACTCATGATAACAGATGCAGCTATATGTATGTATGTATATATACTGTACCTCCTTTGCAGGACTAAGAACTTGAGTCAAGGTTAGCCTTTTAACAATTACACAATGTACTATATTCTGTTACATTGCATATTTTCAAAATCAAATCTAAATATGAAAAATTTTACATACAGTACTGTACTATACATATAGCTCACACTCTTTTAAAGTTATTTAAATACCTTAAACATCTCTCAGTGGTGAAATTCTTATAATCTAAGTAAGACCTTCCTGCCAAAAAATAAACACAGCATTGTACCATAATTAAAAATGTACCGCTAATCAACTTCCAACTAACTACTCTTTAGCCACATATTTTTTTGTAAAATATGCAATACTGTATACCTAATCAATAAGATTCTAGTACATATTGTTAACAAAATCAAATTCACATTTTTATATAAAATATCCCAAACTTCAAATTTCCCTGCATTTGAAATGTCTTGTATTCATATCAGTTCCTACAAATGTAAGTAATGCACATAAAATCCTGAACATTAATTTCTTATCTTATTCTTCTTATGTCTCCTGTTCTTAAGGACTGAGAGCTTCTCGTACGCTTCTTGTATCTCTATGAACCTTTCCTGTGCTTCTGCTTGATTATCACCTCGATGCCTGTAAAATGTAAATGCATTTTTATTACAACAGGATGTTTCAACCATTTCCACCCAATTTTTAGATGCATGTGTGTGAGACTGATAAATAGAAGAATCCAGTTACAGTATTACATATATCTACATTCTCAGCTGACTTATTTTATCATGTAGACTTGCTATGTCATTATATACATTACTCATTCAAAGTTGTATTTTCTTAAAATCATTTTTATTTCTAGCAGAGGTTGAAATGTGATTAGCATATATATATAAAAAAATAAGAGCTAATGCTGGTAGCTGGATGCTTGATTATCTTATGACAAAATACCATCTGTCTGTGAATTATGTCCTCAATTGTAGTTGCGGAAATCAAGATTAAGCAGCAATATGCCAAGTGTGAAGATGGACACTTGAGATGCTCTTGAGCATCTCCTCCATGCACAATTCAGTTTACAGAGATAAGCATTTTTCAGGTCCCCTTGTTTACAGCCATTAAACTAAGAGACCAAGTAATTGTAATTTTGAATTAGACGTCAAGACAACTGCATTTGCTTTACACGATTGTCTCAATTTACAGGTCTCTGATGACATCCAAAAATTTAACACAGCCCCTTTGACGATATATTATGAACCAGATACTTTTCAGAGTATTCCAGAATTTTCCTTCCTGGAATTTTTCTACCTAGTACAGTACAGTATTTATTTATTTATACCCAATAAGGAACATTGGGTTTATGAGAGTACATAGAATTGATGTATTCCAGAATTTTCCTTCCTGGAATTTTGCAACCTAGTACAGTACAGTATTTATTTATTTATACCCAATAAGGAACATTGGGTTTATGAGAGTACATAGAATCGATGTTATTACATTCTTGTAAAGCCACTAGCAAAAACTACAGCCCATTTTCTAGGATTTAACATGGTTATATTCAAGATCAATCATTCGTTTATATAAATTTTGCCATAGCATCTTTTGAAGTTGAAAATTAATTAGATCATTAGCACAGAAAACAGTAGCCTTACTACTGCCTATGCAATAATGTTAAATTTAAATAGCCACTATACTTTTTGGCTTAGATTAAAGCTTTTAAAGTCAAAGCAATAAATTATCATCAAATAAAAAAAAATAAAAAAGGGCCTCAAGGAAGAAACAACCCAGAGTTGAATGTAATGAAATGCCATTTTCTGGGTGAGACTCAGAGGTTCCCCAGAGATATACCGGGCTGATGTGCATATATTAGACTATGGCGACAGTCAATCGATGGAGTTCTAGTGCTGGGGACCAGTGCCAGACCCTGGCCCCGTCAGATGAGGCACGAAGAGCAATGGCCTATAGACACCCCTCCCCCCAACGTAATAGGAAGCAGTCTATGTCTGCCATCTACTAGGTTAGGCACCCAGAAAGGTAGAAATTCGAAAACACACTACAGCTAGTTAAAAAATTGCAAACTTACAGGGCACATAGGGAAAAGGACCCTAGGCCCATGCAGCCCGAGTAATTGTGAAATTACTCCTGGCTCACGCACCACCTAGTAGACAGGACCACACCACAAGGCACAGAACTGGAAAACACAGGAGTCAGAGGCGCACGACCTTGCCAGTTCACATCAGCCACAGAACTGGGGGTTTGGATAGCTGGCATAGGGGTCTGGGGCTCCCCTTCCCGAGGAGGTGGGGTTGAGCAGGCATTTATGTGGTGACGTCATGCTCATTTGCTCGTTTTCGTTTGAGGAGTTCTGTTCACTAGTTTGGCTTTCAGTAGCAATATTTTAACCAGAATAGAGGTTTGTTTTGGGGTGCTTACCTTTCTGGATGCCTGACCCGGTTGATGGCAGACATAGAATGCTCCCAACCACACGGGGGGTTTCTATAGGTCATTGCTCCTCGTGCCTCTCTGAGGGAGCCAGGTTCTGGCTCGTGGTACCTGGTAGGCCTAGAACTCCATGTGCATTGACTGATGCCAGGGTCTAATACAATCATATCAGCCCGGTTAGTTCTGGGGAGCTGATGGGGCTCCCTCCAGAAAATGCTGAGAAACCAAGCAAGGACAGCCTGACTTTGAAAAATGGGAACTAATTCTGACAAATTATTAAACGAGACAATTGGTGGTCGATACCAAGCAGTACGCTAAAATGAAGACATTGAGGCTAGAAAATGTGAGAGAAGGTGCAAAGATATTACTATACTGAGGAAGGACAAGCAAGAATTCCGAATAGCCAAATATTCTGATCTAAGCAGCAGCCCGCAGACTGGTGTATTTAGAAGGCTCTGCATATATAGTACAACTGTTATATGATAAAAGAAACAATTTTAATATAAAAAGCATTAAAGTTTACAACCTTGCCACTATTGCACTATCTTGGTTTATATCTGAAATGTTCATGCAGTGTTGAAGTCCTGGTTCATTTTGCTTCACTCAACTTTAAGTTGAACATGGCAGTTTGCTTTGCTTCTTTCAGGCTTCATTTTCTTTTGAGAGTTAGTGTACCTGTTCTCTCTACTTAAAACATGTTTGACAGGTGTACAGTATATACACTGGAATGTAAAACAGGAAGCCCAAGAAAAGAGTTTGCTTCAAAATAACTTACGACAGACATCCGTGGAAACACATACCGAAACTGTCTCTATTTTCTGCTTGTTACAACTTGTAATAAAGTTGTTACATCTTGGCTTAACGTGTTTATGACGTATTAGAACGTTGTTACAGCTTGCTATATTGGTTGTTATAACTGGTTAGGAGGTGTTAAAACTTGTTTGAACGTTGTACCAACGTCGTAGTTTCGGTGTGTGTTTGGCGGGATAGTACTTTAAGTAACGGTGTTATTATCCAATATTAAAAAATAAATACTGTTTTGGAGGAAGAACTTACCGATCTGGATGCCATTCTTTAGCCAATTTTCTGTAGGTCGATGTGATTTCATCTTGAGTTGCTCCTTTAGACAAACCCAAGACCTGTAATAGGCATTATACTTTAAAAACTTAAATTATTATTAGATTTTTTTAACGTTCTGGGAAAATGTCAAACCATTAGGCCATAAGTGAGGAAAGACACGCACTGGAGAATTCCCACCTCCAGAAGGTATATTTACATGGACTCCAGTCTTCAACTAGCAATATAACTTAAAAATTAATAATACAACTGGATACTTAAGTGTATCCAAAAGTGATGCCAACAAGAGTCCTCAATAATGGTAAGATATACATACTATAGTACATAATATGAGTAGTATTGTGGAAAATCCACAGAGAAATAAGAAAGGAAGTGAACGTTTCGGCCTGTTAAAGCCTTTGTCAACACCAGACTGACTGTCAGTCTGGTCACAAAGGCTTTAACAGGCCGAAACGTTCACTTCCTTTCTTATTTCTCTGTGGATTTTCCGCATAAAATGATCAGGGTTTTGTGATCGTCAATTGCATGAGTAGTATTATGTATAAAATGTATTTTAAGTTAATATTTTTGGGTATATGGAATGAAGTAATTCACTTTACATTATTTCTTATGGGAAAATTCGATCAGTTTTCAAATTTTCGGTCGACGAACCATCTCTGGGAATGGATTAAATTCGTAAACGATGGTACCACTGTACATATATGTACAATAGCACATTAAGCCTATATATAGTATACATTATATGTATACATTAGTATACATTATATAGTATATATTAGGTCTAGGAATGCTTTTAATAGGCTTAGAAGAAGTTAGGTTAAGTTGCATTTTACTAGACCTAGAATAATGAACAAGTACAAAAAATTGGTTATTTTGTTGCTACAGTTCATACTATATATATACAGTACATATATATGCCCTCATGCTGTTTGGGGATTTTAACCACTGCACTGCGCCAAATGACAAATGCTGTTTTGAGAGTCGTCCGTTTTTTTTTTTAATTATGCTATATTTTAATGTTTTTTAAATATTTTCATCACTTTGTGTTTTGAAATTAAAATAGTTGAGTTTGGAAACATTTTGACATTAACTTTACCTGAACATTTATAAAAACAACAAAAATATGTCCGTAACAATTGCACTAAAATTTTTTTTGCCAAAAACAGGCGAGCAGTACAGGGGTTAAACAAGACGATCTATAACCTAGGCAGGCCTTACGGGCTCACCATAGCCCGTGCTACATGGACACTTCGTCCCGAGTAGCTAAATCTTTAACAACAACAACCTAGGCAGTTCATAAATAAACTTATTTCACTGAAGAGCCTCTCATTATTTATTCAGGGTCTTACCTTCAGAGCATGAATTTCCCCAAATGGATCAAGCAGCTCTACAAAATTGATCCAAGCCTCGCTCCATCCATTTGTCTGTGCATCTTTATAAATGACTCTGAGATTCTCCTTAAATTTCAAGAACATAGGCGAGTTGAGAAAGTTTTTAGCAGCATCTCTTAGCTTGATACGTTCTCCTTGTTTGTCTGTTACTGTTGCATTGAAATACAAAGCTGAAGCCCACAAACTGCTCATTATTAACCAGCTCAGCATCAAAATCATCATACGTCTGAAAAGTAAAAATTTATGTAAACATACAAGGTGTCTAAAATTCTATATAGTCCTGTATGTGTTAATGACATGCCAAAGTATTTTGTTAAAAAGACCAATGACAATTTCTACAATTCCTTGTGCAATCGTATACCGTGTTTATAATTTAATAATAATTAATCTTTGAGCACATATGAAACACATTTTTATGAGCACTACACCTCAGAACTTCTTAATGCAAGTTCCTCCAGTCTTCTGGATAGGATCTCTCAAGGGAGGTGAATATGTCTCACCAGTGCATTAGGAAACCTTTCAAACTGCCCTTGCTGGGATATATTTTTGCTAGGCAGGCACTGGAAAATATTTAATCATGCCCAGAATGTACACTAACAAGTGCCTTAATAAATCTGATAGTTTTCTAGATGCCGCTTGCTACCAAAGTAACCCCCCAATGCTATCTAATTATCGAACAACCAACTAGCTCTAAAACTTTGATCACCACCAGCAACAGTATCAACACCATAAAGCCCTCTAGTCCAACCTCCTAACACTACACTTAAACCATCATGAAGCACTGGGAAGGGCTGAAATGTGAACAACCTAGCATCTTGCCAAGGAAAGTCATTCAAAACTTTAATGCTGAGCTACATTAACACATTCAGTTGTGCCCTAAGGCATGTCTCAGTAAAAGCTGCTATAACTACTGCACAACAAGAGCAAGCTTCATCTGGTCTTTAAAGTAGCCATGTACAAACAAAAGGTGCGTGGGAAGAAGATGCAAGACAAACTGTATTCACAACCCTCGGTTGCATTGCCACTGTTAGGTTCATGTCACGTTCCAAGAACAGCCCACCTCCCATGCTTGCGTCTCTCCAATCTTATCCTTCCCAAGAAACTCTTAGTCCATTAAAATCAGCTCTTCAGAAATCTAGCACCTTAACAGAATTTTCTCTTAAGACATTTATTTCATTCTTTATTACATGTGATTTTCTTGTGATCATTGTTCCTTAACTCGCTCCCTATTTTGATGGCATTTACTTACATCTCCACGTTAGTAAACACCAAATTTAAAATATTTTCCCATGTTGGCGCCTTAATATGATGTTTAAAGAAGCAATCATCAACTAATTCTAAAAATCCTCTGCTTTGGAATTCCCTGTTTTGCAAGTCTTGTATATTTGACTAAAATTAAAGTCACCCATAACACAAACATTGTCTGACCTCGATGCCCAATATATTTCATCTAAAACTGTACATGCTTTACTTCCATTCTGTCAAAATTTGCTGGCCCTATGTACAGCAACTCGTTATGAGATTATTATTATTTTAACTTATTTCTAAACAAATAGTTTCTGTATGTAGCTAGGTTTTGATCCCCTTCTTTGACATTATATTTTAAATTTTCCACAACATATATGGCTACTCCCCATCCTCAACTAATCTGTCTATCCATGTGAAATAATTTGAGTCCTTTAATTTGATAATCAACTAATAGTTCCCCTTTTTCTACATTTATCCACATTTTAGTTAATGCAATAATATTTAGAATTTCTGTGCAGACAAGAGCATTTATATATGTTTTGTTTCTAAGATTCTTACTATTTATTATCAAAGTGCAATTACCCGAGTGTAGTTAAGGATGAGAGCTATGCTCATGGTGTCCCATCTTCCCAGTACTGTAATTTGTCATGTGACACTTTTGAAACTACCGATGGATTTGGCATCCACTACTTATGTAGTACACCTTAAGGGTACAGTATTGTTATGTTGATGCCCATTTCCATCTCTCTTCCTTTTACACAAAGTTTTTTTCCTTGCCAACACCTGCTTTTATTTCCTCCATTCCCATACCTCTTATCATCTAATGGTTTAAACCCAAACAAACTTCAACAACAAATTCCAATGAATTGGTACAGGAAACAATCCCAGTTCTAGATAAATAATCCCCATCCCAAGTATATATATTCTTTCCATAGAAGTGTTCCCAGTTATCAGTGAATGATATTGCATTTGATTTGTAATATTTGTCTAGCCGGCAATTGACTTCAAGTGCTGTAGACAGTCATTCACTTTTAACTCCCCTTCTTAGAAGAATGGAAAATATAATATGAATCCTTCTCATGCTCCTAATTAATTCAATGGCTATCTTGAATGTTTGTATTAGTGCTTCACTCCTAACTCTTCCTACTTCACTTTCTTCTACACTAATGCAAATACTGTAACAGGTTTGTTCCCATTTTGAGCCATATTACTGTACTAATATTGTTAACAATGTCCCCAAGTTCCTGCTCCTAGTTAGCAAAACTTTAACATGTTTTCCCTATTCCTAACACAAACAGTCCTGTCAAAATACTTCACTTGGGAATCACCTACGACCAAAATTTATTTCATTCTTTTACCAGAGATCCTTTCATCATCTTGCCTTTTGTGTGAAATGCAGCGTCCCTACAGCACTTGTCCTCCAAGGAAGTGAAAGAACTCTAGGCCTTCATGAAAACTGTAAAAGGCCTCATCAAAGTTTTCTTAAGTCCCCTTGTCCTTCATGACACTCCAAGATTAGGATTGGGCCACTTCCTTCCTCATGTGCACAAACACATTACTTCACCAGCTTAAGTTCCTCACACAGAGAATACACCTTAATCCTCAAGTACTACACATTTCCACTTAATCCCTCATAGCACTTTCCATTATTGGTAGCTTAGAAAACATTATACACAACTGTCCGGCACAAGTCAAACCACAAGTATTGCACCCAAGACATGAATCTGTCTGCATGAACACCTATCTGACTGAAAGAAGGCTTTGTCATCTGAGAGCCTTTTGTTCCTCATTTTCAAGAAATATAGGTGATGATAAAGGAGTGGAAATTTGAAGAGAATTACTGTAGTCCAGAAAAATATTTCCACAACCCTATTCTGCAGGACCAATGCCCAGGCAAGCACATAGGCAGTTTGGCAGTCAATTTGAATACCAAGTGAGGTTTTAGTAGGGCTTAGGGTATGTTGAGTATGAATGAGCCCATTCTAGGCTGGAATAAACATTCTCTAATGCCTCCCTAGCACCTATAATGACCCAGCAAGGACTTCAATCTTGCCTGAATTTACATAATCCTGGTCTAATGACTACATATAGATATCATAAAGATATAACTCAAACAGAATTTGTACACAGTTTAATTTATTTTTACAAAGAAGACTTACTTGCAAAAATGGGTATTAGGTTGTGGTGTCCTTCTCCATTGTTTCCCAAACTTAGTGAAGAGTGCAGCAGAACATAGTGGACTCCAATTAGCTATAGGTGGATTGAAAAGCGATATAGGCATCAGAATAAAAGCGCCAATCATGGCCCACTTCATCTGTCCTTGTTCACGACCAATGTTGCCTATGGTCCACACAGCTGTTAAGGAAATTAAAAATCCAAGTGTAAACATTATGTTAGCAAGATAATTACTGTACGCAGTACATGTATTATAACAACACTGTACTACCCCATTTGCAATACTACATGGGGTGGAAGACTAATCCAGAAATCATTTGTAATGTTATTTTTGTTGACAACAAACACACAGTATTACTAAATATATACGTATACTGTATGATATAACTTGATTACAGAGGTTGGTGATGAATAGTACATCGACAATGTGACCGGTTGAGTCGTAGTGTGCTACTGTTGAATGCTGGTAGCTGTAGAGATGGCAGCATCTGATTAGGCAGTTTATCATATAACCGAAGTAGTGTTGTTCTTAACCACCTATCGAGCGAGACTGGTTGCTGCTGTGATTTGGCAATCTCATATTCCTGTTCACCTGACCCCGTTTATACTTCCAGACTGCTCATAATTTTATTGATGGGAAACTGTTTGGCTTCACCTGGATGCTATTAGTAGTTTGTGGAATGCCTAGGAAGATGTTGCAGTGGTAAGTGGGGGATGTTGCAGGTTATCATTTGCAGTCTTTTTATTTCCTGGAACCATGTACTGATGTAATTAGTGCATATGGAACTATTGGGAACCTTTAAGTGTTTGCTATACAATTTCTTTGGAATGTGGAGTAGCTGTCACATTACTGCTAATGTGGTTGCTACATACAGTATTCAAATTTTCTCAAGCACTTCTATACTATAGTAGAACATGCAATAGCAGTGAATACCCATGCAAGTGAAGCATTCAATAAAGCATAGGCCTACTGCATAGGCAACACGTCTCAAGATGTATCAACTGGCACTCACCGGGAAGGCAGTATGGGAAAAAGTGACACACATTAGCTGGCTCACTATTCACACCAGTGCTGCACCTGGTGATGGATGGCACCAGTGGCCAAGTAACTAATTAGCTTACTGGATGATAAAAGAAACACCAATATTTGGTGGCCCATTTGATTTCAAGTACAACTTGGATTTTTTTTTTTTTTAAGAATGTACTGTACATACCTTTTGCTTATTTTTAGGACTTTGTCAATTCTCCAGCATCTCTCTTTCTCCAGTTCTGAGCTGGAGGAAATTTAGAAAATCCCTATGCTGCATAAGGAGATAGAAAGTTGCACTGACCTCAAGGTGAAGTTCATAATGTCCCGTGAATACAAATGCGAATTGAATAAGACCAAGTGGCCTATGCTAAAATGTATATAATCAAAGTTCTGGCAAGTGTCTGAAAATTATGCTGCTTCAAACATCTTCCTTAAAATACAAGAGAAATCATAAAATAGAGAAATATAAATTTCCTTACCGAAAGCTGTACCCAAGGGTGCAAGATGTATTAAAGGAGTCCAGTCCATACCAAAAACCTCTTCCGATGGTATGGCAGCAGCAACGAAGGTACTCCATAAACTCCCAACAAGGACTTGAGCCACGAAACGTACCAGACTAAAGGGAGGCTGTCAGAATAAATTTATTTAGTTAAATTTAAATATATTAAATATATCAAGAATAATTATATACTCACTGAATATGTAGTCAATCTACATACAGTATCAATTTTACAAGAATAATAGTTATTGTAGTTGTATGTCTTTGCACCCTTTCCAGTTAACTGATATGCTTCTTTCGATATGGGCATCATAGAACCATTGCATATTCCAATTTTAGTCTCACAAAGTTTATGACAATATCTTTAATATTTTGCCATCCATGTATTTAAAAATGATTCTAAAGTTGGAAAGTGAAGCAAAGGCTCCTTGCACAATGTTCTTTATGTGGTTCTGATGATGTTAATGCCATCTGTTAACTGCACCTGACCCCATTTTCTGTTTCCTGGTGGAAAGCTCTGGTCTCACTGAAGCAGGTATAGTTTCCTTTGTACTCTATGATTTTCTTTCTTCTGAGGTGATGTGAGAGGTACTTTGGATGGCAGAAAGTAGTCCACCAGGAGTGGCAAGCAAGGGCAGTCCTGAATACAAGACGTGTTTCAGTTGGTAACAAGAAGGGCCTGGTCGTTGAAGACAGTGAATTGTCTGTGGTAGCCAGCGAGCTATTGGTGTTAGAGTGACATATCCCCGGGTAGACAAGTTGTGTTCGTAGACGGACTGAACGTCCATCTGTCCTCTAGGTTAAGGCTAGTTTGCAGTTAAGCCTCGAGAGGAAGCCACCCAGCGTGTTGCTGGAGTTAGTGTTTAGACACTGATGGTAGTGTGGAGGACTGGCCCATGAATTGTTGGAAAAGTGGATTTGCTGGCGTGAGTATCTCGGAAGAAGGGCACACAGGGAAGGAGCCCCGAGTACTGTGCTAGGACATACCGTTGATAGAAGATCGCAGTGATTTTTGTGGTGTCCTGTGTGTCTGTGACATGTATGGTGTTATCTGTGGTGTATATTTTCTGTAAATAATTACCACGACCGTACATAACATTTGAGTACATGTGGGGATGGTTTTGTCTAGTGTTGTTTAGCCCCATTCCCCATTTGATTGTCTATTACTGCTCAGTTCCTGATAACTTTACCCTGACTTGGGGTTGAATCTGTGAAGAAAGAGGCACTAAGGCCCTATAGAAAGAGATCTAAAGAACCTGAGTTACTGGCTAAGCGAGTCTGTAACAGTAGTCCTCAGGTGACAGTTTCCTATACAGAACCACCCCTAGATCTCTTTCTTTATCAGAGTTCTTTAAAGCCTTTTCACATAATTTGTAGGTTATTTGGGACCTATTCTCTCTTATTACACATTCTATAATATGTACAGGTTCCTAAGTCTATTGGGGTCTATCATATCTACATATGAAACTGTGCTTGGAGTCTGCTTCCTCCACATCACTTTCTAATGCATTTAATTTGTTAATTGCTCTGACACTGAAAAAATAATTTATAATATTTCTGTGGCTCATTTAGGTACAGTACTTAGTTTCCACCCGTTCCCCCGTGTGCAAGTACCACCCGTGCTAAATCGTGTGGAAGCTTGTGCAAGCTAATAAGGATCTATACCTGAATGCTAAGCAACAAACTCTATAAATCTTCATTTATTAAGAGAAATAGTTGGTTCCATTCAGGATGGTTAAAACAGAATTGTTTGGTTCATTTTCAATGTATGTTGACATGAAAATCCAAAAATTTTGGTTATAATTTACAAATCCTCCACAACCACCCACAATAATAATAATATAATAATAATGTTATTTCAGGCAAAAGTACATACATACAAAATGAGTTACAAACAGAATGTTGGATTTCTAGATAGAGCTAGTACATACTATGCCTAAAGCCACTAATACGTACACTGTTTCAGGCAAGATGTGGGAAAAACACTTAAAAACTAAGACAAAAATAATTGAGATCAAGTGCATGAATTAAACTGAAAAAGGGAAAAAAGAGGAAAAAAAGCACGACAATAATTATATGTTGGATGGAACAGCAGAAATTGCAACAGAACAGCAGAGGTAATTTTAACTAAATAGACTACAATTTTTTATATATATATATGTTTTGTACAAGTTTCTACATGGCTGATATCAGCAGTTATATAAGTTTGTCAATAATCAGTATTGTTTGAAAATAGCAAGACACAGGTTGACATTTAGGAGGTAAGGTAGGTTACATGGAGTTGATAAGGTAGTATAGTACTTAGTTTCTCTCTTAAATTGGTTGAGAGAGGGGACAGTCTTTGACGTGATTGGTAAGGTCATTCCACATTTTACAAGCTGAAAATTATATTACAAAGTGAAAATACAGGTAACGATCAGACTTACCTTAGCACGCTTTCTCATCTTTTCTGAGAGATTTGCTAAAAATTGGTCATCTGAATTAACATCCCTTACGTATGATGGAATACGAAAGAAATCTCGAAGGAGTCCACAGCCAATGTAGCCACCGAGGGTAGTAATCAAAACAAAAGCCTGAAAACAAGCATATAGGTACTGGTGCATATTCAAATTTGGATCTTACTTAAGTTGTAAGTACTGTATTTTCTTTACCATTTTCTCCCTCCACAAAATTAAGGAAGATTCTGAAACTGGTAAGCAGAGAATAAACTCCTATAAACTATCCTTGATGTGGTTCTTTGGTGACAAAGCACTGTCCAGAACCATGCCTAGATCTATCAATCTCTCATTCACTCTGAACAGTACATGCACATGTGGACAGCGCTCAGGGGGGTCAAAGTTCTAAGGGCCTGGGTTCGATTCCCAACTGAGGCAGAAACAAATGGGCAGTTTCTTTCATGTGATGTCCCTGTTCACCTCACAGTAAATTGGTACCCGGGAGTTGGACAGCGGCTACAGACTGCATCCTGGAACTGTGTGTGTGTGTGTCGGAGAAGGGGTGTTAGAGAAAAATACATGTAGTAGATATGAATGAGGAAAATAGGTCGGGAGTCAGTACTACTGTATATTAGACACCCGATGGTTAAAAAAGCAGGGATCCAAGAGCTAACAGCTCAATCCTTCAGGCACAAATCGTAAATACAAATATTGTACTGTAGTCAATACAGGCTCATGCTAACCCTTCCCCATTCATTCTCTCTCATTTTTATATAATGCTCGAATGTAGAGCTTGCTGTGGATTAGGCTTTGGTGAAACTTTTAAACTGCAAAAATCCCAATTTATGTTATGTATTTTAATTATTCCTTCTTTTCTCCAATTTTCAATCAGGGTGCCAGAGAATAATTTATCTGATGATAAACATATGTGATGTGTGCAATTGCAGTAGGCTCAGTGAAACAATGATTTGCAATATCCAAGGAAAAAATGTACAGTATTGACAAGGTGAGACAATAGACATTTGTACTGCATTGCATCCTAAGATACACAAACTTACCTGACGATCTCTTCTCAAGTACAGCAGGTGAAGACCAAACCATCCACCAATAAACCACAGAAGATATGCCACCCATAAACTTTTTGAATTCTTTTTGGGAGGTCTGAAATTCATAAAAATAATTTGTATTGAAGGTGATCAAAGAGAGGAATCTCCATGCTGGCATACTTTGGCATATAACATAGCAATATAATGAATGAATGAAAAATGAAATTTTAAAATACTGTATCAGATACGACTTGATAATGGTCCAGGACAGACAGAAACGTTTCTCCATCTTCTGATGAGATGTTTGGTCATCTTAGAGCTATTCTACTGGCAGCAGCCCCTAAAAGCCTAAATTCTACCTTGTGCACAAACTACCAGTCACAGGAATAAGGGGTGCACAATAAACTAGCAGCCACTGGCACTTACAATCACATCAATTTTATACCTAATTCAAAACAATAAGGAAGGAGGTAAAAATTATATTGAGGCCTTACAAAGGGATATACAGTACATAAATCCACAAATGGTCAGAAGACTGCCAAATTCTTTTTAATGTTGGTTAATATATACAAGGCCTTACATGTGGGATCTAATAGTGAATATCACAACTACCAAATCAATATTACCTTGCAGCAGATTGATGATGAAAAGGACCTAGGATTGATGATAAACTGATCTCTGAAATTTGCATAAGTGGATGCTGCAGTTATATATATAAAAAAAAACTCTAGGAATAGTCAAACAAATATGTGTTTCTGAATAAAAATTTGAAATCTTTGACTTTAAGGAAAAGAAAGTAGTTATTCAACTGTATAAATCTCTGGTGCACTCCACTTTGATTATTATATTCAAGCATGGAGACATCTTCAGAAAGACATTCTGTATCTGCTTTGGAGAAAGTTCAACAATGGATAACAAAGGTAGTTCCTGAACTAAGTCTACTCTCATACCGGGAATGGTTGAGGGCCACAGGGCTAACAACGTGCAAACCAGACATGATAGGGCTAACTTCTTCAACAATTTTAAAATACAGTGTATTGAACAACTTTGAGAGTACGCTACTGTATTGATCTAGACCACTTCTATAAGGTCAGATATAGCACAAACAAGGAACAAATTAAATTTTGTATTCTAAAGAATGTGTGTAAAAAAAGAACATAAGAATAAAGTACAATTGTGGGGAGAGGAGTTACACATACTAATGAAGCCACTATTACACAAAGAATTTTGGGGACAACTGAAAATAATTTATAATTTTTTTATATATTAGTGTGAAGGGATAAACACTTAATTAATACTAAAGGAGGAGAAGTAAGCTAACAAAAATGAGAAAGTTCAAGAAAAATAAGAAATTTGGGGGCCTGATGGCTGAGTGGACAGCGCTTGGGGTTCGTAGTCCTAAGGGTCCGGGTTCGATCCCCGGTGGATGCGGAAACAAATGGGCATAGTCTCTTTCACCTTGATGCTACTGTTCACCTAACAGTAAATAGATACCTGGGAGTTAGACAGCTGCTATGGGGTGCTTCCTGGAGATGTGTATGTGTGAAAATTAGGATTAAGGAATTGCCCGAAACGCTACGCGTGCTAGTGGCTGTACAAGAATGTAAGAACTCTTGAATATAAATAAATAAAAATAAATAAAAATTAATACAATAAAAAGGTGATACTTAATGATGAGAGGCATAGACTATTACATTATGGAATCAGTAGTTCTAGCAGCAGTACAGTAGTTTATTTACGTTATTAACAGAATGGAAATACTGTAATAAGGTGTAATGGTTTTAAACAATGATTTCAAGCTTAACAAGTCACAAAGTAGAACAGAAAACAGATGCTTTCTCATGCATAGGGTTATAAAACCCATGGAACTGCCTACCCGTTGAAGCCGTCCGTGCTAAAACACTGCTACAATTCAAAATCCTGCTCAATAAAATCATCAGGGCAAATTAAGGAACCTTCAATAAGCTACCAGCTCCCTGTCCTCGTCGAAACCACTAGAGAAAATAGCCCTTGGAAATATACTCATTTGTGATACATTCTAAACCACCTAATACTATTCATTAGAACAGGAAAGTAACTTTCAGCGAGTTTAAGTCCTCCAAAATTTACCTCGGTCTAGGTCTTTTACTATAATCTAGGTCTCCTCCTGCTACATAGCCAACTGGGTTGACATCTTTCTTGGCACGTTCCTCCTCCTCTAAATACTCGCTCCAACCATTCACGTAGCGCATGTTTGGCGAGTGGGGCATTGAATATGAAGGCGAGGGAAGACGAGCACAGGTTGTGGTTTGTTGACGTTGCCGAGACTGTTAGTGGTCGCCTTCCTCCCTCCTGCGGCCTCACATTATCACTCCTATACCCGCTCGCCCCTACAATTTATTATTTTATTTATCATTCCTTTATTTATTTATCATTCCCTCTGAAGATGTATTATTAAATACGAAAGTACTCAAGGAAATTCCTGTTTCAATTCTTCCCCCCATGGTTTGACTGTCATATTTTTCATCACGTGTTAATTTTCGTGATTTACACACACAATTTATTTATTTATTTATTTATTTATTTATTTATTTATTTTTTTTTTATTTATTTATTTATATACAGAAAGGTACATTGAGTTGACGAGAGTACACAGCATTTATGTTTTTACATTCTTGTAAAGCCACTAACACGCATAGCGTTTCGGGCAAGTCCTTAATCTAACAGATAATTTAAGTAGGTAATACTTAAAATAATAATAATAATTATTAGTATTATCATATATATAACAATAATAATAATAATAATAATAATAATAATAATAATAATAATAATAATAATAATAATAATAATTAATAACAAATATTAAAAATATTGTAACGTATTTTTGCATGTACGTATCTTGGTAGATTAGACAATTTTTTTTGTATTAATATATTATGTACATCTGCATGTGTACAGCTACCCTAGACTTTATGAAGGGGAGTACAGTGTGTCAAAAAGAAAGCTACGTTATGCTAAAAAATACCCATCACTCAGGATGGTTAGTCATACAGAGGCATGTGCTCTGTAATGCTTTTTGCGCTACCGCTCACAGGATGAGTATGGGGTGTACAATAAACTAGCCGCCTCCGGCGGCAACAATAAAAAAAAACAGAGGCATGTTATAAGTAGTCTGCACTGGCAGACTCTGGGTGCACTATGAGGATATCATCAACACAAGAGTGAATAAAGTAGCAGTGGTAATACAAGTCCCCATCTCGCAGGATGGTTAGTCATACAGGGCCATGTGTTCAGTAGCCTGCACTGGCAATTTTGGGTACACTGTGAGGATATCCTCAACAACACGAGAGTGAATAAAGTAATTGCAAAGCTCCAGGTACCTCATGCCAACTGGTCTGAAAGGTCTAATAACTGGGCATTCGGTGATGTAGTGTGGGAGATCATGCCGCAGTTCCTGCTCTCAAAGTTTGCAATTGGAGTGCTCAGGATTGGGAGATCCGTCACCTGCAGCCACCTGCCACAGGTAACGGTAACCCAACCTGATCCTGGCAACCACTGTATCGCACAGTCTGGTGGACGTTTTGTGCTGCCCATAGATATAGGTTTCAGATCTGAACAAATCATAACTTTTTATACTGGTGCTTTCAGGTCGTTGGGAGTCAGTAATTTCTTTCCTGTCAGACCTGAGTGTTTGGACCAATATAGTTTTAACAGTAGAGATGGGGATACCTAGATCTAATTCAACTTCATCTTTGTTACACGCTAATTTGGCTGCAATGTCTGTCTCATTATGATGGGTTATATTTATGTGTGAAGGTATCCATACAAAGGAGATTCGAAACCCTTTAAGGTCATTAATAATTGGTAGTATGAGGTTCTTGCTGTCGATCTTCCAAGAGAAGTTTTCGATTGCTTGAAGAGCAGACTTTGAATCACAAAATATTATTCCTCCTCTAATGTTTTTTAATGTACTGGTAGCTAGTTGTAATGCTGCTAGTTCTGCTTGTGTGGAGGTCAGCCAGTTGTTTAACCTGACACTGACAGTCTTTGTTAGTTAGTTAGTTTAGTTCATTTATTATGCACCCCATACCCATCTTGTGGGCGGTAGTGGAAAGGGTTACAGAGGCACATAATGGGCTCAGGGACTGAACCCCACAATTCATTTAGCTAAGCAAGTTACAATCTTGATGAGCTAGTTACAAACTTTGTGCAAGAATTATTTCCATAAAACCTACATGCTGCTGCTGCAGTCCGTCCAGTAGAAGATTGGACTGAGCCGTCAGTGTAGACATAGTGCTCGTGAGATGTTAAATTTGTAATAGAGGAGGCAATTGTGTCGATTGTGACAGCTTGTAAGACTTCAATAATATTATAATTTCCCTCTTTACCATAAATCATTGTCATGGCAAATTTGATGATATGATTTGTAATATTCTCATCTATGTCATTGATGTACGTATATGACAAAAAGAGTTAGATGCAAATTTAAAGAGTTGTGAGAAAATTAGTTAATTTGTTTAGTTCTGTTTAGTTCATTTATTATGCCCCTCATACCCATCCTGTGAGAGGTAATGGAAAGGATTACAGAGGCACAAAAGCTAGTTATAACATTTAATGTATATTGTTACATCATCAATGGGTTCGAGACCAACCACAAATACAGTCTCTAAGCAGAACAAAAAGCACTATTAAAATATAGTTTAGAAAATAATAATGAAGGGGTATAATACATAACTTACTGTAAGAAGTACCAAGTGTAAATTGTTTTTAAGCTTGAGTAAGAATTAAGTAGGTGAATGTTGATGTATTGCCTTGTACTTTTGAAGTACAGGATAAACAGTCTAAAATTTGTAGGGGAATAATGACAATGGCTTAAATGGGTTTACAAAGAACATTACGTGGTTAATAAAGTATATCAACGTTTATACTTTGTAGGAAAGGCTTTGTATAAGTCTATATCTGGGACTATCTAAGAGAGAAATAAGATCTGGGAGAGAGCCTAAGGGGTGCGAAGGGGAACCTCTATAAGTCCTCATCAATGACCAGAAACCATGTGGAAAAAATATAAGTTTGTACTAAAATATGTCATTCCACATAACCCAGAAGACAAAAGTTACAAGTGCTGTTGGAATGGATCGAGAAGCAGATGGATAATGCAATTCTAAGTACTAACTACCTCTTCGCAAACAACAATCCAATGCAATAAATACATTTTTGTTCGCAAAATTATATAATTATATTGATATATACAATACTCTAACAGAACAAGATACGTATTATATGTCACTGAGTGGCCTAAGTCGTAAAAATAAATACCGAGCAGCAAAAAATCTATACATTTCCCCGTAGAGTGTTTGTTCATCATGACAAAAAACTGCATTTTTTTTTATTAACACGCTTAGGTATACACAGCAATATGCTGCTATCCTATTTTATATGAAAGATTACACAGTGTAGATCAAAAACTAGCTGTAAGTCCATCAAATATTCCCATCTCACAGGATGGTTAGTCATATACATGGAATCAGGGGAGAAAACACCAGCCTCAATACAAAAAACAAATCAACTCAATTAGGTGAGAACATGAAATGTAAGGCTGATCTATTAGCCCCCACTAGCCAAATCTGGGTACAAACACGAGAATATCTTCCAATATTCCTGAGTATATGAAGTGATTACAGAGCTCAAAGTACCTCATACCATTTGGTCTGAAATCACTTCTAACAGGGCAATGCGGTAACTTCGATGAACAGCAGTGAGTGACGTCATACACCACCATCGATAAGATCAGCACTACGGTAGGTGTTGTTCTTCTGGGTAAACTCCAGGCCTCCACCACAGCTATAAGAGAAGTTATGTTCTAGTTAGTGTTGCGCCATATATAATGGAATATTATGCTATACTGAATACACACCAACCGAAGCAGTCTAATGTACCGGGAAGACTTTAGTTGGGCAAAGGATTATATTTTTCAGGAAACGGGCAGTCAGTGATAGGAGAGATGCCAGAGTGGAGAGGTAATGAGCGAAGTATCATAAGGGTCGGTGCTATGCGACCCATCCTGTTCCTAATAAAGAAAACAAGTTCATTTATACAAAAAAATCCTGATGCAAAATTAACAAGAAAAATCGAAACAGAGGAGGGATGTGATACATTGCACAATGAATTAGACAAGTCTCCATGCAGAGATGGTCTGAAAATATCTTCTGGAATTTCACCCAGACAAATGCAAAGTTATGAATATATAAATGGGAGTAAAAACATCTCAAATACAGTACAGAATGAAGACATTCCTTCCTACTTCAGAAAAGAAGAAAGATTTAAGAGCACACATAACTTTGAATCTAATAGCAGATGCACACTTCAGCAGAATACCGTCGGTAGCATTTACCAAACTGGCCAACATCTGGCTAGTTTTCAGGATAAAGGACTCTTCTGAAGTTACATAAAACTTATGTGGGATCAACTTGCGAGTATGCTGACCCGGTCTTGAACCCCCACTAATTAATGCTCAAAGAATTGAAGTGATTAAGGCAGATTTCATGCACACACCTTCAAATACATATATATGACAAGTGTCCAACAGTCATATAAAACAATGTAACTCACTAGGTTTCCCACAGAAGTTAAACTTTAGCGGGTACAAAATAAAACTGGAATATGTCCAAATATACGCAACAAGGTCTCTTTCCTGAGCTAAGGAGACTGAACTATGAAGAAGAACTGAGGAAACTCGACTCCGCCAGACAGGAGGAAAGAAGTACCAAGGGGCATATACGATAACGGCATACAAGATTACAGGGAGACTTGCCCAGGTAGACAGAGAAGCAATGTTCAGAACAAGGCACGGTATATCATGGGAGACATAGATGGAAACTAAAGTCACAAATGAGTCACAGATATGTCAGCAAAACTTTATCAGTGTTGAACTAGTAAACAAATGCAATTGATTTAATCAAGTTGGTCGCGTTACTTCAATAAGCACTTTCAAATCTGTCTATAAATGAGAATGTCTGTGCTAGGTTTGATGCCAGATGCTTGGGGCTAGCCTCACCCAATTATTCTGGTGACACATAGGCGGTAAGTAGGTAAGTGCCCCGAGAACTCGCCTACACCTGAAGAAGCCCCGAGTACTTAACTACACCCGAAGAAGCCCTGAATACTCAACTACACCCGAAGAGGCCCCCATACACTCACCTACACCTGAAGTAGCAGCAGCAGCTGAGGACGAGAGTGATTAGGACTCCTCCGAGGATCCCAACACAACCTCCCAATACACCTGCTAACAGCAATTGGCCAGCGGTACTTTCATGCACCTGTAACAAGAGACCATACATGCCATACAATAGGTAACAAGCGACCATACACACCATATAACAGGAAACAAGAGACCATACACGCCATACAACAGGAAACAAGAAACTATACATGCCATACAATAGGTAACAACAGACCATACACACCATACATCAGGAAAAAAGAGACCATACACGCCATACAACAAGAAACAAGAGACCATACTACCATACTTGCTCCATCTCCTACATTCAGTAACAAAGGAACATATTTCCCATACCGCCTAGCACATGTCAATTATTTTCAAAACTTTCAAGTGTTCAGTTATGTTCCCATATCTCCCTTAATTTTAAGTATCCGCTAATGGTGGTAAGGTGGCAATGATCAGGAACACCTGTTAATTTTCATCTACTTTTTTTTTCCATATTCCGTCCTCCATAAAAGCTATTTAACATTTGCAATTTTTATTTATTTTTTTATGTCAGCCTACTACTTGTTAGTATTACGTGTCTACTTCATCAAACCTTTAAACAGCCTAATTATTTTATCTTATTAAGTTAGTTCTTAACATATGTCAGTTGCTTAGCTTAGAGACTGTACTTGTGGTCGGTTTCAAGCCTAGTGTTGATGTGACGATGTGCATTGAATTTTGTAACTAGCTCATCAAGACTGTAACTTGCTTAGCTAAATAAATTGTGGGGTTCAGTCCTTGAGCCCATTACGTGCCTCTGTAATCCTTTCCATTACCGCCCACAGGATGGGTATGGGGTGCATAATAAATGAACTAAACTAAATTATGCCTGAAACGTGCGCTGCGTATTAGTGGTTTTATGCTATGTACTTAGTCTTACCTACAGTTATGTATCTTTCCTTGTTCATGTTTCATATGTATGTACATTTGTGTAAATAACATTATTATTATTGTTATTATTAGTATTATTATTAGTATTATTATTGCACTAATTAGAGCGCTTTTTTCTGTTAGATTTCCTTGTACTGGTGGTATATGTGTGTGTGTGTGTGTGTGTGTGTGTGTGTGTGTGTGTGTGTGTGTGTGTGTGTGTGTGTGTGTGTGTGTGTGTGTGTGTACTCACCTATTTGTGCTTGCGGGGGTTGAGCTTTGGCTCTTTGGTCCCACCTCTCAACTGTCAATCAACTGGTGTACAGATTCCTGATCCTATTGGGCTATATCATATCTACATTTGAAACTGTGTATGGAGTCAGCCTCCACCACATCACTGCCTAGTGCATTCCATCCGTTAACTACTCTGACACTGAAAGTGTGTGTGTGTGTGTGTGTGTTAGAGACATATGATAGTATATAGCTAGTAGATATGGTAGAGGAAATTAGGTAGAAAGTCAGTGACAACCGATGGTTAGGTGGGCGGGGTCCAAGAGCTAACAGCTCGATCTGGCAGCCACAAATAGTAAATTACACACACACCAATTAGCTGTCCCTATTTAACTAAATTGCTTTTGTTACCATAAAAAAGCCTAGTCCTTACCATCACCTTTTCTTGTATGTGGAATATTATGGAACCGCCATTTCCGTTTTTCTTTTGCGAGTCTCGACGGATCCTCTTCAGCACTTTTTCATCTATCATCACCAGCTCCTCATCTACCAGCGGGGGCTTCTCCGGCGTTCCATCAGTCTCCACCTCTGGTTCCTCCTGCAGACTGGTGCTGTAAGGGACTGTCTGCGGCTGTCTCTCTGACAAGCTTTGGTGGACCGAGTCCAGAGTACCGCCTGTGTTAACGAGAGGGTAAAATGGTAGATGGTTACGTTAGATAGTTTAATACATAAACAAAGACCACTAAGACAACAGCTTCAAGCTCAACAGACCACAACGTAAGATGTACAACAGATAACATAACACTTAAGTGTTATCATAATGCAACAGGGTAATGATAACGTATGTTACACTCAGAAATCGCTGACAATTATAATCACAGAATTGTAAACTGCAGTCTCCGTGGAAACATGATGTTAAGGGTACACTCTTACACGTATTATTTGTATCGCTGGATCTTACTGAGATTAATGATAAGTAAGATACAAACACTTGCTGGACACTTCACATGGGGACTTACTTTCGTTACTAGCAGTAACCAGCAGCAGGGGCAGTAGCAGCAGAAGGTACAAGGTGATAGAACACCCATATACTCTCATCTTGTCACAGTGTTTAAAAATCTGTGTATACGACATTTCCTGTTTCTGTCGTTTTCAATATTATGACCACCTCCCCCTCCCGCTGCCAAAGCCGTCTACGACCACTTATCTTGCGTCAGCCGTGATACTTATACCCGATCCTTCTTTTAGTGTTGTAATACACCACTCTGTGATCCGTCATGCAGTAGGATTGTTGTAAACTATAAACACTACAGTGTTATCGTAATACCCATAAATGTCACTCTTCTTACTACGTCATTCTAAATACAACTCTGACCTGTCAAATCGTGGTAATTGACAACAAAATTTGTTATGTTTTCTTGTTATACAACGACTAGTTGTCATGTGTCGTGATGCACAACGACACATAATGTGTCGTTCCACTAATATAATCAACGAATTTTACAATGTCCTTCAGCTGCCACTGGCTGTCGAGTGGCCGCAGGTGGAAATGTCCAACCGTGATAGGTTAAGTAATAATTGTAAATAAGAAGCAACAAGATGCTTATCTTAACACTTTCCTGGATTTTCGACTTGGAATTACGGGCGTTTTCCCTAACCGTTTGTCGGATCACGACGTAAATTTACGGTGCGGTTTAAAATACCTTGATACCTTAACATACTAAGAAGGTAAGGTGAGGTCGGTGTTTTCTATGAAGCTTTTCAAGGTAAACTAAAATATTCACAATCAATTAGTATGTCACATATGCACTTATTAAATAAGCCAATATTGACTGTAAGGCAGTGCGAGAACGGGTTGCAATGTCCTGTGACGGTGTGAGGGAGAGGTGAGGCACCAGCCTAGCTGCAGGAGTGTTCTGCCACCAGCCAACAACGGCTCATGGTGCTTATCAACTTTTCGATAACAACAGATTTGTTGATACCTTATCATATTTTTGTTACATTGCTTTGAAGTGAATAAGCAAAATGAAATGCATAAAGAATAGAGACATTAATAAATTAGCAGATTGACGAAGAAAAATATCTTGGAGTCAGAATCCACCAATTCCTGAAAGTTGTACAAATAGTATGGAACTATCAGGAGAACGCGCCATACCATTACGGCAATATAACACTTGGAAGGAGTTTGGATAAGGATTTGGGGATGGGATGGTTGGGGGGGGGGGAGGGAACTCTCAGGGGAAAGCGCCAAGTCATCACGACTATATAGCACTGGGAAGGTGGGGCCAGGATAAGGATTTGGGATGGGACGGGGGGTAAGAAATGGTGCCCAACCACTTGGACAGTCGGGGATTGAACACCGACCTGCATGATGCAATGGTAGGAGCTGTAACGAAAACAAAGCAAACTAAACCATAGGAATAGTCAAGCGGTAGGTTTTTTATTACCTAAGTGTAGTTACAGGATGAGAGCTACGCTCGTGGTGTCCCGTCTTCCCAGCACTATGAAGACCTTTTTGTGCCCTCTGTAATGCTTTTTGCGCTACCGCTCACAGAATGAGTATGGAGTGCACAATGCCACCTCTGGCGGCAACAATCAAAATCAAACCATATTCATATCTGGTGAAGTACTACGGGAAAATCTCTTGTTGATGTTGTATGTCAGATAACCTTGAAACAAATAAAAACTAGAATCAAGATGATCCAAAAGTGTGAAGAAATGATAAAGAGAATGGCAATGGTGGACAGTAGTAACACACTTAAGAATTATTCAATAATAAATACAAATTCGTCCTTCACCTATGGCAGAGGAAAGTCTACTTGGAAGGATTCAATTTACATGAGATTAAGATTAGGATACAAATATATCTGGCAATACGGTGTTGATGTCAGTGAAAAAGATAAGCACGCCCACACCTTAGAACATTATGTATTAGAGTGTCAACTTATTGATAACTATAGAAATAAGGAAATAAGTAGTGTACCACATCAAATTGTTTGGATGTGTGATAATGGTATGATGACAGTATACTTAGGAGCTACAAGAATTTTGCCCCGAGAGTCTAACACTTATCTACGATGCTTACTATATTAATCCGCAATGTTAAATGGGATTCTTGTACTGTGATTTGTGTATTTGTACTCACTGAATTTGTGTGCCCCTTGAGGGACTTGAAGTAGAGGGGGTAGAAATAGCCTAAGCTACTCTATCCCTTTGAGATGTATTTCTTTCTTGTCTCAATAAACATACTTGAACTTGAACGTTGTTTACTGTGCATCCTATGCTCATATCTGGAGAACAGTAGTTTATAGTGCACCACATACTTTTGAACGATAGCTTATAGTGCACCCCATACTCATCCTGTCATTACCTAAGTGTAGATAGAGAATGAGAGCTATGCTCGTGGTGTCCCGTCTTCCAAGCACTCTTTGTCATATAACACTTTGAAATTACTGGCGGTTTTGGCCTCCACCACCTTCTCACCTAACTTGTTCCAACCGTCTACCACTCTGTTTGCGAAAGTGAATTTTCTTATATTTCTTCGGCAGGTTTGTTTAGTTAGTTTAAATCTATAACCTCTTGTTCTTGTACTGTGAGCGGTAATTTATGGTACATCCAATACTCATCATGTGAGTAGCAGTTTATAATGCACCCCATACTCGTCCTGTGAGCGGTAGTTTATTGTGCACCCCATACTCATCCTGTGCGCGGTAATTTATTGTGCACCCCATACTCATCCTGTGCGCGGTAATTTATTGTACACCCCATACTCATTCTGTGCGCGGTAATTTACTGTGCATCCCATACTCACCAAAGCCAAAAATACATAGTCATTACTTCAGTTTTAAATTGTGCTAGAAAAATCCCCAGGAAAAAATAAAGGACTAAACTAAAGGAAGGGGAGCCGGTCGGCCGAGCGGACAGCACGCTGGACTTGTGATCCTGGGTTCGATCCCAGGCGCCGGCGAGAAACAATATGCAGAGTTTCTTTCACCCTATGCCCCTGTTACCTAGCAGTAAAATAGGTACCTGGGTGTTAGTCAGCTGTCACGGGCTGCTTCCTGGGGGTGGAGGCCTGGTCAAGGACCGGGCCGCGGGGACACTAAAGCCCCAAAATCATCTCAAGATAACCTCAAGAAGATAACCTTCGATATGCTAATTCTACTCATAATTTCATCCCCATAGTTTCCTACCGCGTGCTTCAAACTCACATTATATCTTGTGCTACCCACTCCCCCAATATTAGTAGCTGAGACATACAACTTCACCAGTGTAATTATTGCCATGATTGTATATTGTAGTTATTATGTTGAAAAAAATTTTTGTTCCAATGTGCCTCTTAATAAACTTATGTTAAATTAAGGGCCTGCCCAAAACGCTATGCATATTAGTGACTTTGCGAGAATGTACTCACACCAATGTTATGTACTCACACAAACCATATATGTATCTTCTGGTATATAAACAAACAAATAAATAAATTGAGGCCAATCCTGACCTCAAAAGCTTCATTGAAGGTTGTAACAGAACCCATGAGCACCACACCAGAAATACAGTTTTGATATTCCTAGAGTACGACTTAATCAAACTAGAAATGCTCTACAAATCAAGGGACCCAGAATGTGGAATGACCTTCCCAACCATGTTAAAGACTGTACATCTCTCAACCAGTTTAAGATAAAAACTAAACACTACCTAATAAATTCCCTGTAACCTACCTCACTCCTCTATTGTCAACCCATGTCTGTTATTTTTTTTTTTAATCAACACTGTTTGTCACCCTATTGTATTTGTGCTGCTTTTTCAGTCATGTTCCCCCTTTTTTTTATCTTTATTTGTATTTGTTTTCAACACTTTTTATTCTTTATGCTCAATTAGAATTAAGTTCTAGATATTAATGTTTTTCTTGCCCGAAACGCATTGCGTAATAGTGGCTTTAGGCATTGTATGTACTAGCTCTATCTATATATCAATCCATTAATGTAACATCACTTGTATGTATGTACCTTACCTGAATAAACATATTTATATTTTATTTATTTATTTATTTTAATTGTAGCGAGTACAAACAATATACTCACTCCAATTTTTCATTAGCTTAATGGCGTAGCTAATTGGTTACGCCATTAAGCTAATGAGAAGTTGGAGTGAGTATATTGTTTGTACTCGCTACAAAATAAATAAATCCCCGTCCCCGTAATAGGTAATATGGAAATATATTGGTTAGGTTGATTTAGGGATTGTTTACAGTACACCGGAGATGGAATTGAATGAAACACTTCTTGAGTCATAGCTTCGATCATGAGGTCAAGTGGCTACATGTGTCAAATACTGTCTTGTGTAGATTTTAATATCATTAATAGCAGATACCTTATGAACACGACGACCTCTTGCTTTTATGATGTACTGTTGAAGAGCAGTGCACGAGGAATGGCTTTGGTTTATTTAGAACGTGGAAAGTCAGAAAAAGAATACAAACTGCTTCGAACCGTTGAGTGAGTGCCAGGGGTAGTTCACTGAGTTGTGGGTGTTGTTGCAGTCTCAAGCCCGGCTGTTGCAGCCACTATGAGAGTTGTTATTTGGGTTATCTGGGAGCTTCATATTTTCTACAGTGCCATCCACGAGTCTTATGGGGCGCCCTTATTTAGAGGTGAGTTGTGATATTATTTACCTGTTTTAGGAGTTATATTGGGATTGACCTGACTTTCCAGATGCTGGTTCTCACTATTATTCGCGTACAAGAAAATACGGATACCCTAGTCCTTTTAAAATATAAATAATATATGTAAAATAAAAATAAAAAGATGCATGAAGATCTCATAGTATTTGAAAGACGCATTACGTAAGTTAGGGTCAACATATTTATAATGATGCTAAAGCAAGAGAGGAATGGAGGAACGCGTTTTTTGACATTATATAATTCATTGGTTTGCTCACTAAATTTACCAGAGTTTACCCGAGAGCCATCATCTCTCTTGTGGCCTCGATGGGGACAGGAAGCTGGCGGCTTGTTAGGGGTCCTTCCCCCCATTGTTTCTGAGGATTAAAAGCTGTCAAAGCATTTACAGCTTTAACAAGTAGACAGTTCCATGGGTTTATAACCCTATGAGTGAAGAAGCATCTCCTGTTTTCTGTCCTATATTGTGGCTAATTGAGATTGAAGTTGTTGTCTCATGTATGTGTTACATTTGATATTGTATTTTAAAGAACTGGGCTGGATTAATATCCTCCAACATATTCAGTATTTTAAGATGGATTGGCTCTCATGGTGACCTCTATAAAGTCATTGGGATAAAATAGTGGCTGCTGAGCTCTTAGAGGTGTGTAGTTTAGTTAGTTTAGTTAATTTATTATGCACCCCATACCCATCCCGTGGGCGGTAGTGGAAAGGGTTACAGAGGCACATAATGGGCTCAGGGACTGAACCCCACAATTCATTTAGCTAAGCAAGTGTAGTCTGATCATAATGTCACAGAATTAAGATATTGACATTCAAAATGCATTTTCTGATGCCCAATTTGCATTATAGGGGCTTCCAGTACTTAAATGTTAGATGCCCCATTAAACTACATTGCGAATTCTCATTCTTCGGCAGACAAGGGGGATTGGTTGAAAGTTCAGCAGTATGTTAAGTCCAGTATTGCCGCTGCTAGGACATCCTTGCCTAATGATGGATTTGTCCTTAGGAGTGGAGAGGATTCCACCTTTAATCAACATAAAAGGCAAGTTACATGGTTTTTTAATAGCAGATTTTTGGTTGAATTTAATTCAAAGGGTCACACAACTTTGAGAGGAATTTCGATATTTGTATTGTAAACCATCTACAGTACTTGCTTGGAACACATGACATTTATCACCCTTACAAAAACTAATATTTGAAGAATCTTCATAAGAGAAGATTTTTCTTAAGTGGCTTGTTGAGCCATTCCTGCACCACTTTTCTTTGAATTTTATCATTTGGCAATGCAGCTCCTTTAAGATCATTGGCTTCAATTTTGTAACTTTTTTTTTTTTAGCTCACTAAACCAATATTCAGATCTGCTCAAGTTGAACCCTTCACTCAAAATGAAACCCAGCCATGCAGTCTTTTTCAAACCAGGTCCATCAGCTTTTCCCCTCTGAAAACTCTGTCCTGCTTAAGTTTTTCAATGAAATATTGTGAAAACCTGATTCTAACAAGTTAAGTGAAAATGGTCCCATAACTATTTTCAGAGTAAGATTTTTGCCACCTTCGCTGAACTATAATTACTCACATTGGTGTATACAGTGCTGTAATGTGTACCTTGTGCACTACACTTGGTTATATTCTTTATATACTACTGGCACTGTATCTGGAGAACTGAATCTACAAATTTTGGTCCCCAAAAACATGCCTGTCAGTTCAGTTGGGCATTTATACTTGACTGCACTCACATTGAGTACATCCCCAATAGGTTTTTTGTTGACCTGCTTAATGCTTTTGACACGGATAGCGCAGACCGACCTGGGACACGGTCCCAGCCCTCGGCTTTCTTTTCCCCTGGTGTTGGTCTTGCATATATGAGGACAACTGATGGCCTTGTAATGGCCTGTAATTTTTATTGCATTCCTTTACCTATTTACTGTGCCAGATGAAAATCAAGGTAATTACACTTGGGTAATTACCTTTAACCACAATAACTTCCTTTGCAAACTACAACACTTTGGAGTCAGAGGTCACACTCTTCAATATTTACAATCTTACCTCAGTGAAAGGCATCAGTGTGTTTGTGAATGATGCTACTTCTCCCACCCTGCCAACTAACATTGATCTTCAACAGGGTAGTATACTTGATCAACTCTTCTCACTGACATCAATGATTTCAAATGCTACTCTACACTTGAAGCCAATTCAATTTGCTGAGAACACAGTTTACAGTATTTTCTTCCGTGCTAACTCAATTATTCTAAATGACAGTGAATACTGAACTAAAAAAAAAAAAAGTCCATCTGCTGCTGACTGTAAACAAACTTACCCTTAATCCTGATAAAATATAAAATATTTAACATTATTTGGCAACAAGCCCACCATTCACTTTAAGAGTAGAATAGATGAGGAAATTCCTTAATGTTCAAGTTGAGAAAAAACTGAATTTCCCTTTCCATATACAAAATATATAAACAAATGTAAAAGAAGAAAAAAGGTAGGCATTCTCTCCAAAATCAGATGCTACATACCTTACCCTGTCTTGGTAACTTTATTATTTGCTCATCTAACCATATCTTGCCTTGGGTATCTGTACCTAGGGATCTACAATCCTAAATTACCTTCGACCCCTAATTACTCAAGATGAATCGGCAATTAGAACAATAACAAACTCCAATCCCAGACAGCACTCGGCTTCCTTATTGAAATCTTTAAATACTGTATGTTAAATATTGAGTCACTGCATGTCTTCTCAAGTGTGCTTTATATCTATGAAGCTCTGCACTGCAATGCTAATACTGACCTTGGGTACTTTCTAGAGGGCTGTGACTGAACCCCTTGGGCACCGCATGAGAAATGTGTATATTTTTAATAGTCCCAGGGTAAGACTTGACCAAAGCAGAAATGCTATGCAAATCAGAGGTCCCACATTGTGGAATGACCTCCCAAATGTGATTAAAAGCTGTACATTTCCCAAACAGTTTAAAAGAGGAAACTAAAAAAAATCTACTTATCATGTAACAAATTTCACTCCAAAAAAGATATTCATGTGTTTTTGTTGTTAATGTATTTAATTATACAGTACTAAAAATGTAGTCCTAAGGCTTTCATCATTTTCTTCTTTGTATGTAAGAATAAATGATTTAACAATTTGCCTTGTTGATTAAATGCACTGTTGCAAATATTTGGACAGATTAGAGTCAGATGAGGAAGGAAGTGTTGGGCTGGACCAGCAGTTAAGTGTATCTACCATCTACACTAAAATTGTTGCTGATAATGACGACAGCAAAGTAAAAATGTTCTTTTATTTTATAAAATATGTGATATAAGTATTGATTTGATAAATACAAAAATAATTTTTATATTAATAATGTACATTTTGTTTTGATTCTGAAGTTTATTTACTTTAATCTGACAGGTGAGCAGCGGTGATACTACTACTACAGTGAGCGGTAGTAGCATATGGGACAGTAAGGATGACAGCAGAGGTGGTGAATACAGTGGAAATAGAGATGATGCCAGAAAGGACATAAATGACAGCAGGACATTTGGAGAGACTGATTTGCTGGAGGTTAATACGAGTCCAGCGGACCCACAACCATGCCTGTCAGATGACACCCTTGGTGCTGTACACAGCCAAGCTCAAGTAAATTAAATTTTCTTTTACAGGCACACCCCATTGTTTTTCAAGTTGACCAGTGTTGAGAAGTTAATTTTTTTTTTTTTTTTTTTTTTTTTTGAGATATATACAAGAGTTGTTACATTCTTGTACAGCCACTAGTACGCGTAGCGTTTCGGGCAAGTCCTTAATCCTATGGTCCCTGGAATACGATCCCCTGCCGCGAAGAATCGTTTTTTCATCCAAGTACACATTTTACTGTTGCGTTAAACAGAGGCTACAGTTAAGGAATTGCGCCCAGTAAATCCTCCCCGGCCAGGATACGAACCCATGACATAGCGCTCGCGGAACGCCAGGCGAGTGTCTTACCACTACACCACGGAGACTGTAAAGAGGAGACTTAATCTTACGGAGACTTAATCTTACACATGCATTAATAGTGGCAATAATTTAATAAACTGGTCAGATACATGTGGCCAAATGTAATCTTTTGTTAAAATGCTCACATGCTTTAGCTGTGGTTACCCAAAGCTACTCAAAGCCTCCTTAAAGTACCTAAGTAAACAAGAAGTATAACATATTTACTTTAATGTTTGTACTGAATGTAAAACATAAAAAGCTTGAGCTTATTTCTAAATAAAATTATTTTATAACACAGTAAGAGCAAAGTTAGTAGATAACAGTAATAAAGGTCAGGAATTTGAGTGCCCTATGACCTTTAATGGCTGTCATCAGCACCATTTTTTTTGTCTTATTATATATCATAATAAAATGATGTTTGACACATTGTACTGTACATTATAGTAAGCAAATATGTTACTGTATTTGTGTTACCTAGGGTCCCGGTAATACAGTTGGGTTCGTTCTCGACACATAATCATGAATTCCGGGTTCGAATCCACAGGTGGGACAGAAATAGTTGCGCACATTTCCTTTCACCTAATGCATCTGTTCACCTAGCAGTTAGATGGTACTCAGGAGTTAGTCACCTTGTTGTGTGGTTGCATCCTGGGTGGGGGTCAGTAATTTGACTGGGGGGGGGGTCTTGATAGAAGCCAAATGTATATAAATACACTCTGGCTTCCTGTCCCCAGACACAATGAATTATTAAATTCTTTCTCCTTTACTTACATAATTTAAAAAGGCAGAGGGTAGTTCCATGGAGCGAAGAGGTCAGCTGATGAATGTGACGAAATAAATGTGAACCTTTACTCATTTGTTCTGGTCTTGAACTGTTCAATAAATCGATTACATTTTGTTGTAAATAAAAATATTTTTTTAAACAAATAAAAATGAAAGTCCACCAAAGAAAAATACAAATTACCTTTGTGGTTGTTTTGCTAATATGCATACTAGATTAGGTTGTTTCTACTTCCATTATAAACAGACTGGTTGGTGGCAGTGCTGCAAGAAAGCTCACTATCATATTGATGTCAATATCTGCCTAAAAACTATGTACATTCCACTAAGTGGGTAGAGCTGAAAGTGGGTTACCTTGAGGTTACCTTGAGGTGCTTCCGAGGCTTAGCGTCCCCGCGGCCCGGTCGTCGACCAGGCCTCCTGGTTGCTGGACTGATCAACCAGGCTGTTGGACGCGGCTGCTCGCAGCCTGACGTATGAGTCACAGCCTGGTTGATCAGGTATCCTTTGGAGGTGCTTATCCAGTTCTCTCTTGAACACTGTGAGGGGTTGGCCAGTTATGCCCCTTATGTGTAGTGGAAGTGTGTTGAACAGTCTCTGGGGTATGTGCAAGAATATTTTGTTAAACATAACAGCATGTCTGGTTTCGTTTGCATGATTTGTGTTAAAAGTTAAAATATTAAATTTATTAACAAATCTTTTTAAATTTGATTCCAGAGAGAGCACAGTCAATTCCACTTGCCCAGAGTAGCTGAAAGGGCAGCATCACTCTCAAAAAAACCTCCGTCTCCGCATGAGGAACAAAAAGAATATGAAAATATGTTAAAAACTTTGCTAGTCCATCCTTCAGTGCAGAGGATGGCAAATAGACAAGTCAGGGACCTGTCCAGGATTATGGCTCTCGTGGCTCATGATCAACAGAACTTGCCTACAAATGGGGCTGTTGACCAAGTGGAGGAGGAATTCCCAGAAAAGTTTTTTGAGAGATTAAACTCTCTGAGAGAAAAGGTATTTGATTTAGCTGAAAAAATAGAAAAGTTGAAGAAGTCGGCTGGTGATATGCAGATGACGGTGAATGAGCTGCAAGATGACTCAAAGCCCCTTCTTCTGCTATATAATCTCCTGAAAATTGAATCAGCAGGTATTATCAGCACCAAGAATTTGACGTCACACTTTGGTAAGGTGGGTTATGAAATAGAGACCTCATCTTCCTCCTCCAATGAGGGAAATATGAATTCCTCGGTTGAAACTGATGACCATGAATCATTTACTCACATGCTTAATTTCTTTAGAGATACACAAGCAGAAAGAAACAAAGAGCATACAGTAGGTAAAGAGTTATCATATAGTGTTGCCCCACCAGCAGGTGGTGATCAAAATGTTGCTACAGCAGCAATGATACACAGTAATGATGATATAAATTTATCGGTGGGACAGATTGATAAATTAAAAGAATTTTTGTTGAAGATAAATGTTAGTCAAGATGGCCATGAAGACACTATAATGAATCTCTATCATGATATAGAAGATTCACACCTGTCCTTGAGTCGCCTGAGGGAGCTGTTGATGCAACAAGATAAAATACACCGAAGCAAACTTATCACTGAAGGCAAGTTGATTACTAAGCTATGTTTTGATTTAAGTCTAGGGTGGGTACTGGAACTGGTTAAGTTATTCAGTACCATGTATGTGTGTGTGTGCATTTATGTGGGCATGTAAGTGTGATTCCTTCATTATCAGCAGGATCCAGGAAATACCATAAGGGGTTGGCTAGGTTAGGGTTTATTACTGGATAATTAATATAGTTTGTAGCTAATTGCAACAATCTTAGTCATCAATTTTCTGTTGAGCACATCACTGATCTAATTAGAACATTTATTACTAATTTAAATGGATAACTGTTAAATATTTATACTGTATAAGCAAAGTATGGAATTAAGTACATAAACCAACCTGCCTATAAAATTCTTCTATGAGAAGTCATCTTCGCATATTTTTTAGTTTAGAAAGTTTATGTAATTCTGTAATATATAGTACTTTGTTAGTATTGGTTCAAATTATTAAGTATTTTACATTTTTAATCTTAAATTATTTCTATTTTGCTAGATAATTTCTTCTTATTAATTTTCATATGAGCAGATATTTCAAATGTATACTAAAATTCCTCTAAACAAAACTGTCAGTGAATTTGGTCTGTCTTCCATGAGTGTCAGTATCATTCCTTTATAAATTTGCATTTCCAACTGAATTTAATTTACATAATGATATACAAGAGACAATCATTTAAAATTGATATATACTGTATTAACAGAAACTGATAAGACAAGCGTACCATTGCTCCCTACCTCAACACTGGATGCTGCAGAGTATACTGTTGCTTCTGATACGGATGCTGCAGAGTATACTGTTACTTCTGATATGGATGCTGGAGACTATACTGTTGCTTCTGATATGGATGCTGCAGACTATACTGTTGCTTCTGATATGGATGCTGCAGAGTATACTGTTACTTCTGATATGGATGCTGGAGAGTATACTGTTGCTTCTGATATGGACGCTGCAGAGTATACTGTTACTTCTGATATGGATGCTGCAGACTATAATTTTGTTGCTAATAAGGATGCAATCACTACGCCAGCAACAGCAATGACTACCCTGAATCCTCCCACACCTCAAGATGACATCTGGAACCTTGCCTTACAACGAGCTGCCACTGGAGAGAATACAAGTTTCTCCAACTCGTCAAAAGCACTGGCCACACTGAAGCCTACTGCAACTGTAGACATTTCAGAATTTTATGATTTGGAGCCTTCTAATTTCAAGACGAATTTGGCCACCTTGTCTACAAATTTTTCGACATCACAAATGCTGGTGACTTCAGAGCCTTCTGTTACTGTAAAGCAGAAAAGTCTGCCCTCTCCATTACAAGACTTCCCGCTCACCATCTCTCACCCTGGTGTCACTGTAGAGCAGAAAAGTCTGCCATCTCCATTACAAGACCTGTCCATGTTGCACCCTATTATCACCATAGACGATACAAGCCTGTTTAGTTTATCTAGAGAACAAACAACAGGTAAGTTTGTCCAGCATTCATTTGGTGTAAAATCTGTCATTACAAGACAGTTAGCATCCCTCTAATATAGAGATCAACTCCACAGTGCCTGCAATTGATGTGGCTGTAAGCACTTCTGGTAGGACCTTTGGCACTACTTTGCATGGTGTCACTAATTCAACACCACCTTCCATCTTGGAAGGGACACTCCCACCCAGCACACACAAGGAGACAGCCAGCAAGGTTGCACAGGAGACGTCAGAGGGTTACCATGGTTAGTTAACAGTTAAAGAGTTTGTAGTTTTTATACTCATATTTCTTGTTATTCTTTTTAATTATGACAATGAGATTAAGTTTAAATTATTACTTTAGTAAAATCACCTAGTGTACTGATATTTTTGGTTATATAATTTTGAAAATGTTATTTCATGGCTGAAATAATCATGAAACTTTGCTAATGTCAGGTTAAGGTTTACTGAAATTTTCCATTCTTCTACATTAGAAGGTAATATAAAAGACTAGATAAACCTTCAGCTTTCTTTTATCTTTTTTTTTTTTATAAAACTTTCTCTTATTTCTGGTATGTACCTTGCAGTTAGCATGCTAGATGCTTATTTATATTTTAGTAATTTTCTCTAATGCGAGATGAAAGTAACTGTCATATTTTTTTCCAGACCATACAATTTTGCTAATAGCTCTGTTGGTGGCTGGATTGAGCTGTCTAATGTTGGTGATTGGAATCACAGTGTTATGCCGTGTCCATCGGAAAAAGAAACGAAGAGAGCAAGTGTGTCCTCGGTACCGGCAACCTCGCTACACTAGCTACACACACTCCGAAAGGTAGCACTTGCCTATGCAGTCCTGTCAGAAGTGATCTTTTCATCTAGTTTTATGCCTCTAATTCATATATCTTGTGATGTCGGGTATAATAGTTTTCATAACCTATAATACAAAATTTCCTGTTTATGGTTTGTTGATACAGTACAAGTAAAATGAAGACCAAAGCTGCATGTCTACAAATTTACATTAAAATTGTGAATACTTCTGAGACTAAGTTTCTTGTTTAAATTGCAGCATATTTAGAAGGTTGTGTAAAAATGCGTGTTCCTATCAATAATAAGTAATTAGGATATATTACTTAAAATTTTCATTATGAATGTTACAAACTAAGTAGCTTCTTATGAATCTTTATCATTAAGACTTTATTTTTATATTAGGCTTTAAGTTGACATTTAAACACTAACAATTTCTAGGTTTTGTAAAAATTTGGCAAGTATAAAATTGTTTTTCACATTCAGCATGAAAATGAAAGTTTTATCAATTAGAGGTTAATTTATACAAATTTAATTTTATTAATTAATTAAAACTTAAATTTAACATTGTTTTGTTTAAAATAAATATGCAGCTACATTACCAGTCTAATACTGTGTATACATTTTGTGGTTTATGAAGTTTAATATTGTAATTGAAGGAATGTTTCATGAAATTTATTCTTACTTATTTAGGCTGTTGAATTCTCCCACACTTTAATTTTATTTAAAAACAAGTCACAATCATCTCAGTCTTATCAAGGTGTGCAGCTTAAACAAATCTTTAGAATGGAATGAACTGTAATTTGGTTTTAGTGCTTAAAGGACGTTGATAAATATAAGGGCAAAATAATGGCATGCATAAAATGAAAAATATTAAAATTAGATACATAGCATACAGATTTTTTTTTAAATTCTAATTAAACAATTGATAATTGGAGATATTTAAAAGATTTTCTTTAATTTGTGAATATAATTTGCAATTGTTGGAATACAAGTAACTAGAATCATCCAGTGTTAATGTTACTATTTAAATGCCATTGTCAATATTGAATACTTTTACATACAGATTCATATATTTGTATAATAGCAGTATTTGCCTGAAGTAGATCCTGCAGCTGATACCTTGGCCATTGTATATAAAACTCTTGAAATTATTTATTCAAGATTATGAAGGGAGTAATCATGTTTAACACCAGGCTAAAAAGTATCTCAAACTGTTTAAATATCATGTGCAGGTGACAAAAGGACTTGGATAAGATTTGAATATCATTCATGTATTATCCTGGCAGGTTTCTTCCTTCATGAAACATGTACTAGAGCTTTATATAGAGAGAGATCTTGTTTCATATAAGAGAAAATGTCTGTTGGTTTGTCCAAAGTTGGAGGCCAGCCTCACTGGACTGGGGCCTCACCGGACTTTGCAGGGAAAATTGTTTGCGGGTATATAATAGTCATGGTCAGACTAAGTTAAATACTTTATAAAATATCAGTGTGTAACCCCCCCCTCCCCAACCCATGCAATTATTTTGAAGTCTGATTTGAAATCAGAGATGTGTTTTCAGTAGTTTACCACACATTTTCGTGATTTACTAGAAAACGATGAACAGAATTCATTTGGTTTAGTGATGAAAATAGTGAGTACGGAAGATGGTACTGTATATATATTGTGAAGATAATATTTAGTGGAAATGTAAGAGGGGACAGGGGGGTGAAATAGGGGGTACCTCTCTATCTCTTGAAGGGTTGAGGAATCAATGTTCCTGTAGCTCAGTCTCTGACCAGGCTTCATAGTTTCTGGTCTGATCCACTAGGCTGTTTGATGCAGCTACTCGCAGCCTGATGTATGGGTCACAGCTTGGTTGATCAGGTATCCCTTGAAGGTGCTTGTCGAGTTCTCTTTTGAACACTGTGAGAACTGTCAGTTATGCTCCATTTATTTACATACACATAGATTTAAGTGGAAATGAGGGTGAGGGAGAGGAAGAAGAGGGGGGTAAAGGGGAGGGATGGTAAAGGAAGAGGGGCAGGAGAAAAGGGGTTAAGGGGGTAGAGACAGACTATCCCTGGCATTACTGGGTGCCCCTACCCCCTTTGGTATTTATATGTATATACTGTATAAATGTATGTATGTATATCTATAAAACAATGTCCAAAGCTGAAGGCTTAATAGTTAGCCTCATCCAACTTTCCAAGATGACATTTTGGGGTGTGGGAGTGTCACAGGCCAGTTGAGGGTCAACCCCAGTGTCACTCGTTAAAAAATATCTGTAACTATAGCAACTTTCCCCCTCCCTGTGATTTTCTTGGTCTGAAATTGAGACTTTTTCTTTTCTTTAGAATGAAGGTTTGTGAGATAGAGGGAAGGAGAAAGTGGGGAAGGTAGATATGAGACAGGAAACGTATGTGGAGGTGGGAGGGGGAGACCTGGGCACAGTCGGGTGCCTCCATCTACTATACATATACTTTTCAAACTTTAATTTTCCATCTCGTAAAATGTGACTAACACTTCCATTAGCACTATTATCAGTGTTAATAAAATTGAAAATTCTTATGACATCCATATGCAGGTTCCTTCCTTTCATACTCACTTGTACTCTCTCTCAACACTTTTATAATTACTTGTAATTTTTCTTTGTCAGTCATGTACTAAATTCACAAAGAAAAATGTTGTTTTAAATGTGTTTAAGCTCACCTTACAGTTTTTAGCAGGCAAGAAAATTCAGTTTAATGTAATATCATGTTTTAATGTAATTGAGAAACCCACAAACATGAATGCATGCACATTCACTATACACATCATAAATAATAATTGTACATATTTTAATGTAAATTAAACAAAAATCATGTACTGTACAAAATTATTTTACTGTAATACAAAGAAACTAACTTTTACAAATTACCTCCCAAAATTACAATTTCTTGTCAAATCTGTCCCTAAAGTTAAAGGGTTAGGAAGTTCATCTACTTTAGTTATTGGCATCTATAATTAATTACCTTGTAGCAGAGAAGCAACTTGCATGTACATTTTCTTTCAGTGGTAATAACAGTACAGTACAACCAAGTTCTGAACAAGAAATAAAAAAGTAAACTTTTATCTTAGCTTAAAGTATTTTTTATCTCTAATACTTCCATGGAATGTTTAATATTGGCATTAATGACCACAACATGCTTTATAATTTGTAATGTGATATTTTAAAGACCTGCCTCTTTAATGAAGCTTGTAAACTTTTGAGCCAAATTATTAAATTAGTTTGAATAGTCTTGAGGAGTGTAGTTACAATACAAAAAGAACAAACCCCTCTTAATTTTGCTACTCAAAATCTTTAGCAAGTGTCCTAAGATGGTGAACAATACAGGCAACCCTTATATATAGCACAGCAGTTACAAGACTGAATTTTTTTTTTATCTAAAAACATGCTACATAAACTAAATATTAAAAAAAATTGGAGCGCATTCAAAGTCATGGCAAAGTTGTACATTACATTTATATAATTACTAGGATTGAAATGTGTTAAGATGTGTGAGTAGTGGTAGAATGCTGTGAAGAGGGGGGAGGGTTGGTGGTAGTGGGTTGGTGACTTACGTTGGTCCATACCCAGGGAGGAACAAATATTTGATCATGTACGAAGAAAATATATAGGGCTTCTGCAACAATTTTTGCAAGTAACAGGGAGGGGTGTATGTAATTACTAAAGTATACTGTAATTGCAGGCTGAGAGCTACACTCAAGGTGTCATGTCTTCCCAGTACTCTGTCATATGATGCTTTGTAACTGATAATGGTTTATGGTTTAGGTCTCCTCTGCCTTTTCACCTAACTTGTTACAGCCATCTACTACTCTGCAAAAAAAAGAGCTTTTTAATTATTTTTTTCCCCTAAGCTTGGAATTATGACATCTTGTTCTTGAAGTTGCAGGTTTCAAGAATTTTTATTTTTTATAATTTTGTTAATTCCTGTTATTGTGTACATAAGAATCATATCTATTTTTTTCTTCTTCTAACTTTGGCATATTTAACACCACCTAGGATTCCTCTTAAGTAACTGAAGCGATTTATTAGCACGTCCGGACCATTTCAAGCTTATTGATGTGCTTCTTGCAATATGGGCACCATACAACCATTGCATTCCAATTTTTGACTCCCATAAGTTGTGAAAAATTTGTTTAATATTTCACGGTAATTTGAAGTTGGAAAGCATAAGAGCCTCACACAATGTCTCGTGTGGTAGTTTACTATCTTAAAAACCACCTCTATATCGCTTGTCAACAGTTTATTCATATATTTTCAAATATTGTATGTGGCCTGTGTTTGCCTATTCCACATTTCATTAGATGTCATATGTTTGCATTGAATTGTGTGTGGGCGAGAGTAGGTGGGTATGAGGAAGTAGACATTTTGCTGGAGTGTACTGGTAAGCATGCCATGAGTGCATATTATATAATTATGTGAGCAGTTAAAATTATTGGTCACTAAAGGAAAATTACATTATGGCAACAAATTGCTGCATAAATGCACATTATATAAAGGTTGACTGTACAACTTTAATGTTCACATTATCAACACTAATAACAAATTAAGAGAAAATTCTGCCCCAAGAATAAAATGCTGAAAGTAGGTAAACAGGAATACACAAACTTGTGAGCTCTGTGTAAATAAATCCAGTAAGATTTTATTAATTTTCTCTCCAAGCATGAAAAACTAACACAATCTGGAAATAAAAAATTGTTTGCACTTACTGACAACTATACAGAAGGAGACTTTCTAGAGGGACAAGTCATCAAAGGACAGATATGCCTATTTAATAACACATTTTAGTTCCAACTATCCCTTTAGTCGAGTTTTTCCAAAAGAAAAAATTTGGGAAAACCTCTATGAGCAATTGCCATACATTGTAGGAAAACATGTCATTTTGTATAGTTTATTATTGAACTGATGGTAATATTTTGTTTCACTTTTTCTGGAGAAAATTTATATCCAAGCATAAACTATCAAAATTTTAACAATTTAAAAATATGGCTTGATAAAATACCCCCTCGAGTCGGTAATTATTTGTTACTATTTAATTTCAAGGAATTTTCTGGGAGGGTAGCCCTGTCGGCTCCCCGAAGCTATCCAGGCTGATATGGCATTAGTAGCTTTCTGGCATCAAAGTGTATGGAGTTCCTGCCTACCAAGGACCATGAGTCAGAACCCCAGAACCTGGCCCCCTCAGAGAGGCACGAGGAGCAATGGCCTATAGAAACTCTCGTGTGGTTGGGAGCATTCTATGTTTGCCATTGACTGGGTCTGGAACCCAGAAAGGTAGGTGCCCCAAAACAAACCCCTATTCTGGTGTAAATATTGCTACCAAAAGCCGAACGAGTGTACAGAACTCCCCAAACGAAAATTAGCAAACGAGCATGATGTCATCGCATTGTTGTGTAGCTATCTGCACAACCCCCCACCCCCCTCCCCGGGAAGGGGGAGCCCCAGACCCTCGTCCTAGCGATCCAACCGTCAGTTCTAGGCTGATGTGATACTGGCAGATCATGTGCTTCTGGCTCCTGCTTTGGTTTCAGTTTCTGTGCGTTGTTTCACCTCCGGCCTGCTCATGTGCCGCCCGAGACGTCCTCGTCTTTGGACCGGGTGCTTTCTTTACTCTCTTCTCCTCGGTTTGTTGTGGCCCCTTCGGTTCAGGACTGTTTTTCTAAGGGTCTTTTTCCTGTTGGCATTGGCCTCTGGGGATTGTGTTGGGAAGCTTCATGTTCTCCGGCGCAGGGGTTTCTGTTCTTTTGGTCCTGGTGGTAGGGTTTGTTCAGTTGCAGCTGTTTCCTCCTTTTCTGGCGAAGAATGAGACTGCTGCTTTCCATTGGGGTTCTTGGGTTGTTGATGCTAGGTTGTTCAGGCCGGAGGTGCATCATGTGTTGTATCCGGTTGTGGCTCTCTGCCATTATTTGTGCACCATGGCTTCGGTGGCCAGGGATGCGCTTTGGGTTGACTCGGATTCCCTCTTTCCGGGCTCGGGTCTCTTGGGTTATCTGCAGGGTTATTAAGTCTAGCCAGCCTGCAGTATATTCTCATGCCCACGACGTTCGTAAATTTGCTGCTATGGCAACATGTCTTAGGTTGACATTTGGGCACTGGGTTTTTGGAGGTTGAACAGGGTCCTGGCCGCTCGCTACCTTGTCAATGTCCCTGGACCTGGTAGGGGCTGTATTGCATTGGGTCAGCTGTTTCGACTTTGCATTGAGGAGTGAGGACTGACCGCCTTCCGGTTAAGTCCCTGTTTTTCCTTGTCTTTGGGTAGTTAGCTCTGGAGAGTTGATGGGGATCCACCCAGAAAACCAGCGTTGAATGTAATCAAATGCCATTTTTCTGGGCGAGTCCCTGAGGCTCTCCGGCATCCCTACCTCCCCCCGGTCGGTGGTGTTTTTCGCATGTTTTTGACATTCCAGCCTAAGAACTGACAGTTGGATCGCCAGTAAGAGGGTCTGGGGCTCCCCCTTCCCCCTCCCGGGAAGGAAAAGGGGGGGGGGTTGCACAGACAGCAATGTGGCAATGTGATGTCATGCTCGTTTGCTAATTTTCGTTTGGGAAGCTCTGTACACTTCTCGTTCGGCTATCGTTAGCAATATTTTCACCAGAATAGGGGTTTGTTTTGGGGCACCTACCTTTCTGGGTGCCAGACCCAGTCAATGGCAGACACAGAATGCTCCCAACCACATGGGGGTTTCTATAGACTCCTCATGCCTCTCTGAGTGGGCCAGGTTGGCAAGAACACTTTGACCAATGCCCGAAAGCTAATAATCCCGTATCAGCCTGGATAGTTCTGGGACTCGCCCAGAAAATGACGTTTCATTACATTCAATCCTGTTTTTTTTTTGTGTTAAAAATTATAATTTCATATGAATCACCAAATAACTTAAAGGCTCGAGTTTAACCTTGCCCAAATAATTTAGGAAATTATAGAGAAAATCTACATAGGGCCATAAAGATCTAGGTCTAGGTCATCATCTGAGTCGAGGTCATCATCTAAATCTTCACTCCAGAAGACAACTTCAGTAGAAAAATCTCCAAGGCTTCTTTCTGATGTCATCCCGAGATGAGTGTCAATCCTGAGAATAAATATAACTTAAGAGGTGCCTAATTAATATTTTAAAAATAATAATGAAAATCTAATAAAATAATTTTTACTTACAAACTGGAAATAATGTAGCAAACTTTCACATTTTATATTAAATACTATTTTAATTTATTTTTTTTACGCTGAACCCATTAAGTTAGTTATCATCCACTGATCCCTGGAATAACAAGGCAGTCATATTTTGATATTAGTTATCTCCTAGTTTAATACAAGTTGTAAATATTGCTACAGTACATCCATGTACACCTATATGGATGTAATGAAGTTAATCAAGACCCACAACAAAATTCTGCTGTTGCTTTTAATTGCTTGCTATGCACTGAGATTGTCAGGTCACAAGTTGGTTTATACTGCCAGTGTTTGAGTCTGTATGACATTCCCAGATAGATTATGTAGAATCAAAAATATCCGAGTATGACTGACAACCAGAAACAATCACTATATCAATAAAATCTTAATATTGTCGAAAAGGAAAAACAAAAAATATAGTACCGTATTTGTGATAATGTAACATTTTGGCATTATGCCACAAAGCTACATCATAACTATAACATTAGCTTTAAAACAGACCCATGATCTTGATTTATTGTACATCAAGAAAAGTCTACAAACAACAATTCTTGCAAGAAAATATCATTAAATCCATTCATCTACCTCCACAAAGTTAATACTGCCATTCTGTAGACAGTACAGTACTGTATCTCTATTAGATAACACATTCAAAACTTGTGTTTATTGCATTTTAGCATAAATGATAAATATTACTATACAGTTGTATAAGTAAAATATACATTACAATGTGAAAATAAATACGGTACTGTATATACAAAAGCCCTAATTTTTTGTTTACCTACCTTTACAGTGAAGCTCCACTTACCTTGTGACAATTCAGTGGCCAAATCAGGTGGCCTCGTACTAAAGGAATTTGCATTCACTATGTATAGTCCATGTTTAATGTAGTGTATTGTAAACAGTGGTGGCACCAATCCCATACTTCTTCACCAGCATTGTTACAGTAAGGCCACTCTTAAGTTTTCACAAAAGAGGCAGTTTTATGATAAGTTATTATTTTGTTCCTTCTTACCTACTTCAGCCTGACTGCTAGACACACACAGTGGGAGAGAAAGGCAGTATATAAGGTAAAAATGTGAGGTGAAAGGCAAGAAGTAAACCAGAGGAGTTAACAGAAATAAAGAAAACTTCAGAAAGCCTAATGGTGAGGAAAAAGTGGTGTAAAAAGACAACAGAGTTAGCAACAGAGAAGAAAGAGGAGGGCAAAATGGAGTAAAAGCCAAGTCAAATCTCATTTAAGAAGATTTGAACATTTATTTATGTAATAAGAAAGGCAAAAATCAGCAACAACAAAACCAGGACTAAGGTTCATGTTTGTCATATAGTGTAGGAGAGCCGATTTGACAAGACAGTGTCTGTGAATTATTAAATATTTTAAAAGATCAATCTATAGGATGATTAAGCATCCTTAACATGACAGAAGAGAGCATTCTTTATATCTGCAGACTTAATACTTCTTTTGTGTTTTTAATAAATTCTGTCTACTCTTCACAGGTGTCATCTTGTTGAACTGACTTTCATACGTAACATGCTCAACATGAACTTTAGTCCTGGCTTTGTTGCCATTGACTCTTGCCTTTCTTGGTGCTGTATATAAGTAAATGCTCTAATCTTCTTAACAAATGTAATGTGACTTGGCCTTAACCCCCTCTGGGCTCTTCTCTCTCTTTTGTTGCTGTCTCTTGTCTACTTTCACCTCTTTCTCTTCACCATTAGGCCTTCTGCAGTTTTCTTTATTCCTATTAACTCCTCTGGTTTACTCCTTATCTTCTTGCCTTTCACCTCAAATTATTACCTTATATATTGCCTATCTCTCCCATTATTTTTATTATTCTTTACACAACTTGGTAAAGGTCCACGATGGACTAAAACACCATCACTTCCTTCACTTTCACAATTGTGAGTTGGTTGTCAAATTTAAAGGCATGTTTACTGTGACTTATTTTCTTCACCGCATAGCATAGCAGCAGCAACATAAAAATACTACCAGAGTTCAGTAGGTATAGGAATGCTTTACCTCCAAAATCAAACATAAAAATTTTGGTTTTTGTTAAATATACAGTACTGTTTATAGCAATTCACACAAAAAAGGAAAAGTATTTTAAACTTGAGGGGTTACAAAAAACTAAAGTGGGAAACAGAGTTACAATCATTATGGGAGAATGTTATTTACATGTGGTATTTCCCCAATGGAAAGCATCATACAGAAAAATCCTATCCAGCAAAACTCTAGTACTGTAACTAGCATTTTCAATATCTTCCAATGTATCTGTAGAAATCAGCAGCCATATGATTCCATTCAGATAATTCTGCACTATCTTTTTTATTAAATTCATTTTCTCAAATTCGCCTCACAAATGTGTATTTATTACAAATTGACAATATTTGTAATGACACCTGGTAATCTTTCATTGCCTTAATTGCATCAAAATTATTTGTTTAGAACAGAGTATATATTCCCAAGGTAGAGCTTGTGGGACCTACAGTATATGTTTTTTTTTTCTTATTTTTCTGCATATTTTTCAATATTATTTAATAAAAACTACAGTAAATAAAATATTTATTAAACAGTACTGTTAATAGAAAAAATTCCAATGTATACTATTAACCAAAATTTGTGCTGTGTACTGAACATGTTGGCAACTAATTCACAAACTCTAGTGTCTTATACTGTATACTTGACAGTTTCAACAAACTCTGCAGGCAGAGCTTAAAAGCCATGAGCGAACTCCCACTCACTCAGGTGGGACGGTACAGTAGACGGTAGAGCGACGGTCTCGTTTCATATAGGTTAGAGATCAATTCCCGAACATACAAGTGGTTGGGCACCATTCATTTACCCTGTCCCTTCCCAAATTCTTACCTTGATCCCTTCCAAGTGAGATACTGTATAGTCCTAACAGTGTAGTGCTTTCTCCTGATAATTCCTTTCCCTTTAGTCACTGGGTAAGCAATTGTTCAAATGGACTTCAGCGGAACAAAAAGATTCTGCTAGCGGACAAAATCTTGCTGAACCACAACATGGTGTCTACTTCACTAAGCAGTCTTGAAAGACCAGCCTAATGTACAAATCCACAAGGGCTGTGACGAGGATTTGAACCTACATCCGAGATCATACCAGACGCTGCCTTTATCGACTGAGCTACGACATGGTCAAAAAAAGTTGAAATCGAAGCTCTACTAAACTTACTGGATCCTGCAGCCTCTCCGAGACACAAACCACAAACTTGATGATCTCGGACGTAGGTTCGAATCCTTGTCATGGCCCTTGTGGATTTGTTCATTTGATGCATCACGCTATTGTGATTTCTGTGTGTAACCAGCCTAATGTAGTTATAAATTAGACAATCCCATGAGATTTTACAAACCAGCAGTAGTTCTAGTAACCAGTAGATATAATCTTACTGAAACCAACATGTAATAATCAGTCATACTACTGCCTAAGGAATGCTCACATAACTAATATCAAGTGAGCCAGCCAGAGGTTCAAGGCCTGTACAGAAATATTCCTGGGACAACAAAATACAAAAAGTGTGCCTTCTTTATCTATATTTTCTGATAAATACCAAGTAAAAATGCTTCCTGAAGCACATGCTGAAATATTAAAAACCATTTCCAGAATATAATAATTTTTATTTATGAAGGTACTAGGCCATTCATAGCACACTGATTTAGGTGAAGCAATATGGCTCAAGAAATACCTATTATTGGCCTCCTACCACAAAACCACCACTTTCTTATTCCACTACTTCCAGGACTACGACTCTTAGGAAAGTGCAAGCTGTGCATCCCTCCACTTTATGTTTAAGCACATTATTTACCTGAGGTATTCCATCTCTTGTGGCCACATCACGACAGAAAACTTGTGGTTCATGAAAAACCTGCATTCATCCTGATAATTTTTTCAAGTAGGTTAAAGATTTAATGGATTTATTACATTATGGATGAAAAAGCATATCCTGCTGTCTGTCCTACATTGAGGCTTGATGAGCTTGAACCTATTGTGCTTATAAAAAAGTAGTCTGGATTAATGTCTTAACATGTTTACTATTTTACGTCTCAATGAACTACTGTATTCTCCTTCGGTTTATCTGCGAGATCTTACTCATTTGTTTGCTAGTGAGGTCTGATGATATATAGATGTTCTTTTACCAATCCATCTTGTGAAAAAGATTTCTGCCCTATGTTTTCCCTAACACTTTTAATTTCCAATTGATAAAATCTGTGCGAGGAGTTGCATTTTTAATGATTCATATCTTCTCTTCTTCAGTGTTGTAAAACTACCATGTTTATGTTTGAATAACTCAGGTTCTTAGATAACACAGCATCAGATATGATGCTGTGTTTTATTGTATTAGAACAACAGATGTTTGATAAAGTATAAATTACTTATCTGTATATCTGGGCTCTTTCTCATAATGGTTCACCTGGGCAATGCTTTTGGATTTTAGCACACAAGCTCTTCAACTCCCAAACAAAATTCTTTGCATATGATACTCGTGTAAAGCAGAGCTAAATATTTTAATGTAACAAAACACACTTTAACCTTTAACTTTTATGTTTATAACGGTTACTAACACACCATGCTAACACGATGCACCTCTGTTATTGGTTACGATAATTCTTTGCCAACACACAACTGGTCCATATTATTGGATACAATGTGTTCAGTGCAAGCACACATCTAGATGGATCATTTTAAAGAAGTTTAAATAATAAGATAAACTAAACTAAGCTAAAATACTGTACATGCTTAAAATCACTGCCTATTCTAATGTAAATGATACAAGTAAAATATTAAGAAAATCCATGCTTTTGTAAATTATGAAAATGAACATGCAATGTTTTTCATCTTTGCTAAGCGAATAATTCCACCTCAGGAAAATGACCAATATGGTAACTGAGAGGTGATAAAGGAGGAGTTACTAAACTACTGTATAATTAAAATATTAAGAAACTGGCATAGATCAAATTGTAAGTAAAATAATAAAGAAAGAAAGATGTCAGATGACTGGAGAGGGACATCACACATTGTGTTCTGAAATAGTGCCTCAGCATCAAGTTAATCAGATTTGTATACCTATTGTCTTATAAGTTAACAACTAAGAGAGTAGTAGTAAATTAAAAAATTATAGAGAAACCGCTTCTATTTACAAAGCTGGAAGATATTGTAATCTATCAAC